AACGTGCTCAGAGATAAAGTGACCAACCATGACACCGTTCTTGGCAACAGCATCCATCTCAATTTCCTTGGCATTCTCAATGTACTTGGTGATGACAACGGGGTGATCGCGAGACACATCGGCGGCCTGGTTGAGGTAGTTCTCCAGGTCGTCCTCGGAGTAAACGGTGTTCATGGCAGCACCAGAAAGCACGTATGAGGGACGAACAAGCACAGGGTAGCTGACCTTGTCGCAGAACTCACGGGCTTCCTCAATGCTAGTCAGCTCCTTCCAGGCGGGCTGGTCGACGCCGATGCGGTCCAACATGCGGGAGAACTTGTAACGGTTCTCGGCACCGTCAATCATTTCGGGAGAGGTACCGAGGATGTTGACGTTCAGGCGGTGCAGAGGCAGGGCAATGTTGTTGGGGGTCTGACCACCCATGGACATGATAACACCGCTGGAAGTCTCCAGCTGGTAGATATCAAGAACAGTCTCAAGGTTGATGTTCTCGAAGTAAAGGCGATCGGCCTCGTCGTAGTCGGTACTGACAGTTTCTGGGTTGTAGTTGACCATGATGGTCTTGTGACCCTGTTCGCGGAGAGTGCGGATAGTGCGCACGGAACACCAATCGAACTCAACGGACGAACCAATACGGTAGACACCAGAGCCAAGAACCATGATACCGTGGTCATCAAACTTCAGATCATGCTCAGAGGCATTGTAGGTGAGGTAAAGGTAGTTGGTGACGGCAGGGAACTCAGCAGCAACGGTATCGATTTGCTTGACAATAGGGGTAATGCCAGCCTCAACACGCTTGCGACGCACAGCCAGCTCGTTGGAGCCAAGGAAGTTGGCAAGCTGGGCATCAGAGAAACCAAGCTGCTTAGCTTGGCGGATCATAGGCACAGGAACCGAGGTAGCGTTGAAAGCGGACATGGACTTGCCAAAGTCACTCAAGCCCTTCAAGCGGGTCAAGAACCACTTATCGATGTTGGTCAGCTTCCAGATGTCATCGACAGAGTAGCCGGTAGCCATAGCGTTGGCAATGGCAAAGAGACGCTGGTCGGAAGGAGTCTGGAGCTCGCCCTTAATAGACATAAGGGCATCCTTCTCATTGAAACCAACGTTGTGGAAATCGACGGAACGAATGGCCTTCTGGATAGCTTCCTCGAAAGTACGACCGATACTCATGACCTCGCCGACACTCTTCATGGAGGAACCGAGCTGAGTCGAGACGCGAGTGAACTTCTTCAAATCCCATCGGGGAATCTTGACCACACAGTAATCAAGCGAGGGCTCGAAGCAGGCGCAAGTGGACTTGGTGACCGAGTTCTTAATCTCGTTCAGGGGAATGCCCAGACCAAGCTTGGCAGCAATGAATGCCAAGGGGTAACCAGTGGCCTTAGAAGCCAAGGCAGAAGAGCGAGAGAGACGAGCGTTGACCTCAATAATGCAGTACTGCTTGGAGAAGGGGTTGAGGGCGTACTGAATGTTACATTCACCGACGACACCAAGGTGGCGGATGACATTGACGGCAGTCGTCCGGAGCATGTTGTAGTCCTCATCAGAGAGGGTCTGGGAGGGAGCAACAACAATGGAGTCACCAGTGTGAATACCAAGGGGATCGAAGTTCTCCATGTTGCAAACAGTGATACAGTTATCCTGGCAATCACGAACAACCTCGTACTCGATCTCCTTCCAGCCCTTCATACTGCGCTCGATGAGCACCTGAGGGCTGACAGCCAGAGCCTTGGTGCAGAGCTCCCGCAGCTGATCCATATCCTCGGCAAAACCACTGCCAAGACCACCCAGGGCATAGGCAGCGCGCACAATGACGGGGAAGCCAATGGCCTCAACAACCTGCATACACTCATCAATGGTGGAGGCAGAGGCAGACTTAGCGCACTTCTCGTTGATGGAGTCCATGCTACGGGCGAACAGCTCACGGTCTTCGGTGGTAATGATAGTGTCGATGGGAGTACCCAGAACCTTAACACCGAGTGCCTCGAACTCATCCTTGAGCTCGATACCGACGGACAGAGCAGTCTGACCACCGAAGGTGACGTAAATGGCATCGGGGCGCTCGTGCTTGATGACCTTGCGAACGAACTCGGCGTTGACGGGCAGGAAGTACACCTTGTCAGCCAGACCCTTGGAGGTCTGAATGGTGGCAATGTTGGGGTTGATCAAGATGGTGTAGATACCCTCCTCCTTCAAAGCCTTGATAGCCTGACTACCAGAGTAGTCAAACTCACCAGCCTGACCAATGCTCAGACCACCACTACCGAGAACCAAAACCTTCTTAACTGACACGCGAGGGGAAGCCTTGCGGTTGTCCGCGATGAGACCACCGGGGAACTCAACGGGCTTGGTAAGGGCATCGGCAGAAGCGATAGACTTCTGGATGGTGTTGATGAAGACATCAAACAGGTACTCGGTATCGCGAGGACCGGGAGTGCTCTCCGGGTGGAACTGGACACTGAAGAAGGGGCGGCCGGTGTGACGGATACCCTCGTTGCTGCCATCGTTGGCGTTGACAAACAGCTCCTCCCAACCATTCTTAAGACTGGACGCATCAACGGCATAACCGTGGTTCTGAGAAGTGATGTGGCACTTTCCGGAGATCATGCTTGTGCAGGGAATGTTGTGACCGCGGTTACCGAACTTCATCTTGCTGGTGGTAGCACCGACCGCGCGGGCAATCAGCTGGTGACCCAAGCAGATACCGAAGACGGGTGTGCGGGCATCCTTCAAGGTCTTTTCCAGGTTGGCAATGGTAGTGGTCAGAGTCGCAGGGTCACCGGGACCGTTGGACACGAACAGACCGTCGTAATCCTTGCCGGCCAGAGTGGGGAAGTCGTAGTCCCAAGGAACAACCATGACTTCAACGCCACGGTTGAGCAAGCAGCGCAGCTGGTTGAACTTCATACCGACATCCAAGCACAGAACGCGGACGGGGCGGCCCGAGGGGTGCTTGAGAGCAACATCTGCGGGGGGCGTGTACAGACGGGGCTCGCGGATGGAAACTAAAGAAAAATGTCAGAAAAGGCCCATTGAAATAGCTCTGCGCTTCCACTCACCCTCAGCAACAAGGTTTTTGGCATTAGGGTCCACCCATTCAGTCTCCTCGAAGTGTGAGCTCCAGTTGGCAGCCTCAACACCAGCGGAGACGCCGTTGGACTCTCCAGCCTTCTGCAGACGCAGGCGACCGAGCATGCTACCGGAGTGACGAAGGCGCTTGGTCAGAGCACGAGTGTCAACACCGTGGATGGCAGGAACACCCTGTTCCTTGAGCCAGTCACCCAGAGAAGACTTTGCCAAGAAATGAGAGTAATCCTCGCCAGCGTAGGCTGCCACCACCAACGCCGCAACGTGAATCTGACTTGACTCAAAGTACTTGGGCAGACTCTGGAGCACCTCATCCATCTCCTCCCGCGAAGGGACACCGTAGTTTCCAACAAGAGGGAAGGTAACAACCAGGATCTGGCCGCGGTATGAAGGGTCGGTGACCGACTCGGGGTAGCCAACCATACCAGTCTGGAAGACCAATTCACCAGACACACTCTTCTCCGCACCAAAGTTGTAACCCTGGTACACGGTACCATCCGCCAGCTCGAGGGCCATGAGTCGGTCACTACCACCCCGGACAGGGATGGTGGCCGGGGCAATCACAGCACCAGCAGCAGCCATTGTGAATAGCTTCGGTCCTTTTTGATCTTTTCAGGTTCTGATCCGCCCGATTGCGGACTCGGTCTGACCGATTCCTTGGGAGGAAAGCGGTTGAAGGTGACTGACTTGGAGGAGGGGAAAATGGAGGGGACAAGTCCTCTCGGGGACGAATCTGATCGAAGGCAGGTCACTCTAGCACAGCATCCGCCAGTGAGACCTTAGATTTGCCTTCTTTTTCGTGGGTTTTCTGGGGTTTTGAAAATAAGGTAAGAGGAGGGTAATTTGTGCAGCAGCTGCAATGAGCTGAGATATGAAAAAAGAAGAAAATTGAGGGCTGTGGCAGAAAATTTTCACCGTCGATGAGACCCACCGGTTTCGGTGCGCCATGGTACTTGACCGCCCTCAGAGTTTTTCTCCAAGTTTCTCATTGTGGATCTCGTTCGCTGCAGAAAAAAAAAAAAAAGTGGAAACGTGAAGAACCGAAGACTCTACAGGGAATATTTGAGGATGAAGTTTGAAATCTGAGATTTGAGTTATAATGTGTATCAAGGACAATAAGAATGTTTCCGACTTCTGCTCTAGTATACAGTAGGCTCCTAAGAGATTAAATATTAAATTTCCATGCAGAGGGTTGCAGGCGGTCAGTCCTGATAAGGCGATAAGTGCCGGCAACCGGTGTGGGAAAAAGTAATGTACAAGGACTGTGCGCATAAAGAGTTGATATTTACCATGCTTTACTCCTCCCCCAAAAAACAGTCACTAAGAGAACCAATGATCATCATAAAGTTTATCTACAGTAAACGATTGTAATGCCCGTGATCAAAAGTCTGATCATATTAAAAACCTGGTTCACACCTAGCTTGTGGAATGTGCGGTCAGCTGTACGGGGGTTTCTGCGCAATGACGTACATTGTCCCTTTAAGATCTGCCGAAGCTCGGGCGTTATTAAGACGCCCCAAATCGCTAAAAAGACGCCCCATCACTTTTTCCAAACAGCAAAAGAATCGTACTCTTCGTATTCTTCGTACCCAGGAGTTGCAGAGTACATTAATGGCCCTTGTTCACTACGCCTATCCCCTTGTTTATTCGTTAATTTCACCTTGGTACCGAATTGGCAAAGTTCTCTATTACGTACCTAATTTTTGAAATACAAATACCACGCTATACTGAATCCGGTAAATAGGGGCGTCTACATTACCAGATGGGACGTCTTTTTAAACCAAGCTTGGACTCGCAGATGTTGGATCTGATCAATCGCGCCCCATTAGCTTGTGTTCATCTTGTAGATAATTTTGACTTTTCCAGTGTTTGGATCCTAGAACCCAGTTTATGCCAGTATTTACCCTCCTGAGCCTTCCATATTTCTCTGTTTACATTTCGCCGATTTACCTCCTAGCTGTATTTCTAGATTACGATGCACTAGACGCCGAAGGCGGCCAAACACCTCCCTAACGGCCATGCAGGTTACTAGGCCCACGTGAAGCTCCTCAACATGCTGGCCTCCCTTCTTCGCCCGAAAGCACGGCGCGGGCAGATTGATCAGTCGCAATTTTCTTCCCCCTTCACAGCGAGAGACCATTCACCATGGTTCGGGGCGCGACGCGGTCTGCGAAACACGCGTGGGGCCGACTCCAGCGACGACGAGCCAGAGCTCGAGGATATCGATGAGGACATGGGTGGGCACTGGGAGAGAGACGAGGAGGAAGAGGACGACGGTCCTATAGAGTCAACTCCGCTGCTCCCAATCTTCTCCTCTTCCCATTTGGGTACGACATTTGGTCCTGCGCGACGGGTCACACCGCTAACTGATATTCACACATACATGTAGATGCGCTTCCCGTATACGATATCACCAATGCCATTCGTCCCTTGATCGCCTCACGATGCGAAACTACACTGACCTGGGACCAACTCCGCTCCCCCCAGGTGTCGCAGTTCCTGGTCAAACCTATCCAGCAGCAGATCATGTCCGAACATTTTTCGCGAGCCACCCTATATGCCCTGATGGCAAATTGCCTGCAGTTCGAGAAGGAGATCCACGTCAATCCGGGAAACAGCGGGGCAAATCAGACGCGCGCGATGGTCAGCGAACTGCTTGCGATCAAGCTGTTGCGGGAATACACGACTCGCGAGTTGATCGATGCGCTATCGTATGACTTTGATCCACTACAGGGCCAGGATTTGCCCACAGCGTGGACAGTCGGCCCCCAAGGGAAAGCGGCGGGCAGCGCTCGGATATCCTGCCTGGAGGTGGCCATTCGCGCGCAGGCCAAAAGGTTCCTGGCGCATCCAGTAGTCGTGCAACAGTTGGAAGCTATATGGGCAGGGACAATCGTCTTTCACTCTGCTGCCGATCATTTGCATCGACCTTCGAATCGATCGTCTATGACAGATTTTAACTACGGGGCTACCACAGGTCAAAACGGGGTCCCGATCCAGGCTGGGAATACCCCCTTTCGGCGCTCTGTAACCTTGTACAACCCCCGAAATGCGTCCTTATTCAAGCTTTCACGGTTACGTGTCCCTCGTTATCGTCAGTTCCTATCGACAATTTCGTTCGCAGTCTTGCTGGGTCTGTTTCTGGCTGTTCTTGAACAGCGTAGTGGCCGTATCACATCTTTGGAGATTGTGTTTTGGTTTTGGAGTGCGGGATTCATGCTCGATGAAATTGTTGGTTTCAACGAACAAGGTTTCAGTCTTTATCTGATGAGCTTCTGGAATCTGTTCGATCTGGGGATTTTGCTGCTCTTGCTTTGTTACTATTGCCTGCGCGTCTATGGTGCCTTCCTGACGTATCCAAGGAGCAACCAGATAGCCGATCAAGCGTACGACATTCTGGCCGCCAGCTCCGTTCTCCTCTTCCCACGCCTGTTTTCGATCCTCGACCATTACCGTTACTTCTCCCAACTGCTGGTTGCGTTCCGAATCATGGCCTCCGATCTGATAGCCGTCTTTGTGCTCATTGTGATTGCATGCAGCGGCTTCTTTGTCGCCTTCTTGTCTTTTGGAAACGATAACTCTCCTAAGACCGTCGCGTATGGCTTATTTCAACTAGTAATGGGATTCACGCCGACTGCGTGGGCGATGTGGGATGATTACAACTTTCTCGGCAGGGCCATTCTCACGGTCTTTCTGTTCATTTGTCACTTCGTGATCGTCACGATTCTGGTTTCCGTACTCTCGAACAGCTTCCTGCGGATCGTGAACAACGCTGAGTCTGAGCATCAATTCTTGTTTGCTGTCAACACAATATCTATGGTCAAGTCAGATGCACTGTTCAGCTATGTTGCCCCGACAAACGTCATTGCTTGGCTTGTTACGCCGTTCCGATGCCTGATGCCTTTTCGTGAGTATATCAAGCTTAATCGGACGATCATTAAAGTCACACACTTGCCGGTATTGTTCACCATCTGTCTCTACGAGAAGACCATTCTCAGCGCCCGTGTGATGGAGCCGATGGACCTGGTTGAAGCAACATCCCGTCAGCAAACATCGGCTCAGACCCGACCTAGTCGATTCCAGGCATTTGGCACAAGGGCACCACGCTTGATGCGTGAGCCATCCATAGCTACATACCAGAAAGATCAGGCACTGGAAGAAGTTTTTCGACAGCAAACCACTAGCGAACGAGCTCAGAATAGGCCGGGTAGCATGCATAAACGCCAAACCAATAACGTCATCAAAGATTGGATGCAAGAGATCGGGTCTGTTCCAGCTCATACCCCAGACGAAGAAGACAGGGCGATCGTGGATCGGCTTGAGATGCCATTGCGACGACCTCATTTGCCAATGCGGAAGACAATGGATTCACATGGGCGCAACTTTACAGAAACTACTCGATCTGTTGCAGCATCAAATCCCGAAGAAAGAGTCAGTCATTTTGCCAATCCAGCCTTCTATCTCCGACGGGGAGATTCGATCTCGCCTACACGAACCCGCCTCCTGTCCCAGCACACTGATATGGAAGGAGACGATGAGCTCGACAGCGATGATGGCTCCCATGAAGATCATTCAGAAAAGGCATCAGTCAATGACGATGCCCATCCGATTGGAAGTTCGGAGAAGGCAACCCCCAAATTCTACAGTTCCCGACCTTCTACTGCCAGAATTATATCCAGACGAGAAAGCCCAGTACGCCGGCCCAGACACACGCGCAATATCTCCGGGGCTACCATGCTGTACAACCCCGTTGATTCCCCGAATGAAGAGACCGAAGGAAGAACGACACCTCCCCGAACCCACGAGGACTCCTCAGATGACGATCATGCCCCTGGTATGTCAACGTCAGCGAATATTGGCACAGTGCGACGACACGCTCTCAACGCCGTCCTCTCACGTAACCCCTCTCTCGGCTTCAATCACATGTCAGTCCCAGAATTAGAAGGACTATATCTATCTGACCGTCCAAGATCAGGACGACGCCAACGATCTCTGCTATTTGATCTGGGATCCGATTTAGGCGATAACAAGGCGGTGGCCGGTGGCTTTTCGGGTGTGATCCCATCCAGCTTCAACACCCAAATGGCCCTCGCTACCGGAAATCTCCGCCGGGACGGACCCAGTCAAAGCCAAGACATGCTTAGCAAATTGGTACTTGCCCGCATGAATAACATCGAAGAGGGATTCCGCGAGGTCATCAAAGAGGTCAAAGATCTCCGACGTACAGGATCCAGCCGCAGTCGCAGCCGCAGCCGCACCCGAGCGGGTGAATCCCACCCTCCTACACGAGAGAAAAAGAAGCGGGGAGAGAAAAAAGATACGAAAAAGCGGAGACCACAATCTGATGGAAGTGGGCGAGGTCGCGATGGAAAACTGTCTGAGCGTGTAATCCAGCGATCGAGTTGATTTCCCACTACCGGTTCCTTTTCCGTGTCTTCCAAGGTTGTATGTAGAATATTTTCAATTTCCATTGTACATGAATTAGGCAGCATTTTTGGATTTTGGCAGGACGCATGGCGCATTGATTTTGATCTTTTGCGATACCACTATTGAACCACATGACAATTGATTGTATACAATATTTTCCACTGTTTCCAGTCAATATATCTGTACCCACCCGGGTAGGTACCTAGCTAGCTGCTTATTTTTGTGCAGGTGGAGCAGCTGCAGTCGCTCTGGGAGCCCGGGCTGTTTTCCCATGCACATTTGTCTGGTCGTAACAACTTCCCCGAAAGGCCTCCAACTCCTCATTTGTAGTCAGAACGATTCCTCTCTGTGGAGCCATGAGGCGGAACATAAGATAAGTGCCTCCAATCACGCCGAATACACTCATGAGAGCGATGGAGCTCGACCTTGACGATGCCGTGGGTTGTTAGAATGGATGTGGCGAGGTGGCAGCTGTATATATTTCTTAGGGGGCAAGACTGACTTCAAAGGCCGACCTTGGGGCACGGATACTGAGCTGATAGCCATATTTAGACTGAGGAAGTTTCAGCTTATATAGGAATAAACTGCCCAGGGGAATTAAATCGACGAAAGTTTTCTGAGAAGAAGTTTTGGTCCATATAGCTAAGGTTTGGGTTATGATTTGTGTGGGATGACATGACCATGAACGCATGCTTAATTGTGGAAATTACGGGCGAGGCACTCAAAAACCATGGTTGAGAAACTATGAAGCAATGTTATGACTTTAATAACTATCACATATGTCTTAATAAATTGAACAAATTAGTCTACACTCCAATGCAATACAAGCGCATGGGTAAAACACTATGTGTTGACCCACTATTTGAGCTGTCAGAGTGGAGCTCGTATAAAAACCCCCAACTATACGCCATAGCATATTTCAAAAAAGTCAAACGCACCCGTAATACTACATAAGTCAGTCAGTGACTCATTTGTGGACTGTGGCATCAAATTGTGGCGATGCATATTCCCTATCAGTGATTACGATGTGATTGGCCTATTTCGCAAGGCAACAGGCTTGAGCCTCATTACTCCGCCCCTCCATGCTTAACCTTTACCGCAGATCCTCATTCCCTTCTCACCCACTTCATACCTTCTCCCTCACACTGCTAGTACTCGATACTTATATCGAATGACTATTAACCACTTGATTCAGTGCCTCAGCCTTCGAGACAGCGCCAAGGGAGTCACCAGAGATGCCACCCGAGGAAATCCCAGGAATGTCATTCGATTATCACCAGAGCTCCGTACCAAATTTCCAAATGAAGATTCCACTGCTTCTTTTCAACGACGCAGACACCCTGCTCTATATCGATCCCCCGCCTGAGGATGGGCCCAAGTGCCTACCAACAATTCCTCTTCGCGTTCACAGTGAGAAGCTGTTGACAACGGGCTCTGCATATTTTGCTAAGCAATTTACCCCGCGATTTCAAAAACGTGTTCGGAGGCAGCGAGGCTTCGTTGATAAACTACCGAATGGCATCAAATATTTGGTGGACTTGACTCCGGCAACCCTCGAGGAAGATGCTATCATTGCTCTGACGGAGGTATCGTGTCCCATGGCTATCCGAAAATGGGCATCGTTAGAGAGCAAATGGAGTCTTCCAAGTTCCTGTGTTGGTGGTGAGGATGAATATCAAATGTGGGAGCGTCCGGATCCAACAACAATCTTTGAGCCAGTGACGATCAATGGCAACTTGGAGGAAGCGGAGGATGAATATGCAAGTCAAGAAGAACCCGGAACAGACTCGCAGATGCCATCACAGGGAAATAGGAATACGGAGCGCCCGACACCCAGCACCATAGTCCGAAAAGGGTTGCCCGTGGAGTATTCCGCAGCCCGCCATCGTGATGGAATTGAGCATGTCCTACACGTCCTTGAGGGATTAAGCATAAGTCTAGATACCCCTTGCAAACTATGGACATTCTTCGCCGTCGCCAAACTTTTCGACGTGGCCACCCTCCCAAGTATCAGTGAATACATCACCTCTTGGTTTTACAACACAACCATTGCACGGTTCATTGAAATCCATCCCGCAATTGCCTATCGGGTCGCTTGTGGAATCAAATCCAGTTCCCTTTGCCGCTATGCATTTAGGGGACTGGTCAGTGATGAAGCACTTCTCTACCTCATAAGAACCGCACAAATTAAGCCGTTGGAACGATGGACATCGTCATTTACAAATTCTCGGCTCAATGAAGATCTCGATGACAACGAGATACAACGAATTGAGTACGCTAGCAAGGCCTTCGTGGACACAGTCGTCAAAGACTTTATCCATATGGCGGGAGAGGAAATGTCTTGGATTGAAGGTATCTCAGAATGTGCAAAATTGAACGAACACGCACGAGCTTTTCCTGAAGATAAAGAATTGGTCCAGGCCATAATCGAGATCTTGAAAAAGTGCGCTAGACTTGCGATTTATCGACGTCTTGTATTCGCTGCGGATCCCTTGCGTTCTTGCGACGCAGTGCCGAAGAGTGCTCGCCATTTGTCGGATCGTCTCGAACAAATCCGGACAATGGTTTTACGGGCTAGGGATCGCGCATTCAATTCACAGGATTGTCTGGTCAGATTAATGGGGAGGAGTTTCTGGACCGAACTTGGGGATAAGAGGCTTGCTCTTACCATGGACTACTCGGAGGCAATGATTTTCCTTGACCGCGAGTGCAAACACGACTCCATCGCCGAGATCGGCTGTGGCTTGCTTGCATTTCAAGGCCAGGAAAATGCCAAAATCAGGTACATTGAGAGACAGACTCTAGAGGAGCGAATCAGAGATTTCAATGAATTGGTTGAACGTCGAGACAAGGAGCGGGATGACATCCTGAAAATACAAAAGCAAGAGCGTACCGAAAGTGTGAATCAGCAGTGGAATCTAACTATCAACCTACGCCGCCGGACTCTTCAGGGTGATCAACCGGTCCCTTCATCGTCGGATGATGCTTCTTCTACCGCTATTGATGTCAACCCGTTGGAAAAAACAACATTGCCAGAACGGCCAGCAGAACGGGCAGAACATTATAATTCACAGCAACCATCGCAGAGGGATATATTTTCTCTCTACATTCCATACCCTGACCCGGACGAGTCTACTCCCGTACATGAACAGGGTTCGGCATCCACTCCCACTGTTCCGCACTACGAGTCAAACAACGCGACTTCTGCTCCGAGCAATCCTACTGGTGCCGAACCTGAAGGAATGAATGTGAAGAATTTCGACCTAGACAAATTCACTCTATTGGCCACTGAATACCTCTCCAAGTACTGCCGCGCGCGCCTAGACCCAACGGATCAAACCCTCTTCCAATACCAAATTGGAGACATCCTGACCTGCCTTACCAGGAATGAATATCAGTACCTACCTCTCTGGGCCGACGGCAATGACGATGGGACAGGCGGCGTGTTCACAGACCAGGACATTCCTATTATGGCATCTGGAGGCTTTTCCGCCCCAGGCCCTCAAGTTCACACCGGCGGCGTTGCTTCCACTGATGACTCTTTCAGTGACATCAACCCGAGCGATTCGCAGAGCACTGTCCAAGGCGCCTCTCACCACGCAACCAATTCTCATGCTTCAGACCTCATGTCAGTAGATTCATACGACGAGATTGAACATCCAGGATCTGTTGTGAGCCTTGAGTCACGGAACCTAGAGACGATCCGGGTCAACCGTGACTACGGATACTCCGTCTCATCCGTGAAATCGGACGATGAAGAGTGTGATGTTTACAGCGCTGGGGCCAGTACAGTTGTAATGGGCTCGCCAAAGCTTTCTGGTTTCTCAGATGATGAAATGGATATTATGGGAAATGATGAAGATGATTTTGATATGGTGGATGATCTTAATTAATTTATGGCGCAGATTTTGCTTGCTATGGCTGTCTCTAATGGGTCGTGGATTTTATCTACCGAGATTGTGCCGTGCTGATTAATTGGCTAGTGGAGGACTAGCCATGAATTTCAAAAGGATTTATGAATAAGACACAAAAAGGGGTCACATAAACAAATGATCTTGACATGTATGCAACCTTGGGAAAGTACATTGAATTAAACAACAGCACTCATCGTACAAGTATATCATCTCCTATATAGTGCAAGATACTTTTGCGACTTAGCTCAACTGGATTTCCAACAGCTGCGCACCAACCGCGACATCGGTACCATTAACATCAACGTTGACAGCACTGGCACCACCAGTAGTAACATAAAGCTTGTTCAACTGACCCTCACCCCGTCCAAAGAAAGCACCGGTAGGCTCAGCAACCTCAGTCGAGTCCTCGGCACCAGCGATAATCTCATGGCCAACAGCAGTGCCATTGCGGGTAAAGATCACCTGCTCAATAGTGTTATAAGAAGCCGTGGCGAGGTACGCAAACTTATAGTCCGAGCCGTAAGTCGAGTTCAAAGCGAATCCATTAGGAGAAATAGCGAAATCATCGATCGCGCTAGCCTGGAAAACGAGCTCACCAGTACCAGCAGTCACATCGGGGTTCAGCTCAGCGCGGTACAAAGCGCCGTTAGCAGACCAGTACACAAAGCCGTCAGAGACCTTGATACCATTGATCATAGACATAAGGCTCGTCTGCTTGATAGCTTCCCAGGTACGACCGGTCTGGGTATCGATAGCGAAGATGGAACTTTGGTAGGAGGCGCTAGCGAGCAGGATGGTCTCGTTGAAAGATGTCAGACCGTTGAATCCAGTAGGTGCGGTTGGGCGGCACAGAAGCTTAATATGGGGGTGCTCGCTATTCTTGTTGAAATCAACTTCCCAGACGTGAGTCGCGTTCGTGGGGGGGTCGCTGATGTTGTCGGATGTGGTGTTCGCTCCGGCAACGTAAAAGACATCATGAGCTCCCTCAGTGATACCGGAAAGACCCAACACCGAGGTGAAGTCTTTGATGACCTTCTTCTTGGGGTGCTTCTCACGGGGATCAAAGGCCAGGAGGTTGGCTGGGGGGCCGATCTCGGTTGCTAGGATGATGCCATTGGATCGTGTGACTAGGTTCTCTAACCAGGTTTCGTTGGAGGCGAATTGATAAACAGTGCGTGTCTTGAGCTCAGTAGCTGCGACGGCACCTAGGCACAATGCTAGGGAGATGATCGAACGCATGGCGGAATAAATCTGGGGAAGGAATGAGGAGCAGTGAATTGGCTATTGTTAGTGACTATGGGTAGCTATGAATATTTATAGTTCCGGCAGCATTTCGGTGGAACTATGTGCATAATGCCGAACGACCGGATTATTCCCTGGTCAATTTAGACTGCGACGCGGCAGATAATCTGGCTTCACCCATAGTTGCAGACCAATTTGGGGAGAGATCAGCAAGATCGGCCAAAGTGGAGATACTGCGGATCATGAACGCGCGCTTTTGACTGTGTTGAGAAAGCTCGGCCGAATTTTCGGCGGATTTAAATACTGGAAGGGGATATTTGTCCATGAATGTGGCATGCAATGAAACGATTGAATTAAAGGAACAATTAACGTGTTTCTTCGGTAAAATAAGATTCTTGCACGGAAGCCCTGGAGAACGACCCACATCATTCTGGGCTTGACGAGTTACGTAAAGAGGGTGCGTCATCACCTTAATTTACGGAGAATAATCATGTTGCGACTTGCCCCATATTTGAATCCGAGTGGCATCACTTGCTTTGCTCGCATTTGGACTAAGGCCGAGAGACTATATGAACCGTTTCAAGAGTTTCACGTTGAAATGGTTCTCTCGGCCAATGACCCACGGCGTACCAGCATGAGCATTGTCCAAGAAACATCCATAATAATCTTCCAAGCTTGGAATGGCGAATGATAGAGAACATCCACCTGGGTGAGCAATCGTGCGTCTTTCTTGAAATTGGCGTGAGGTATGCTCAGTTTTAGAACCTGTGATATATTTACAATCAATAGCTCATGCCTAACACCCAATTCTGCCGTAGAGAAGAGTGTATTCGCCTGAATTTCATAAACCCACGCATGCTTGACTGCTATACTGGGCCGCATAGTGTAAAGGAGTATCTCCGCTTGGGACGTCAACAAGTCTATCTGTATTCAGCCTTAGAGTGCTACAGTATAGACCCTGCTCAGAAAGAGACGACGGAGTACACGAGAGGTGACATGGTATAGAATATTGCAACCTGGTCAGAGTGAAAGTGACAACCTCCACAGACCTTGAATCACCAAATTTTCATAGGACTATTCAGTAGATGCAAATGCATACTGCGAACAGTACAATATACTCCTACCATGGGGTACACCGCTAGAAAAGCGGGTCCTCAGTAAGTACTGAGCCGAAGAAATGCAAGGTATCTCAATGGCATTGGGCACAGAGTCTCTCTTTTATTAGAGTCTTCGGAGTCTGAAGACTCTTTTCGAAAGTAAACAGATACTTCTTCATATCTACAAGGCTATGGGAATCGTAAATCTAAAACAGATCGAGATAAAGAAAGGTTCAAGGTTGTTGATAACCGCAAGCCATGACTAAGCGCCCCACAACTTGGAAATGGGGAGACCGGGAGCTCCTGACGCATCATTCGTCGAACCCAGGTCTCCTCTCTCTTTCAGCTTGGGCCTTCTTCGATCTGGTTCTGACTTTGTAACTTATAACTATATCACATCATGGCGTCTTCTTCGAAGCCCCAGAGCTCCCTGCTCTAGTGAGTGTCCCTCGCGATAGCAACCCAAACCTCACGGATCCCAACATGACGCATTCTAACCACTCACCACCAGCTCCTGTATCGCACACCGTTCAACCATCCTGGCCGAGCACTCCTCCCCAGGATCATCATCCACAGCCGCCTCCTCCCTCGCATCCATCATCCTCCCCAAGATCACCCACGACAAGCCACAGAAGTTAACATTCACCCATGAACGCCTGTTCATTCACTACATCGCCGACTCGCCAAGTGGCGGGTCTGCAGATGATGTAAACGGACGCACTGAACAAAACTCCGGTGCACCTCTAAGCTACATCGTAGTAGCATCCGCCGAACAAGGCCGTCGCATCCCCTTCGCCTACCTCCTTGAAATGAAGCGCAACTTCCTCGCCAAGTACCCACCGTCCAGCACAGACTTCTCCATGTATCCAGCCTACGGCTGCGCATCTTTCAACACAGAACTCCGCGCCCTGCTCCAGACCTACAACACCAGCCCACCAGCAGACTCCCTGGCGTCTGCACGCCGCGAGATTGACAATGTGCGCGACATCATGACGGAGAACATCGAGCGGGTTCTGGAACGCGGCGAGCGCATTGATTTGCTTGTTGATAAGACTGACCGGCTGGGCGGAAGTGCGCACGATTTCCGCTTGCGTAGTCGTGGCTTGCGTCGGCGTATGTGGTGGAAGAATATCAAGCTGATGGTGCTCCTTGGCTTCGTGGTGGTCTTCCTTCTGTACCTGTTTATCGGGTTCGGATGTGGACTGCCGGCTTGGTCGAAGTGTGTCGGACATAAGAAGAGCGAGTAACTTACTGCTGGTTAGCGTATACGGAGCGGGGCTAGACGTTTACTCATTTTGCTTGAGCAAGCGTGGCTCTTGCATGTCTTTTTTCTTCGGTTGAATCCTTGACTGTGACGTACGATATGATGTTTTCTTTCTCGGCTTGTCGTTTGCATGAAGCGCTCTCTGTATATTAGCTAAATAGTTGATCTATTCTGATTTCTTGATTACGATGCATATTGGAGTTTCTTTGAAGTAACATAGCCCAACAATATTGCAATATTCCTTTTGTTCTTCCTGCTTGGACCTCTCGAGTATAGCCTTTTTATCCCTACCGACGTCATGCACCCCGCATTCCTGTTTATACTTTCTCCGCAATGCATTCTTCTCCCATGGGTCACCTCAAAGTTACCTGACAGACGATATCTGAGATTGATAACCATAATTAAGCTAGGTGAATGAAGTAAATTCTAAAAATGACAGCTAGAACTAATATGATTAATCTTGAGTCTATCTAAGCTGAACTTGGCAGTGACGCCACATATTCTTCCCAAACCTTTTTAATATCGTTCTTGTAAATGAAAGATTTATCCCCATAGAGGAAACGGTCAATCTTGGCTTGTAAGAAGGCATCAAAGTCGTTCTTCTCTTTCTTGAATTGCTGCATTTTGGCACCGACTTCGTCCAAATGCTCATACCTGTTCAAGTTAGTTTGAATCAAAAGAACCTTTGAATCTATCCATCTTGACAACTCACATTCTGGCATAATACGGCGACCTGATAACATTGAATACCTCAAGAGCTTCCTCAACAGGACGAGAAGCAAACTGGGAATGTTCCAGTGCTCGAGCGAGAATCCATCCATCTTCCATGGCAAATGTCGCGCCGGACCCAAAGGCTCCTGTAAGGATATCAGTACCAATGTTATCGGGTAATCATTCAAAATTTTTATACCAGAAAGTGGATGACTAGCATCACCAATCAGGGCGATCTTATTCCAGCCAGTGATTTTGCTCAGTCGAGGCCCAGCGAACGTAGCGAACTCCCCCCACTCGCCTTCGTGGACTGCATCCACCGCATCCCGTACTCGCTGATCAAAGGTCTAACAGGAAGATTAGCTCATAGTTCTTCCATGAGTCGATCCATCTTACCAAAACGCGAGATGCCACTTTCTCCTTCGTAGCGGGAATACCCCAGACAACAGTCTTCCCAGGAATGTCTGGCTCCTTATAAGATCGCACGGTAATCTCAAAGAACGGATCATCGACTTCATGCTCATCATCTACATCCGAGAAGTACACATGGCCAGCTTCACCCCACCACCAAGCCGTGGTGGACGTGATATCTGGATGGTGAGCCAGACGCGACCTGGGCACAATGGTGCGGAATGCAGTGTTTCCTGTGAACCGGAGCTGATGATCAGGTAACAGGACTCGACGCACAATCTGTGAGCGAATCTTGTTAGGTGAGAGAAATTAAGGTGGAAGGAAGAGCGCGACGAACAGAGTGTATTCCATCTGCCCCGACGACCAGATCTGCGTGTGCATCTGTCTGATCATCAAAGATCAAGCGCACACCTGCACCGGGTAGATCCTCAAGGGAGACTAGCTTCTTATTAAATTGGATCAGACCCTCTGGCACTTTATCCAGAAGGGCAGATTGAAGTCGTGTTCTGCGGGCACGAATCGCTCCACGGGTATCTGCGTCGGAATTTTCGGGATGCTGGGTTACACTCAAGATGTTTCCAGTGTAAGCATTTCTTATGAAAGTTTGTCAGTATTCAAAGAGGTTTACTTGATTTGATTCGTTCTTGGCGGTGTTGCTCACCTCTGGTGTGTGTTAGATTTGGATCCTCCCTTGACCCCATCACTTGCTCCGAGCAAGTCCAGGACCTTCCACGCATTTGTGCTCAAGCTAATCCCCGCACCGGCTTCTCGAGGCTCGGGGTTCTTCTCGTAAAGTGTTACCTGAAGGAATGGCAGCTTAGAAAGGGCAATGGCGGTTCCTAACCCGCCTGGTCCTCCCCCAACGATGGCAACGGAAAGCAATGTACGGCCGACCATTTTAGTTATCAGATTCACCCAGAATCTTCCTTTTCAGATTTGGAATAATTTGTATAATTTATTGACTGGGTACATTGCTGTGATCAATAAGCACGAGGTGCGGAGTGATAGATGATCAAATAGCACGCCATAATAAGGCCGAATGTGTCATGTATTACTAGTATTCTGATGCCATGGACTCTTCTAATTATTGGTTGAATGATTGACTGTTTCGGGTGTTATGCCGAGCAGTTCACTGTATTATATTATCGATATTCTATTCAATTGTCTATTGGTTCCTCGACTCGCATATCGTCTCCTATCCTCCGAGATCTTGAATACCGCTTATCAAATAATATTCATTCATGTGGATCGACAAAGCCAGCATCAAAACGCGAGCCTTGCCATAATAAACCTAAAAGAAGCCAAAAAAAAGAACCGTTCCAGCCCAATATATCCCCCGATGGATGGGCTGGAAGTTGGTCCAAGACGATCAACATAAATCGATTAGAAGTATACCTGTGCCTACTGTGGCGGAGATCCGCCCGGGCTTTGGAGATGGAAGACTGCGGCCTGTACAACCGGTCGGTTCCTTGTCTCCATCATGGTGGAGGACTGAATGTACACAATTGAGTATTTGTCCAATCACCACCTCGATTTAGGGAGGGAGTCCTCGAAGACGTTCAGGAAGATGGCACATTCCATGCACATCGATTTACGGAATATTGATCAGTTCGTCAGCCTCAGAAAGCGTTGATGGAACTTCACGAAAGCCTCCATATTGACCAAAGCTGCGCAATCAGCCCCAAGAAGAGCAAAGTCTATGACCATACCAAAGTTCTCGCGAAGTAGAGTTTGTCCGATTGTCTCGTGTGTATCCCTTCAACTCAACAGAGTTCCCAAGCAACTTCCAGAAAGCCTCGTAGCATATTCATGTGGGAAAGTCGAATTTTTAAGGTTGATACTTCTTGACATCATAAAGTCAATTATCTACCTTTCCATGATCTACTTCTTAGACATGTCTTTCTTCTACTGGATTTCTTCCTTAGTTGCTAATGGGGATCAACTGTTATAAATCTGACATGAATCTATTGGGAACTGCATTATCTCTCCTACATTACTTTTGAATATGTTTTGGTTCTGTGAATATCGCAGCACTCCTAAGTGCTTGTGATCTTTCAGAATTTTGATTTCTATTGAAGATAAACCCTCCCGTACATTTTGACAGATTTCGTAGATTTTAGGTAGTGGGGCTGTATGGAAGCATGTTTCGTCATCACCCGGAGAATTTGTCCCGACGGCTGAATATCGCTTCATCAGCAATATTCATTTCGAGGCAATGGTACCTAAAGATCTTCATTCTTAGTCATCGGCCTTCGGATTCGATTCAAAGAGTCTTAAACTATCATATGCCCATATTCTAAGCCGCAATGGCCGATGCTGGCGTCTCTTCCGTAAGGCCGAAACCGAAAGGAAATTTTTCGTGTCAGAGATGCCGTCGGCGAAAACAAAAAGTATTGCCCAGCCGGCCTATAATTGGAATACCAGACTCATACTCTTATAGTGCAATCAAGAGCGTCCATGTGATAATTGTGTTCAGGCACAGACAGGTAATGCTATCTCCACCGAGGCTTCCGACTCGTACTGACGATTGGCCAAAAATGGTATAGTTTGCGTGCCATCAGAACGATTACAAAGGCGGTCGCTTGTCAATCCCCAGTAAGGCGAACTCTAATACTTTTCTTTATATTCACATGAACTGATGTGTTATCTCCAGATACACGCAATCATTGGAGAACCGTATCTTCGAGCTAGAGGCACAGGCACATGAACGAATCTTGAACTCACTTCCCCAGAGACCTGAATCAATTCAGAGCTCTACAATCACTTCAGAGAGGCGGAACGAGGCTAGTTCCCCTACCTTGCGGCCTACTCAGCCGCCTCCAATCCGACTTGTCCCTTCAACGGAACTTGATATCCAAACCCCATTGACTATTCAAGCATCATCGCCAGTCTTTCCAAACACCCCTGGCATCGCAAGGAACAGCCCCGGGGCCGGCTTTAGACCAGCCTTTGAGGGCCCACAGCGAGTTGAGCAAGACACAACTTTCAAAGATGTACAGTTCTCAGATCAAAAAGAACAGGCCTTGATCCAAACCTACCTTAAAAAAGTGAACCCTCGTTACCCTTTTATCCACGAAGAGCAATTTCTCGCATGGTATTCATTGTGGAAAGACCTACAAAAATCCGGGGGTGAAACTCCGGCTGCTGAGCAATGGAAGTCATTTTTCATTCAGATGGCCTTTGCGGTCAGCCTTCTCATCGCCCCTCAGGTGTCCCCTGAGGAGAGGCGTCTATCCAATGTAAGCGACTCCCAAATGCCGATTCCTGCAAGTTACTAAAACCCTAGACCTTATACTCAATTGCCCTTTCATCACTGAGTTCTGTCTTTGAGAGACCAGATCCAGTTCTTCATGTTCAAGCATATCTAATGTGCACGATACATGCGCTCCATTCTCCCTCTTCTCAGACTGTTCTGACCATGATATCGACTACAATGCGATGCTGTGTGGTTTCTCAACTACATCGGTCTATGTATGAGCCTCCAATTCGAGATAGTTCAACGCTCCTGGAAGTTCAAATTCGCCGTCGAGTCTTCTGGTCTGCCTATTCCATCGATCGATTGATCAGTTGGATCTATCACGTCCCTTGCAGTGTTATAGACGAAAACCTTCAAACTGAGGTAAACTCATCTACAGTCCCCTGCTCTAAGTTGTTTGATCTAACAAGCCCAGCTTTTTGCGAACATGAGTGACAGTGAAATCCAAAGATGGGAGCCACGATCACGCTCACAAGCAGATGCGGAATCCTTCCCCCGCCAAACTCAAGTATCTTCTGCCCTCCATTTGATTCGTGTGCGAAGAATCCAGTCACGCATCCTTGCAATCATGATGCGCGCTGATTACGATATCAACCTTGCACCGCGTTATGGCTGGAGGCTTCACATGCTAATAGAGCTGGACCAATGGAGGAATCAATTACAGCCTCACAGCGATCCCGAATCCAGAGGCTACACCAGCCAAGGGTGGGTTGGCATGGCTTACAACTATACCATATTACTCTTACATCGACCGACCAAAGAAAACGTTCGCGGGCTAGTCGGGGAGAAGTGCCTAAAGGCCTGTGCTGATATCTTATCTGTTTTTCGACAATACCAAAAGGACCGCCAAACAGCCCAGCTTTGGCCAGGTGTGAGTAATATCCCCGTTGCGATGTGAATATTCACTGACACAAAATGGCATGAAGCTTCTCAGTCAATTTGGTATCGGGATTAGCCTCCTGTATTGCTTTTGGGCTACACCTCCATCTAGTCGGATCGAACTATATCGATCTTCAAAATCACTAGCAGGAATACACACCTGCTCTGTTATCCTGGCTGTGTTTGCAGAACAGTGGAGACAGGCCGAGCCATTACGCGATTTGTTTGACACACTCTCCGAGGCAATTCCTTACCATCCCCTCATCTCTGCCGATCATACTGAAAGTCGGATATCTGCCGACGCGGCAAGTTCAATCAGGTCGATGATGCCTCACATCATATCACTTGTTGTGAACATGGATATTTGTAGGATGATCACGGAGATGGTCACTGAAGATTATCCGTGGCATGATCAAAGGTACAGCGATCTTCTTTCATGGTCTTCGGAGAGTCATTCTTCTCAAACCTGCTTTCTTTGTCATGACAATACAGCGAGCACAAGTATGCCTGTGCCCGAGGCCTTTGGGCTTTACGAGCCTAGTGTCAGCGACCATGATGAATTCTTTGCGTTTCCTGGCTTGTTTGGATCTGTTGAATTTTAGATTCGGGGAGATAGGGCCCTCAAGACCATTGGTAGTTCCAGCTGCGGGTCTTGCTTTCGGCAGACACAGCAACGACATCGGACGGAGTGCGAGGCTTTCTCTTCGTCTAAAGCCTGAGATGGCGTTGAGAAAACATCGATGTGCTGTATTTATGACTCAGTCTGCAAAGAAGAGCATAATAAGTCCATAATAACTTGATTTTACCTGATAATTCCCATAATCTAGATACGTAAATTGCAACTGCCCAAGCAGTGGGGAATGTGGGGTCGGGGTTTCAGCGCCGACTGCACTCCGCATCGGAGGTTGAATCCCCGATGACTCCAATTTCGCCTCTAATCTTTCTTGACTACATTTTCGCTTCCCTATATAACTGAGTTCAAAAAGGAGTTCTGTTCTTTGAACCACTTCACGTCAAACAAAATGCCCCAGAAATTGACCGTCGCCGTGGCCCAGGCCCGCACCCGATCGGACTTGCCATCCACCCTAGCTGCATTGAAGCGCATCACAGCCCACGCCGCATCTCAAGGCGTTCAACTAATTCTATTCCCTGAAGCGTATCTGGGCGGATACCCGCGAACTTGCGATTTCGGTGCCGCGGTGGGCGCTCGTGGTGCTCATGGCCGTGAACAATTCCTGAAGTACTTCCAGTCGGCGGTAGATCTAGGCGATACACCGGCTGGAGCCGGTGATGACTGGGTGGAGCGCAAACTCCCCACTGCTCCGGGTAAAAGCTCTCGTGGAGATGGAACAAGAGAGTATCTTGAGCAGGTGGCTCAAGAAACTGGTGTTTTCATTGCCACAGGTTTGATCGAAAAGGCTGCTGGTACTTTGTACTGTTCGATGGTCTTTGTGGATCCCTCGCGCGGTATCATTGGGAAGAGAAGAAAGGTTATGCCAGTAAGTTTTTTGAAGAATCAATATTAAGTAGGAAAGGTGGCTAACTCGTTCTGGTTTCCCGTGGTAAAGACTGGTTCTGAGCGTCTTGTTTGGGGACAGGGCTCGGCAGCGAGCTTGAAAGCTGTCACCACCGAGATCAATGGTGTTAAGCTCACTATTGGTGGAGCTATCTGCTGGGAGAACTTCATGCCTCTTCTTCGACAGAGTCTGTATTCGCAGAATGTGAATCTTTATCTAGCACCTACTGCTGATGCTCGCGATACCTGGCTTCCACTGATGCGGACTATTGGTGGTGAAGGACGCACTTTTGTCCTCTCTTCAAACCAATGCGTGCGGTACAATGAGCTTCCATCTTGGATCACTGATCATGCGCCCACACAAGAGGATGGTAAGCATATCATTTGCAGACCTTGCCATTGTATATTGTATGCTATAGTATGGCGCAGCTGCTAACGGGATAAACAGGAAGTCGTTACGTCTGCCGAGGTGGATCATCTATTGTCGGTCCCATGGGAGAGGTTTTGGCAGGTCCAATTTGGGAGGTTGCTGTCGATGATACCATCGATGCCGAAGACGCGGCCAACTCCCAGAATCACGATGGATTGGCCATCTCGGAGATTGACCTTGAAGATTGTGAACGGGGCAGACTTGATATGGATGTCGCAGGTAGCTATTCTCGGAATGACGCGTTCAAGCTCACGGTGGAAGGACTTGACTTGAACCCTCCGCCGTTTTAGGCGAAATTCAGAGCGCGGGCATCGAATGCAATGTATCATCCATGCAGCTTGTATCGTGCAATGGGCCCCCCTCTTGGGAAGTGGAGACGTATGTATAACCCAACAAGAAGATAGGGTTACGAATCGAAAAAAGTTTCGTGGCATTGGGATTATCTTAAGGGCCAGTAATAAACTACTTCAGTGTATATGCAGAGTTGAATGTTGAAGAGTATAAAAGGGATTGTTCAATGTATTCAGAGTGGTCAATTATCATAGCTGCTAAGATCTATTCTACCATGACCGTGATGTCCCTCACTTTCAAACCAACAACATCCTAGTCCGAAGACATCAGCGCCGGTCTGCAAGTGAGACAAGATCATCCCGAAGAATGACCCTGCGATTCGCTATGCGCCATTCGTTTACCATACCAACCATTAGGTCCGTCAAGCGGGATTGGTACGGAGATAATTTGGCGGGAAACCTGAAAAGGGGGCATGTTAGTGAGAAAGAGGTTGAAGTTCCACAAAGTGTCCAGCATCGCAACATCAGCATCATGAACCATATTGCAGACGCCGAGACAACTTCTTGGACGGTTTTTGTCGGGATTTGGAGCTTGCGGGCAGTCCAACACGCAGGGACCCCATGGAGCCCCTTGGCACCGATTGTTTGTTGGTTCGCAAGCGGGGCTACGAAGACAAAAGGTGTTGAGGATTACTCCTTGGTGGTTCAAATCGATCATTTGACCGAAGCACTGCAGAACACGGCTGGCTGGGAGAGTGGAACAAACAAGGATTGGCTTTTGTACCCGAAGAAAAAAAGTGTGGTCAGGTGACCTTCACCGTCTCCGTTCCCTCCTGTGATATAATTGGCTATAGCTACTTACTGCCGCGACGCGGGCTGTATCGTATCGCGAACGAATATTAATAGGCTTCATTTCTCTTCTTCCTACGCCTCAAACTGAACCCAGTACCGATGTTTTTACACAGGCCACGACCTCTTCAACTATTCGCGGTTTATATGAGTCTTTAAACCGAGTGCCGCCGCCAGAATTGTTCCGCATACGTGTGACCTGCTCTTTGTCCACCCAAAGCCGAATGCTTTGTCCCCGACTCGTGCCCACGAATCGCCAATTCACCATGAAGCCATCTCTTCGAGGATAGACCTCGCTATTTCGGAAATGGCTTATGATGAGGATCCTGCTCTATGGCTGGAAAGCTATGTCAATCCATTCATACCCTCACCTATTGTGCACCCTGCGTACGAGGATGCCGCGCAGGCTGCGCATGTGGCACACATGCAAAAAAGGGAACAAGAAATACAGATGGAGCAGTGGGTAGATCAACAGAGAGAGCAGCAACGGCAACAGCAACAAGAAAGGCAACAACAAGCGCAGAGGGAGCAACAGATAAATCAACAGAGAGAGCAGCTTCGGCAACAGCAGAAGCAGGAACAACAATCTCGTCAACTATATTATCAACAATTGCAGCGTGGCCAGGCCTTCGAAGGAAACACGCTACAATCTTATTATGGAACTCAATTGACGGCTCCATATAACTTCGGCCAAACAGCAACGACTGGGGAACCGGGGGGGCCATTTCGTGATGCCATCAAACAGAGAGGTCCGAAACCCACAGTATGTGAGGCCGTCAGATATCGAACCATCTTTTCCGAATTATACGCCCAACACTCCCCGTCGGGCCAATCTCCCCTTTCCTGCCTCATCCCGAGCACCAGCAGGTGCCATGCAGGCTTCAAGGCCGATGATGACACAGCAGAAAACTTCCCAGAGTGTTTCTGAGTCTCAATATTCAAGGCCTTCCGACTACACAGCGCAAAAATCTTCATCATCCAATTTTGATCATGCACGTCAAGAATGTAGCTCCGCGACTCCAATGCCAAATGAACTTTTACCCATACCTCAGCAGTACAGTGGCCATCAGGAACAGGACCTCGCACCTGCGAGACCTGCAAATCAATACAGACTAGCTTCCACGTCTGCCAATCCAAAGACAGATACAGACACCTCCGCAGCCAGGAGTTTACTTGGTCCTCAGTCCACGAATTTACCTGAGTCACCAAACCTAGTCTATGGACACCAGAGTCAGAAACCCGCTGTCATGGCTCCTGCTCTACCTCACTCCCAGACAGGGGTTGGCAATGGCACGATGGCTCCCAGCCATCAATTCCAGCCTCCAAGTAGGCCAAGCTCTGCTCAAGGTCAACAACCTCCAAAAAAGATGCGGAGACTTTACGATGGCTCCAAGGATCCGAGTGGTCCCAATATGAGTGGTCCCAATACCAAGCCACGTGCGAAGCAAGCATCCAAGAGAAATCCTCGGTGGGTTGACCTTGTTAGGCCATTGGATGTGAATGATATGTTTCTGAAGGACAGCTATGATGTGGCTACAATCGCTCGAGACGTATTGATTACTGCTGGCAAACACCCAACCGAAAAGCCGCTTAATTATCACCTCCAATGCCTCACGAAGACAGTTCCCGCCCTGGATCATTCATCGGACTTGGCTTCTCTGAGATGGGATGGCATAGATCCGCTCATCTATTCACGTGACAAGCGACCCCGCAACACCTCGACGCGTCCACCTGCCCAACCAATTAACGCGATCGGCGCGGTGGCACCTCCATCCTCTCACGGCGACTCCCTTCCACCTCAACCTTCTTCGTTGCTTTCACTGCCTCACAATTCTCACTCCGCAAAATCTAATCCTTTCATTTCACCCCCACCGCCGATCCCTTCCACTCCCGACCCTGCGCCCGAGCGGGCACTATCGAAACCCCCCAGGCGGCAGCAGAGACGCCAACTACCAAAATAAGCTCAACCCCACGGTCGAAGATACCCTCCGCGTCCCCACGAGCCGTGCCACCTGCTCAATCCCCACGGACCAAGGAAAACTTGCAGCCGCAAGTGGTCATCAGTTCTTCCCCCCAGAAAATGCCTCCCATCAAGAAAAAAGCTGGCCGCCCTAAGAAGGACGCAAAGAGCGACAATGTTGCCGTGACTGTTTCAAGTCCCAGTGAATCGCCCATTCAGTTCCCAGTATTCAAGTGCCTATGGGAAAAGTGTCAAACGGAGCTTCATTCATTGGTTTTGCTCCAGCAACACGTGCTGAAGGCCCATATTCCTCACAATATCACCTGTGGCTGGAAGGAGTGCGACAACTCGGATCCTATGCCCGCGTCGACGTTGTGGGAGCATCTGAGAGATAGTCATTTTAAAGACTATGCGTGGGCCTTAGGGGATGGTCCTGCGGTGCCTTCACCTGGTGAGCATATTGATGCGTACATCTGATAGTCCGATGCTGGACCCACATATTTAAAATCTACCATACGAAGTCATATTCTAACAGACATGGCTCCTATCAGGCGAAGATGATCAAGATGAGTCGCCCTTCGTTCCTCAATTCGACCTCTTTGATCGCCATGCGCGTCCGGCGACCGTGCTTCTCCCCTTGGATGACTATGTAGTCGCAGGATACAGCAAGTCTCATGGTATCAAAAACTCCAAGCAGAGGGCGGAGTTATTCAAAGATGCAGGATGTCGCTGGAAGGAGGAGGCTGGGCCTGATGTTGATATCAGCGACCGAAGGCTCTCCACACCTCCACGTCTGGTGACTAGTCGCCTCACCGAAATCGCAATGACACCGTCCGAGTCTCCATAATTGGCCCCCATGAGCACTACACCAAGCGCTTTTTTTTTTTTAAAATGATACCCCCTTGCCAGATTTCTCTATTTTTCGTTTCATCTTATAAGAATATTTGATCTCAATGGAGGTCTTGACTTTGAATCTAGAAGCATGTCTCTGTACAGCGCTCTATATCCATCCATGTATGGTGATATGATGCCTAAGAATATAATGGAAAAGGCACTGCTCTGATTGAGCAACTCAAAAGCCAATTGGTATCTTGCTGTTTGAAATAGAAAAATAAAACAAAACAAATCGGCCTCGCGTTGGTCGTTGGGTATTGTACATGCACTAATTTCTTCTCCCCCATGGCCGGTCTCTGCAATTGTCAAACCCGGGTTCCGACCGATCCTTTCCTCGGGTTTGGGGTCTTGTTTCTCGTATAGCTTATTGCGCTTTGGTTGTCGATCCACTGACATTGTCTGAGGGCACGCTGGACTCGTCATTCTTGATTGGCTTGACGGCGGTAGTCTCCTCGTCATCACGAGCATTGACATCGAGGAAATGGTAGAGAACGATCATCATCATGGCGCACGAGCCCAGGAAGATGGCAAGGCGGTAGAGGTCGTTGTCGGAGATCATGGTGAATTGGACGATGGGTTGATAGTAGGAGTTGAGGAGTTGAGCAGTTGAGGAGTTGGCTAGGTAGGGGGTTTTCAGGTCACGAGGAATTGACACGTCAATTAAACAAGTTGTGTCAGGCGAGACGCAATTGCGTTACCCAAAGTTCCAAGGACAAGGATGTAGGAGAGTTGGTGAGGGATCAATGATAAGTGGAATCCATAACGTGTCATGAAGCAAGTTAGCGTCGATCGGGACCCGGTCTTACTAACTCGTCGCGGTTAGATGTACGATGACTAATCTTTCTACAACGCTCCTAACGGTCATACACATTTGTGTTTCTCTTTGATTTTTTCCCCTCAAATCCCCCGGATTTCCCGCCTGTTTATAACTTCATGCGCTGACTGCCCTAATCACCATGGCCGAACCGCAGGATTTGCCGGTCCCCAACGTCTCCCAGACTCCAATCACCCCCGCGACAACAAAACCGTCCCCCTCTTTATTAGCTTGTTTGCTATGCCGCCACAAGCATCTGAAATGTGATGGACAAACTCCCGTCTGTGGGCGCTGTCTTTCAACCGGCTCAGAATGTCAATACACAAAATCCCGCCGAGGCTATCAAGGCTCCAAAAAACGCCGCGCTATTGACTCTCCTGATACTCCTCTTGTTGAATCTGCCGATATAGTCAATATACCTGTGGAGTGGTCTGGTCAGGAGACATTCCATTATAATGCCACCGTCCCAGTTTCAGTGTCTGGGTCCGTTAGTCCTGGTATGAACGACATGTCCGTCACAATGGCCCCACCTGTCGCGCGCTCTTTCACTGGGCCGCTGACTCCCGAGTCGGCCTCGTCGGCCGCTGCTGATGGGTACCTCCTCGATATCTACTATACCTATTTTCATTCGGCCCATCCAATCCTGCCGCCTCTTCGGTTCCATTTTCGTTCTCCCTTTCCGCCATTTTTGGAACATGTCATGAAATTTATTGCCTCCCACTTTTCCCCGGCAGCCTCCAGTGATACATACCGTCCCAATGTAGTCACTGGAGTGCACGAGCAAGACTCGTCGGTCGAAAAGGTTCAGGCACTTCTCCTGTTGGCGATTGTGTTGCACTCACGTAATGAACGGAGTGAAGCTGGAGTGTGCTTAGCTGCTGCTGTGGACGTGGCATTCGAGCTTGGCATGCATCAAGCGACGTTTGCCGAGTTTGCCAGCCATGGAGATCCGATTCGCGCAGAGTGTTTGCGCCGAACATGGTGGGAACTCTTCGTAATTGAAGGCCTGCTCACAGCTCTGGGAGTGCAGCAGGTGTACCGCACCAACCAGGTGCCGCTTGTAGTGTCGCTGCCATGTGAAGAGCGCATTTATCAGGACGGTATCGCCCCACCTATGCCTCCAACCATCGCTCAATTTAACAATCGTTTCTTTGATGACGATGAGCGGGACTTTTCGTCCTACGCTTATCGAATTGAGGCTGTGCGGGTCCTTGGCGAAGTAGTGGCGACGCAGGATATGGAGAAAGGACAACAGGAGCGTGTTGAAGCTATTGACGCGCGCATTGCTAGCTGGTTCCACCATCTCCCTGATTCAAAGGCTGAGTTGATCCGGCCAGATGGATCCATCGATGAGATCATGTTCCAGGCCACTATGATCATTAACGGTGCGACCATTTACTTGAATTTCCCACGGTCGGATCTCTTGTCGTCTCCCGCCGTTGCGTCGGAGGTTATCTGTGGTCATTCTGGCCCGATTAGTGTTCCTGCCTTCTCTCATCACGCGCATGCCATGAAGGCCGTCAATGCAGCGAGGGAACTTTCTTCGCTTGCGGCTATTCGTTTGCCAGTAGAGCGCCACACTCCATTCTTCATCTGCGCTCTCACACTCAGCTCTATTGTCCAGCTGGCCGCCTGCTCCGTCAAGGCAGGCAGCATGCCAGACCCCAGCCGTGATCGTATTGGTCTCACCATTGGCGTTTTCAAGTCTCTGGGGAGAACCTGGGCCATTTCACAATCCATCATGCGTCAAATCAAGGCCGTGTCTCGCGACGTATTGGAACTTGGCGTGCGACCAACTATGGATCAAATGGATCTGACCTCGATGCTTGATACTGGACTCTTCTGGCCGCAGGACGGGCCCAGCTGAAGCGACATGCAATTAACTAATAACATGTTAGTAACATGAGGGCCGGATGTCCTAAAGATAAACACTCTCCCACGAAGCCGGAGCGAACAGCATGAGAAAGGCGAGGACCGAGAATATCCTCACGATTGAGAACCTCCCGCTTCTGGGCGGCTTTCTTTATACAACTCATCTATTCACTTCGGGTCTATGCGTTGTTCATAGCGCCCAGACCCCGCTATCTGTAAGCCTCGCGGTCCGGGATTTGAATGCCGTGGGGCATCAGCTTACAGCTGGCCAATGGACATATCTCGTTGTGGCCACCTATCATCATCCTTGGGTTTCAGCTTGTTGACAGGGGTCAAATTTTGGTGGCTAGGTAGAATTGAATGAATTGCAACCATTGACAAGTCAATGAGTGAGGGGTTGCAGCAGGATTTAACGAAGCGTGATTAAAGTTTGGGGCCTTGAATGGATCCATTGTTGATGCTCCACTCTATACAGCCAGTCTATATCTCACATTTAGCATCCATCTACATTATAATTCATTGGATCGTTTTATGTCTCCGTTGATGACTCATATTATACACATCACATCCAGTGATATTAGCGCTTTGTGTTTCCGGGGTTACATCCCTAGTGCGCCGACAGAGTCAGTGCTGAAGTATCCGTACTTGATATGCATATACTAAATTTGGTAGAGACGAATTGAAGAACCAAGGATCGTGAATATAGAACCTTGGGTAGACATAATCTATGGATCAAATGTATCCTGCACCCTAAGGTGGACTGGGTCCACGCATTACTTTTCTGAGCCTCGCTGATCTTCCAAGGTCGTCCATATCGGGAAGCCCCTCACGATCTGATCTCGTTATCAACTTGCGTCTGCGTCTGTTTAACATTGTTGAGTCGGGACACCTAAAGAAGCGGCTGTATAAATAAGAGGATGGGATTACAGAGACAATTTGGGACACCAGTTCATCGATGGGTGCCTCGGGCATAAGCACGACGAATGTGTTATGGAATGCAATATAATTGGGGCCAAACAGCACATCGTAGAATTCGAAAAAAGTCTTTGCCATCATTAAGGTATTAACTCAGCCGACAGCTATGGTGGACTAATAATTTTCATAGTATTTCCAAGGTTCTGTTACTTCTCTTCTCTTCTGTTCAAACATAGAAGAAATGACTACCTCAGCTCTTTCTTGGCATTCCTCCCCAACAATCTACATCATTATATCTACTTCAGCTATCATCTCAGTGATCACTAGTCTACTCGCGCTCCACCCCTCTGATAACTATCAGCTTCTACATTACCCCCATTTCCTGCTCTTTATCCTCTTGGAGATCATCATATCTAATATAAGTGTCCATGGATGCTCAATCTCCACTGATCAGTTCTCTCTCTACCCGCTCTCTAACACGCTCATTGATGACCAACCCATAATAAGCATAATCTATCATTATACAAAGTCTACAATCTATTGAAGCTGCTTTTACGCTAGTGACTATAGTTACTATGATTTGCGAGACTTGGTTAACAGAGAAGGATAGTAGAATATTACATGATTGTCCAAGCCCAAAGTCCAGCACTATAAACTCAACCTTCTGTGATTTACTTCTTTCTTCTTCTTCCACTTCACATCACATCTTCCTTACTCTATTTCTTCATCTCAACACAAGCCCATACGCCACCAACAAGGATGTCTCAAATCCCACTTCTTCTTATGCCCCAATGGCAATTACAGATACTCACTCCGAGTGATCTTGAACTGCGTTCGGTATTGCGAGACATTCAATGGACCGAACATGCACGAACCCTATTGCGACAAGTTCGATCGGCCGAAGATGCACAAGCACAGTCGGAGAACATTGACATGGAGCTCAACGAATACCGAGATGAGTTACTATTGAAGAAGACCGAGCTGGAGCGACAAGTCATGACTGAATTGCAATTGCTAGTCGAGCAAATGGAACAGAAAGCAAGAGAAGAACGGGAATTGAGGATTATGATAGAAGAAAGGTTGGAATCCGTGAAGAAGAAGACTGGGGTTCTGGAAATTGAGAGGGATACATTGAAGCGGGATTTATTGAAGCTGGAATCGTCCTTCGAGTGAGGAGTTGATGGGGAATTTCAGAGATTCTGATTTCGAAGTACTGCGCATTTTCTTACACAACATATGCTTATTTGAGGCCTGGTGATCGTTCTTTGTGTTTGCTTGTGGTTTTTGCCGTTCTACGAAGTCATATATTTAGAATCAGTTGGGGATGCCCCTACTCCATGCGCAGTTATCCTGATAAATACAGTAGCTTCTCGATGTCATTGCGACATGTATAAATCGGTAATATGTCCCAAGTTTTGAAGATCCCTAATTATCAGCTTCAGCATCAGTTAAGCAGTTGACACGAAGCCATGTTAATAATTGGCCATGCTTTCCTCGTCCAACTTGAAAGTTAGGAGCCCGTTCCAGTTTCGATTTTACCTTATTTAACAAAGCAGTCGGAATTGACACGGAAATATTATGTTACCTCATACTGAAGATGCCAAGAACAACACGACTCATGCAGATCTACGGACTACAGGAGGCAACCAGTCGGAATGGAGGTCGATCATCTCGGCGATCTCGCCGAAGCCCTCACGTCACCCGAACTATACCCAATGGTTGGGAATCCCATGTGAACCTCCTAGCATCCATTGATCAACAATTCCTGGATGCTCAGGGGTATGTATTGTATAATGTACATGAGTCGTCATCACATACCAAACAAACCATATTACGTGGTTCAAAGACCCGCATACTTCGCCTACGCAGTACATCGGAGACACTCCGTATGCCTGATAATAGCCTGAACTCGGTGGATCAGGATTTGCGTCAATTGCCGATCACTGGGCACTAAGACACAAAAGGTTTCTCAGCTGTTCTTCTAATGAAAACACCTATTCGATTTGATGCACTTTCATCAGTATGGACTCGACAGATAGTCCAGAATCAAAGAAAAGCACCCACCTCTCCATCAACCCAATATCTCCATCAGACGGAGTCTCCACGCCCAAAAATACTACCCCACCAAACGAAATCCCCAATGCTCCAGACACAACCTTCAAAGTCATAACCTGGAGCCCTTCCGACCCCGAAAACCCTCAAAATTGGCCCAGACGAACAAAACTCCTCCGCTCCACAGCACCGCTCGCTGTGATCTTCTCAATAGCATTCGCCTCCTCAATCTTCGGAGCCTCAGCAACAGTCACGGCAAAAGAATATGGCGTATCCCAAGAACTCATGAGCCTAGGCGTAGCGCTCTTCATAGCAGGTTTCGCCTTAGGCCCACTTCTCTGGGCTCCACTAGCCGAAGTAATCGGCAACGCACCGATCCTGGCCATCGCCTTGACAGGCTGTGCCATATTCCAGATCCCACTCGCACTCGCAAAGAATGTTGCTACGATCCTTATATCCCGCTTCTTGGCTGGCTTATTCGGCGCAGGCGGACTAGCTGTTGGGTCGGGCGTGCTAGCCGATATTTTTGGGCCCATTACACGCGGTGTTGCCGTCGGGACATCGGCTAGCATTATGAATCTAGGCTCGATTATCGGACCTATTGCTGGTGCATACCTGGTCGCGAATGAGAATGCTGGATGGCGGTGGACGGCGTGGGCTACGCTTATTCTGTGCTGTGCAGCTGGGGTCCTGTGTATATTCTTTCTGCGGGAATCGTCGCATAATCGGATTTTGATGCGAAGGGCTGCACGGTTGAGGAGAGAGACCGGCGATGAGAGGTTACGGGCGGGTGCCGAGATGGAGTCGCTTGATACAAAGGTCCTGGTGAGGAAGTACTGTTCGAAACCCGTGCGGATGTTTGTTCAAGAGCCGATCTTGATTGTCATGACGATTTATTTGACGCTTGTTTATGGGTCGCTTTATTTATCTTATCAGCTTTTTCCGAAAGCGTTTGAGAGTAGGGGGTGGAGGACGCCTGTGGCTTACTTGCCTTTCTTGTCTGTTGGGCTTGGGCTTATGAGTGCGTTGGGGATCTTTTCAATTTTCACGATGACTTGGTATAAGAAGCGGTGGGTGGCTGCGCAGCGGGCTGAGAGTCATGGGGAGAAAGCTGGATCAAAGGGTCACGCTCGCATTGCTCCTGAAGATCGGCTTCCGCCTATGATTTTGGGTGCTGTGTTGCTGCCCCCTTCTTTACTTTGGTTTGGGTGGTCTGGAGATACACATTGGGCATCACAGGTGATTTCGTGCTTTTTCATCGGCATGTCATTGCAGATTATCTTCATCTCGGGCATTGTATACATTGTCGACGTTTACTTTCTCAATACGGTATCAGCTATCTCGATCCATGTTATGGTTCGTAGCTTGGTCTCCGCCACATTTCCGCTTTTTGAGGGGCCGATGTACGAGTCTTTGCATATCAATTACTCTGCTACGTTGCTGGCTGCCTTGTCTGCGTTGATCATGGTTTCGCCTATCTTGTTGAGGATCTATGGGTCTCGCATTCGGACCTGGAGTCGATTTTCAAGTTAAGATTAGTCAAACAAAGCATCGGTTATGTGCAGTAGGGATCAGTATAGATGCATTGAATCTGTAAATTGCATTTGAATGTCTATTGTTTTCCCAATGTACCAGCCAGGGGTATCTCGATATGCCTCCGCAAGATATGATAAAATAAGGCTGATGTGAAATCCCTTTTCAAAAGGGAAAGGAAAAAGACGCCAAGGAATGAAGCTAGTGGGATATCAAACAACTGTATAGGGAACATGATAGAAAACTCCTTGCCCAATGCGTCATGTCGGCATCGTCCCAAGATCTAATGAAGCTAAACAAAGGAAAGTAGAAAGGAAAAAAGATGAAGAGGGTGAGTCGGGTCTCAATGGCCGCCAAATTCACGCATCTCGCGGAGAGCCACGGCGCGACGAGAAACAACATCTTCTCGTCGTACCATGTTTCGCAGCGCCTCACTGGCGTGAATCAGTCCATCGATGCTGATGGCGTGGTTGGTCATTTGGTGATTGATGTAGGTGTATAGCGCAGCAGGTGTCGAGCAAGTGGTAAGTAGTTGTGGCTCATTGAGCTTCAACAGTGCCAAGGCCACTTGAAACAGGAACGTACTACCACCACCACTGCCGGAGCCAAGATCTTCGGGTGTTGGGGTAGCTTTGTCACTTCCATCTTTGACACCATTAGGGGTGATGGAGCTCGTCACATTGAGGCAGAGAACCACATCCCAGACCCGGTACAGAGCTTCCGCGGAGAGACAGTCCGTGAAGACAGACAAAAACCATTGGAAAGTCAGCGCTTCCAATTCAATGCCTAGGTTCTCCAAGTGAGCCGAGAGCTTAGGTAACAGCTCGGAGATGTATTGCCGCAACACGACTTGATCAGCGCGAGACGCTAGTAGACCGTGATCATAGTAATGCTGGGGAAGGATGATTTCGATCATCGATACCAAGATCCAGAATGCATCTTCAGCCGTAGGCATGATGAGCAAAAGGGACGCGGCAATGAGATTCATGCCTTGGCAGTACCCAACCTCCGGATTGCGGCGTGAGTATGCCAAAAGCACCTCCTTGAGCTTGTCGACGCCAGGCCCTTTGCGAAAGAAGACATTATCGGTCAAGGTGCGCCGAATGTCCATGTCAATCTGCGCCACAACGGTGGAGTCTGGCTCGGTTCCTCCAACTCCGCGAACAAGATCATCGTAATATCCTGGGATGCGCATAGCGGAGGCCCCGCTGCATTCAGACCAGACCTTGGCCCTCAGGGCTACAGGGATTCCACCAAGAACAAGCGTGCGGAATTCGCGCCACTTAGCACGTCCGACTTTGCCCTTGTTTCCCAGTCCTGCAATCCCAACAACTTCGCCATCGGTGAGAGTTGCTTCCGGCGTGTCCACTATAGTGACGGTTCGATCAGAAGACGCTGCTGCGGCAGCTTCGCCTTCTTTTCGACGCTCGGCACGGACTTTCCGAAGAAATTCATTCCACCGCACAGTGCGATCCCGCTGCAATGTATCATGGAGATCAGTGAGCTGCTCCAAGAGTAACTTGACAGGCTCAGTCTCAGCAGCACCTGCCCTGCTCATAGATAGACCAGCAGCGTCATTGGAACCAGTTCCAGAAAACTCGGGACGATCAGCAGTGACGGCCGAGGTGGTTGCAGATGGCTGAGGACTGGGGTTGACCGACAAGCCTTTATCCGTCGACACGGAAGAGCTGTGCGGGCGACTTTCCGCTGCATCGGTCAGGGATACAATCGGAGCAGCTGAAGGCGTATGAGAAAGCAACTCTGTGGGGCGAGATGGGATTTTCAAGTAATCTTGCCAGCGACGCAGTCCAACTGATCCGCCCTCGGGGTCGTCAGGCGAGAAGGTAGGAGAGGTCGGAGTTTTGATCGATGCGGGTTTATCATCATCCTCGTCTGATGAATCACTGCGAAGGTTTCCGAGTGTCTCCGCAATACTCAAAGTAGGCTTGGCGGGCTTTGCGGTGGTAGCTTCTCTTTGGCGTCGCTTTCGGCGCTGGTCATAAATAAACCCAAACCTATCTGTAAGAAATTCGCCAGACTGAGATTTATTGTAGATAGGCGCAAGAGTAGGAGGGCGCGATTCCAGGGGTAAGATAGCATCCATTTCGACGGGGCCAAGATTAGTCGAGCTCGCTGCGCCATCAGGTGTTGCACCCTGTGACACACTTCCCGCTGCGACGCTTCTTCGATTTGGAGGATTCATCTTGGATATGGAGTTTGCTCCGCCGTTGGATCTTAATGATGGAACATTGGTGTTGCTGTTGATTTGCTTCAGCGCAGCAACCGCAGTCATTCCTCCCTTGGAGGTTCCAGAGGGAATATTCTGATCGGCTGCTGCCTTACTTCGAATGCTCTCGGTGTCGCTATTGTCCTTTGCTTGCGAATTGCCGGCAAATAATTTCACAGTCCACGAGCCAAGCGAGCGTGAAGACTTGCGTGAATGAATGCTTGAATCGTCACCGTTGGTAGCAGCAAGACGTTTTCCAGTAGCCTCGCTCACCGGAAGCCCGCTGGGAGGCTGGAACAATTGATCATCGAGCCCTTTGCGTCGAACCGAAGGGTTGATTGGTGCTCGAAAACCTTCCGGAGTTTCCTCGTCCACCTCTTTCATGTCACTTATGATGCTGCTCGCCCGGCTTGTCTTCCGGCTTGGGTTGGTTGAACCAAACAAGTACTCCTGCCAGCCACGAAGAGACCCTTGTCGCTTTCGGTTAGGGCCAAGGTCTGAGCGAGCGTCACTGTCAGACCGTTGCGCTCGAATGGTGGCCAAATGATCAGGTAACACCTGCGTATCCCCGTCCTGAGATCCTACCGCATCTGTCATAGCTTGAGACATGAGTCCGTTCAGTCCCGACGAATGCTGAGAGGCTTGATCACCACTGTGGCTACTCTCCCCATCCGAGGTGCGATCGTCTAGTGTATTTTCGGATTGATACAGACGGCGTTCGATATCCTGGTTGGATACGGAGACTTCACGGAGCATGCGCTTCAACTCTCGCTCTCTGGCGTCGGCACGCTGTCTCAAAGCCGAGATTTCTGCATCCCGTTGAGCCAGGTCGCGAGCGAACTGCCTCACTATTTTCACGGCCCCGGTACTTGCGATCAATCTCTCAATGGGTGCGTCGTCGGCCAAATGAAGGGCTCCAGGGATATCGTGGGTTGGAACAGAATCGTCAAACAGAGCTGCCCGGCCTGTATGAGAGACACCGGTTGTCAGCTTTGCCAAAGTGGCCTTGCGCCCACGACCGGTATCTTTTGGCTTGTCTGCATCCTCGCTCTCCATCAACGTATTCGTTAAGCCTCGTGTCAAGGTGGGGGTGTGGTCGGGTGGGGAAAGCGAGGGGAAGGACGTCAAGTCGGTCGTGTTATTTGAGGAAGTCGAATGTCGCTTATGCGCCTGTGGGCGCAATGATCTAGCCCTTTGGCTCCTGGTCGACCCGGAAGAAGCTAGGGACGAGGAACGTCGGGGGAGAAGATGGGGCTCCGCCATGACTCAACGACTGATGAATGGCATAGAAGTCGAAATGGACGGTTGTGGACTTCATGAATGCTTATGAATGTTCCAAAAATAATAACCGTGTAGCAATATTTTGGCCCGTGAGCGTAGCCCCTGGTCTCGAACTCCTTCAAAGGTCCTTATCGGTTTTTTTTTTGTGGCCTTCGTTGCGCGCCCTTGGCGATCATGCGCGATATGTGTGGATCTATGGAATGCAGGGTGATCGACAAAAAACTATTGAAGACCAGCAAAAGAGCAGTTATTTAGACAATAAACTGGAAAATGGTGCCGGCAAAAACCTGTTAAACAAAGCCCCCAAAAGCACTGATACATAGCAGGCTTCTGCACCCAAAACACGAAACAGCACATGACGTGTGCGTAACACGTGACCTGAGAGCTGTCATTAGGTCACGTGATGTCAGTAGACCTGGGCCTCGGCTTCTCCGCATTAACCGAGTGGGGAACGCGAGCTCTTTGACCTCGGAGTCCTTGCTATTTATTGTCCTAACATTGTTCGCCTATTCTTTAATTGATTTTTGTTTTTCGAACTCAATCAAATAATTCCTTCCGAAATACTCAGCCATGTCAGCCGCAGCACGACAGCGTCTCCAAGCTTTAAGCAAACAGCTCGTGGAGGGCATTCCTGACGAGGGTACCTTTGAGGGGATTCCTCGGATTCGCCATATTGCTTCAGATTCAGCTGGTCCGTAAGTATATAATATGTTCATGGTGCTATATTAGGATTCTCGGCTCCAAAGTTTTGAGTCTAACAAACACATACAGTCGAACAAAGGACAAAGTAGTAATCGTGACTGGTAAGCTTGATGTACCATCTTGTCCGTTAGAACACCTCAAATAACAATTCAACAGGTGCCAACTCTCCGAATGGTATTGGTCGGGCTAGTGCACACCAGTTTGCCAATAATGGTGCCAAAGCAGTGTATATTTGTGACTACAGCGACACGCACCTCGCAATCCACAAGCGGGAAATGGAATCTCTCTATCCAGGAGTAGACGTGCATACAAAACAATTCGATGCAGCCGATGAAAAGGCCGTAGTAGCCGTCATCGACGAGGCGATTGCCAAATACGGTCGCTTAGATATCTTTTTCGCCAATGCCGGGATAGTGGGACAACCGAAGATGTTTACAGATATTGATGCCGATGGCTTTATGAAAACCATGAAAACAAATGCTCTTGGGTATGATATCTTACTAGAAGTCTGTTGAATCACCTACTGACTTTCATGCAGTGTTTTCCTGGCAGCCAAGCACGCGGCCCCGGCAATGAAGGTTACCTCGCAATCCAAGCCATATCCAAGCGGTTCGATTATCTGCACTGCCTCGGTTGCTGGGCTGCGTTCCAACGCCGGTTCGACCGATTACTCTGCTTCTAAGGCTGCAGTCGTCTCTATCGCACAGACAACCTCGTACCAGCTTGCTGGTACAGGTATTCGGATTAACGCCATTTGTCCCGGTCTGATCGAGACGGGCATGACGCAATCGGTCTTTGACCATGCACGGAAACGTGGCACAGAGCGCAAGATTGGCCAGTTGAACCCCATGCAGCGTGGTGCGGTTGCTGATGAGGTTGCACGTGTGGCGCTGTTCCTGGGTAGCGATGAGAGCAGCTACGTGAATGGGCAGGCATGGGCTGTGTGTGGTGGATTGAGTGCTGGACACCCCGTTGTCCCTGGAAAGCTAGCATAAATGCCATGAATCATCAAATTGCATCCATTTTTTACAGGTGGATTAGCATGTTTCAGCTCAAATTAATATAAGCGCAATAACCTGCACTATGAACTTCAAGTTCTACCTAACTGTATTGGTTAATGGACCGAGTAAATGGCAGACAAGAGTGAAGACTTGTCTGAGGGAACAGTCTTGGTTGCTCCAAGTGGTTGAGATTCTGTTCTGCTACTTTCAACGCCCAGGAACGGGAGGTTGGGGCCATTTGTCGTGTGCTCGAACGCTAGGTCTATATACGTAGAGCACAAATGGAATGAAAAAAATGCCTGAACCATTTTCGCCCAGACAATTTCATGTAGAGAATTCCATACAGTTCAAATATCCAAACAGGTATTTGAGCCCGAGCGCACTTTTGAGGCTTTATCGGCTTTATTTGTCTCTGAAAACCTAAACTCGAACAAGCTCCGAGGGCGTGGAGCTGGATTCCTTGAACCCTGATCCGACTCAGCCCTACTAACCTGGAGACTGAGATCCGCACCCGACAATTGCCGACCTTCTGAGATCACCGTATAGCGTATATTAAAATGGATCGGCATCTTCAAGGCAGAGGATACGTCGAAACATTGTTCACTTCGATGCAGGGAAGTTGGATTTTGGGTTCTTTGATTGTAAAATTTAGATTTATTCAGCTTTGTAAATGTAAGCACCTACTTGAAACCCGAACTTCCCCAGGTGTAGCCTCTGGCCTGGAGTATACCTAGTATTGTACAAAGGTAGGTGCCTAATCCGCGGCTAGTCGACAGATAACACCCTTGGGTATTCTTGTTGCTAGGGAAGGTATGGTAAGGTGTAAGATAAGTTAATTAGCGCAGAGAAATACGGACGATCGTTATCGAGCCTAAGGGAACGAAATTTGACCAGTCATAATGAAGAAATTCCAGGGCTCCAAAACGCCAAGATTTAACCTTGTCGGGGCTAGATCAAGGCGTGATAATAATAGTGCATGAGGCGTGAGTCGGGCGGAGCTTTACTGAATTGAATTGAAGAGGAGAAACCCATGTAAACCTTTTTACACCGCACATCAATCGCTTTTGAAAACAGGCCGAGCTATAAACATGGCTTTGGCACAGCAAGAAATTGAAATGTCCATCCCTCAGCCGTTCAGCATCGTATGGGGTTGTTGGTCGTCGATTATTCTCTCGACAATCATCTTTCTTCGACTATTGCAAAGAATTCGCTTTACCCAACCCTCCTCCGGACAGAACACAACCAGACTTCATGCTGTCCAAAATATTGTGGGTTCTTCATATGGTGCAGACACTTTGCATCTGATCACTGACCCGTTCCAGATATTTTCAGCGGGGTTCTTGATCATTCACCTCACAGCGACATGGATGATCAGGTCCGTCTTTCAATTTCATGAAAAGCTCGTCATTCTCGCCACAATAACATCGCTTCTTGCGTCGGCCGTGATCTTTATCAGCGCCCTTCTCGGACAAATATTTCAGTCCACACGAGCTTTGGCCGTGTTTCTTTCCCTCTCGCTAGTCTGGGACCTTATCGCGTTGACGTCCGGAGTAAGTGACCCCTATATTGATAGTGGACACCTAATAAAGCTAAGAGCATGCTGGGAAGGTGCTTGGCTGGTCTTCCACTTGTTGAGTCTTGGCCGAAAATCTGGTGAATCTTTAACGTCCGAAGAGGCAGCTGGGCATTTTAGTAAAATCTTTTTCTTTTGGGTTTTACCTGTACTCAAAGAAGGCTACAGCGCTACTTTGTCAGTTCACAGTCTGCCTGATATTCACTCGAGCCTCCAGCCTGAGGTTCTGCGAGAAAAGGTATTGGGCACGTGGATAGCACGAGGTAAGAGGCCTCGCTCTGTCTCCGTTAATGATACTAACACACTTCAAAGCGGAGCCTCTCAACAAGTTGACATTACCACTCGTGTTGGTGCGTTCATTTCAGAATACCTTTTTAGCTCCTATACTGCCCCGACTCTCTCTCATTGTCTTCCGCTATCTGCAACCTATCCTCATTGGCCTTGCGATTGATTTTGTCAGAAGCGCATCTTCAGAGACCGGCTTATACTTAGTGCTCTATGCTGCGATGGTTTATATGGGACTGGCGGTTTCCGCTGCAATTTATCAGCATCGAATCAATCAGTTACAGATTATGTTCAGAGGGGGCTTGACCAGTCTTATCCATCATCATTCGTTGAACATCTCCGCAACAAGATCTGAAGATTCCGAGGCTTTGACCCTGGTGGGATCAGATGTCGACAGCATCGAATCAGCAGGGGAGATCTTCCATGAGACTTGGGCACAGCTTTTAGAGGTTATTGTTGGAACAGTGATGCTAGCTGCGCGAGTGAGATGGCTTGCGTTCCTGCCATTGGTCATCATCATCGTGTGCTCTAGGATGAGCGCATACGTTGCTAATCATCTGGAAGGTAAACAAAAGAACTGGAATGTTGCGACTCAAAAACGTATTGCGACTATCACATCCGCTTTGAGTGGCATTAAGAGTCTCAAAATGCTAGGCATGGAGGATGCAATTAAATCTCAAATCTTAAATCTGAGAAGCCAGGAGTTGCATATTTCGCAGGGATTGAGGTGGATCTTGGTTGCCTACAATGCAAGTGGTACGTGAGACTTATAGCTAAAAGCTCAAATTTCCTCGCTCTGACAGATCCCTAGCAAATGCTCTCGGTATTTTTGCCCCTGTTGTCACGCTGATGTTGTATGCAATGACTTCACGCAATGATGGATCTATGCAGGCCAATGAAGTCTTCTCGTCCCTTGCTCTTCTGGCTATGGTAACACATCCAGCGAATATGATTATGACCCTAGTCCCTCGTGCCGTTGCTGTAATGGCAAACTTTACTCGAGTGCAGGCTTATCTCACTAAACCATCAATGGAGGACAATCGCCAATGTGAAAGTGAAGGCGATGTACACCGATTAACTTCGATGAATCATGTGACTATCAAGCCTGCTTCGATGGCACACCCTATCCTCCGAGATGTCTCCTTAGATCTAGGCCGAGGTGAGCTTCTCCTCTGTGTCGGATCTGTGGGAAGCGGAAAATCAACACTGGCGCTGGCTTTGCTAGGGGAGCTCCACCTAACTTCTGGCACCATCCGCGTACAATCAAAGCAAATAGCATACTGCGCTCAAAAAGCTTGGCTTCCAAGTGGGACTATTTGTGATGCAATATCAGGAGAGGCTGTTGGTCTCAATCTAGAGTGGTACAACACGGTCGTTGATGCATGTGGCTTGCTTCCTGACCTTGAAGCGCTTCCGGACGGTGATAAAACCATGATCGAAAACAACGGAATCAATTTATCGGGAGGCCAGAAGCAGCGCATTGTGAGTTGTTTTCTTTTTCTTTTCTCCTAATTCAGTCATATTAACTTTGGTATCAAGGCTCTGGCTCGAGCCGTATACTCGCGAAACAAGATACTAGTCCTTGACGATCCATTCAGTGCGCTTGACAAAGATGTAAGAGAGCATGTCATACAGAGGCTGTTGGGATCAGGAGGTCTGTTCAAGCAGATGGATATGACGGTCTTTCTGATAAGCAATTTGGGTAAGTTGGAAATTTTGATCGCCCACATAAGTGCAAATGATGCTAAAAGAGTAAAGCAACGCTGCATCCATTTGCAGACAGAGTATTATCATTACGCGATTCAATGGCCTATTTACAACGGCCATTGAGTCGCAAAGGGCCAGAAGCTTCGACTGTTCTTTCCTCATCTAGGACATCTCCTGGTGCCAGCCTTGCAAACTCAAAAGCGCCAAAGGGATCAATTGAGAGGGCTGAAGTCAATCATGATGCAACCAATCTACCCCAAAGGACTGGAGACTTGGCAGTCTATGGCTTCTATCTCAACGCGGTCGGCCGGTTAAGCGCTCTTTTCATGACGTTCTGTACCGCTACATATTCTTTCGCCTTGACTTTCTCTACTTACATACTCAAATGGGCGGTTGAGGCACCTCTCAAAGACTTACATATGTACTTGGGCTTTTACGTCGCAATATCAGGCATTGCATGGATAGCAACAAATGGCACCATGTGGTGAGGATTAAAACGCTATTCTCTTTCAGCAATCATAAATGCTAACATTATCCAGGTCCACACATCTCAAGATTGCAATACGCTCAGGTGAAGTGCTTCATGCTCAGCTGCTGGGTACAATTCTTCGGTTAGCTCCATCTATCATTCTACAAACAAGCAAGCCAACTAACTCGGACAAGGGCGCCTCTCGCTTATTTTACAGATACACAGATTGGTGTGACATTAAATAGGTAAATATACTAGTGCTTGGAGTATTTCCTTTTACTCACTCCACAAATAGGTTTAGCCAAGACATCTCTCTTGTTGACAAGCAGCTCCCTCCGGCCCTAGCCAACCTAAGCGTCCGTGAGTGGTTCAAGCTTTTCTCTCCTCTAAACCCCGGTTTTCATTTGTGCTGATCATTACTACTAGAAATCTTCAAGCTTCTAGCACAGGTCGTGCTCATTTTGAGCGTCCAACCTTTGATGACAGCAACAGTCCCAATATGTTTTATCTGCGTATATTTCATTCAACGAGTATACCTCCGAACGTCTAAACAACTTCGCTACCTCGATCTGGAGTCCAAGTCCCACGTTTACACTGACATGCTCGACACGGTACGTATATCAAAGTATGTAGTAAGATACCAGTCTAAAACATTCCCAGGTCAATGGTGCAACCACAATCAGAGCATTCGGCTGGCAGCGAAAGTTCGAGCACAAATTTGATAAGGCATTGAACCTTTCTCAAAAGCCTTCATATCTCCTTCTCTGTCTGCAATGCTGGCTAAAGGTTGTCCTGGATTGCTTGATCGCATTGATCGCGATCAGTCTCATTGCGGTCTCTATCTTGTATAGAGACACAACAACCGGTGCTGACATTGGATTGGCCCTCAACCTCATCATAGTGGCAAATGGTACACTTTTGAAGCTTGTACAGTCATGGGCATCGCTCGAAACATCTTTAGGGGCCGTCTCTCGATTAAAGAGCGTGCAGGATTCGGTGTCGGTTGAAGACGAAGTCAACGTCTCGAATCCAGGTCCGCGATGGCCATTATCCGGTGAGACGCTGGTTGACAAGATCTCAGTCTCTTATTCTTCGTCATCCGGCCTTGCTTTGCGGAACATGTCTCTTCGGATCGATGGTGGGCAGAATGTTATCATCACGGGTCGAACCGGAAGGTATGTCATTCTTATTACGAAAGCAAATAAAGAGTCTCCCAGGGTATTCTATACTGACTGTTTGCTTGCGTGGGTAGTGGAAAAAGCACACTCATGCTTTCTTTACTCAAGCTTCTCGCTACGAAGGAGGGACTCATCACAATAGACGGCGTCGACATTGCCCAAATCTCGTCAAATGCCGTGCGCCAACGCGGAATTATTGCAGTACCACAAGATGGCTTCAACATCCCAACAGCAACACTTCGCTTCAACCTAGATCCATACCACATGAGCTCAGAAAAGACAATAATCGAGGCTCTGAAGAAGACACGACTTTGGGACAAGCTCACATCTGTTTCCACTGACGAATTCCATGGAAACTCAGAAACATTCACGAAAATACTTGATTTGCCAATGTCGTGCTTCCTGCCACTCTCTGCTGGTCAATTGCAGCTCTTTGCACTGTGTCGAATGCTGCTGCGGATATGGTCGATGGCAGCGACGAAGCCTATTATTATACTAGATGAAGCCAGCTCTTCTCTGGACCTGGAAACTGAGTCTATCCTTCGCGAGATTTTAGTAAAGGATCTCTGCACTCACACGGTCGTGATGATTGCGCATCATGTTGATGGGATAATCACCGCCATGCGACCTGGGCATGATAAGAATGTGGCGATACAGGATGGGCGTGTGTTGACAGAATCTTTGATTGGGAACGTCTTGGTTGATGTATAATGGGAATGAGTTTCGTTCTCTCAACGTATCGGTCCTTTCATTGGCTCATTGCACAAGACGGAATTTGATGGTCATAATGCTTCAACATGTACGTTTTCAGATCAGAATAATCCATCGATCAATACGAAGCACGAAACCAAGATAAAAGTATAACCAATTATAGATCCATTTTTAAATACAGCAGGGATGGAAAACTCCCCTCAAGCAATCGAATAAGTCCAGTTCGACGACTGCAGACAAAAGGAAAAAGGAATGTTGGGTGAACAAATTAGGAAAACCAAAAACCCCTTCGATCTGCAAGAATTATCCATGCAGATATAGAAACAGGGTAGCAGTAGCAGAGTGAGCGCTCTTTCTCTCATCCGCGCATATAGTCTATCAACGACCTCGAGCGCGGAAATAAGTCGCGGAGCAGAGGATAAACAACAAAAGATTTCAGGTCAGTCCATCTCAGACGGACCGGTGTAGAGTAGATAGAGGAAGATAGTAACAGGATCCCAGGAGAAAGGCGAATAGGAGACAGGAAAGGGGGGATGCTCCGGGAATAAATTTCAAGATGGACAAGAAGTCACCGGGTAAGGATGGGAATGTAAAGGCGGATGGATATAAGGGAGTATCATAAGCGACACGACGAAGCGAAGCGAAAAAAAGAAAGCAGGACTACTGTACGCCGATAACCAGGTTTGTGCGTGTCGGTCACAGCAGAAACAGACAATACCACGCCATATTGCAAGAAAGGAAGAATGGAAAAAAGGGGCGAAAAAGGCAAGATCGTCTCAGTCAAGCGTTGCATCATCCAAGACTTGGTGACCAGTTTACGAGATCACACGGGCAGTCTGGGGCCGCATGAGGTCTTCACTGGCCTGCTTGGACAAAGTGCCAGTCTCAGTCTGCTGGTCATCCATGCCGTCAGTCTCGTGGCTGTGCTCGTCGTCGTCCTCCACGATGCGGGTGGGGATGTCGCCGGGGCCGTACTGCTGGCTGGATCGCTCGGGGAAGGTGGAGCTGCTGACCATGGACATGGAAGTGCTGGAGCGGTTGTGAACCAGGTCAGGGGTGGGAGGGATGCTGGAATGACGGTTATCCGGGTGCAGCGAGCTGTGGTCAATATCACTGATTTCGCTGGTGGCACGGGTAGTACGGCCATCCTGGCTCTCGTAGTCGGAGACGGAACGCTGGTCGTGGGCCTTGATGGAAACGGAGTCGTCGTCCTCGGCGTCCTGGGCGAGGTGCAGGCCTTCAACGGCGGCGGCACACTGGTCGCTGATGCTGCGGATGATGTCTGCAATAGCATCGGTCTTGTCGCGGAGGTAACGGTCGGCGACATCTGTAATGCTCAGGCGAGCAAGGGACTTGTGGTCCTTGTCGAGGTTCAGCAAATGCTGCTCAAGCTCAGGTCTCATATGATTTACCGAAGGCTTTTGACCGATCTCCCTGCTCGAAGCTTTCCTCACGACCTCCACACTCTTCTCGCTCTTGTTGTCGGTCTCCTCGGGGGCGTCTTCGTAACCCTGCTCGACGATCTCAGTAATCTCGGAAGCACTGCCGATTGAGCGAACAATGTGCTCCATGTGGTGGCTCTGGCCGTTGATGAGGCTGCGCAGGTGGAGGACCACACGCTGGGCATCGTCACGCTGGCGGCAAAGGGTAGCGTTAGTGTGAGTAAGGCCAGAAATCTCCTTCTGGTTGCGCTTGCGCTCACGCTCCAGCTCCTCAGCAATCTCTTGCTGCAGAACCAGGGCCTCGAGGGCATCGTCACGCTGCTTCTCAGTGCCGGACAGGCGGAGAGTAAGGCGAGCGACGTCATCCTTCTGCTGGTCAATGAGGCCAGTGAGGCGGCGGTTCTCGCGCTTGTGATTCTCGATCTTGACCTTGAGTTCGGAGGTCTCCTTGGTGAGTTGCTCAGCAAAGGCCTGGAACTTGAGGAACTGCTGCTTCCAGGTCTCGAGCTCCTCGACCAAGAAATTGTTGCGCTTGGTAACCTTGCTGAGCTCGGTGTCCATGCGTCCCTTGAGGTTGATGAAGTCTTGCCAGGCCTCCATAGCATCCCGGGAGTACTGGTTGCGCTCACGAACGATCTCGTTGAGGTGACGCATCGAGACCTTGGTCATCAGGGGCTTCTTGACGGAGCCACCGAAGATGGCCTTCATGCCGGTGTTGCGACCGAGCTTCTCACAGACGTGGTCCATGACGCCCATAACAGCATCCTGGTTCCACCAGGTAGGGTCCTGGACGCTCTCAACCTCGCCACGCATGACAATAATCTGACCAGCAGGGATCAGCTTACCGCCAGCGTAAGCCGAACGCAGGTGAGCAGGAACACCAGAGGGGGAGAGATCGCCGTTAAGGGACTGAGTCAACCGGGTGATGAACTTAGTACGCTGGCCCTGGTTGAGGACATTGGGTGGGCTGGAGGTCAGAACAAAGTTGCGGTCCAGGTCCACCACCAAGGCATCCGAGGGAGCATTGAACAGAGTGCGGCACTCAGCGGTGATACCCAAAATGTAAGGACCAGGCTCCTGAACCAGCTCTTTGACATGACGGGCGTGCACCACGGGCACGTACAGACCACTCCACTCGTACACGCGAACGCAGTAACGAATAGTCTCGGCGGCCACGGTCAGCATAGCAGGGTAGTGGCTGACGAAGATGATACGGCGAGTAGGCGAAACGGCAGCCTCGATCACACCGACGATGTTGGGGATCGAAAGACAGTTGAAAAGGGGCCACATGGCGAAGTTCTGGAAACCAGTTGGCGAGGATGGGAACTGGTAGCACAAAGCGTAATCCTTCATATCAATGCGAACCAAGTCGTTCAAGCGGGGAGCCGGGAAGCTGAGAATCCGGGAGACTTCCTCGGCGTGGAACAGGTTGGTAGCCTTGTTCCAGTGAATCCACATGCCACGGAGGTAATCGCCCAGCAGGTCATACAATGGATACCGGGACAGGAAACTCAAGCAGTAGGGGATCCAGTAGGTCTCATCAGGGTTGTCGTAAAAGTCGGGCTCAGTCTTCTTGCGTAATTCGCGGATTGTCTCGGCACGCTTCTCATCAGCACGAGACCAAACGCGCAGCGCGATACCGTACAAAGTGTGAGAAGAGTCCTGTTGCAAAACAAAAGCGTGGTGGGCACAGTGAGGCTGGCTCTTGCCCGTGCAAATTTCGACATCGTGAGGGAAACAAGCCTAGATTGGAAGCATTCGGTTAGTTTTTCCGTTCCACATTCTTCCAATCTATATCAATCGGATCGTCGCATTTGAATCAACTTACCCGCATGGCTGCGTGCAGAGCGCGAGCAATCTCATTGTCCTGCTCTAACCGGGGGCTGCTGCCCAGGATCTCGGGAAGCCAGAATTGGCTAACGGCGCCCTTCATGTGGCCAATTTTGCCCTGGTCTGGAGAAGGAGCCTTGACCCATTGTGATGGCTCACGGCCGACACCACAGACCATATAGGCGTGGGTCAGAGTTTTTGGTGTCCGCTGAGCGGGCTTCATGTTGAGAGTGGAGGGAATGGGTTGGGTGATACGGGAGTGCAGCGACGACGTGCGACTGGGGACGACCAGCGAATTTTCCCCCTCGCCGCGAGTCGAAGGCCGGTCTCGAGTGGCCGGCCGCACAAAGGAACCATGTTCTCTCAGAGATGCTCCCATAATGGCGTGTGTATATAATCCTGACCCGTTTCAAAGGGTGAGGTGCACTATCAAGTGCCGGAGTATAAAGAAAAAACGGGGGGTTGAAGGAAAGACCAAGGATTGGAAGTCGAAAATTGATAGGTCACAAAGAGAGTGTTGATTCAGAGTCGGTAAGAGGCACCCCAGGCCATGTGTGAAGGTGCGTACAGAACAAAGTTCTATTTGTCCACACCAAAGAACCGAAGATGCCGAAGTAAAAGGGTTTAGGGGGGGGGAACACAATGGAATAGGAGAAGAAGCTGAGACCGAAGCTAAAGCCAAAGGGGGTTCATCCGGAGCCAGTTACGAACGACAGGAACCACTCGCGCGCGCCGGTTGGGATCCACCTGGTTCCGGTCCGTTAAATTAAATGGCAAAAGCGGAGATGCTCCAAATTAGAATGATTTCTGGTCCAGGGGTATCTGTTTTTCACGGAGAAGCCTGTCGTTATATAGCCACAGAAAACCTTGGAACTTGACGGGATTCACGGTATGCGCAGTATGCGGTGTTATATGTATAGCCCTGCGTCCAGGGGCCCAAATCCAATTTTACTGGAGTTACAATCGCAGCAGACATCAAACCTCCTTTCTACTGAAAAGTCCCCAAATACTACGCTGGATGTGATCTATGTACCTGGTCGATACATCCTGCATGGACAGCGTTTCAAACCCGTTGACCGCTGCTTTTCAAGCTTCTTTTCTTCCCCTCCAACCCCCAGAACCTTAAAAACTCGATAGATCATGTCAATAGTAACAAGCGACTTGTTCCTCTATTCTTTATCTTTCTCTTCTCTCTTGCCAAACTTTTAATCGATAAATCTTTTTTCAACTGATGCGACCGCACTGCAACTCTGTCTCGCCTGCGAGCTGCGAGGAGAGCGTTATCCACTATGACAACGGACATTATGATCCATGATTTCTACACAGACCAAGTCCAAAAATACGAAATAATACTAATCAAAACCAAAATTTCAAACACCAAGGAACTGCCCCAGTTCCTCGCGATCAAGGTCACTCAAAAAAATCCTGCATTTAGTGCCCGATCGTACCTTAAGATCGACAGAGATCCATGATTTGGAAACGAAGCACCATGGTTCCTGGAGCCTTGGGGCCGCAAAGCTTCCCAAGGCCCTGCAGTGATTGCGTCCCGCGTACCCGTCTCACGGAGAAAAAGCGCTGTGAGTGGTGCGTTCCCCTGGCCCCAGAACTTGGACCCACGATACCCAGCGATTCGTGTTCGATCGGTGGTCTGTGTTCGTACCCCTGAGAAACGAGGCCTTTTCGCAGCCTGCATGTTGTACAGGACATCCCCCTTGGATTACGTGCATCAAAACCTGATATCAGAAACCTCCGATTGCCTACAATTTGAGACAAAGGGGAATAAAAAAACCGCATGGCTCAGCCTTCTTCTTCCCCTCTTTTTGTTTAATTGAATTTTCGATGGGCTCCACTACTTGTCATCTTGTCAGAATCTACCGAGCCGACTCAGGAAGTTCGTAATGGAGATCCCATCGGTCCAATCGCCTCAATCCGTATTGGTGGGCAACCTTGTCTGAATTGGCGTCTGTCATTCGCATGGAACCCTTGGTACACGGGACATAGCTCCAGCTGATCTAGAATCAAGCGGAGAAATTCTGATCAAATAATCAAATAAGAGAGTTTTTTTTTACAAGAATCCAAGAACAAAGGATTAGATTATACTGGGTCACTAACAGGGATCAATCTCAAATCATTTCGGAATTCTGGAGCCGAGAAATTCGAAATCCACTCTCTCGCTGCAAGCTCTAAGGTTGTTCACTACCGTATGTTATGCAGAAAGGAAATTGCTAGAACCCAACTAAGAAACGCCTCTACTTTAGAAGGAAACGACCGTGGGTAAAACGGCTATTACCTGCGTCAAGAAGGCAAAAAGTTCACGTACACGGCACTTTTCCCCTCTGGACCTAGAGCCTAGACCAATTCTGGCCGTAGCTTCTGCCGATCATCCACCGGTGTTTCGTCTGCGTGGGTGCGGCCCACATTCCAGCTCGCCCCCAGTGTACCTGCAGGATACGTAACCGCTACTTCGGGTGTGGCGGGTGACCCATAACGACAGAGGTACCGTGGATGCTGCTGTCAGGTATCTGTGGAGACGCGCATGCTCGCTCCGATCTGGTAGAGATCAGAGTGCGTAGATAAGATTTTTACAGGCTTTTGTATGAGCCTGCCCAGGTGGGAAGTTGGCTTGGTCTGTGTGAAAGGCTGGGTATGTTACTGAAGTTCCAAGGTAAGTGTGGGAAACCGGGTTAGTAGAGATGTACACAATAGTCGAGAGGACTATTGAGTTGGTGGTCACAATCCACAGATGGCACTGGGATCAACCTTGGACAATGGCTAGATGCAGGCTGTGCTTTTTGCTAGTAAAATTGTATTGGTTATTTAGGGTATCTATTGCTACCATATTGCAATCCCAGCCAGAAAACATTGGAACATATCATGCAAGGCTCCTCTCTAATACTATACATGGCAGTCTCATCGGAAGATGTAGATCATGCCCGCTCGGTCAACACTGACAATCATGCCATACGGTTGTCGCAACACAGCTACATCTTGGATAATATCCAGATGGCTCTTGAGTAGCATCTGCTGCTGGAGACTAATCACCGTGCTGCGGGGAGGCCGTGAGCTTGCCTTCCGCGACCCTCCCGCTGCCTGCCCGCTACCAGGCGCATTGGGCAAGTGCTCGGTCGTCACTAAAAGATTTGGTCCAGGCTGAGATAGCTCGTAACGCGGCTTGCCAGCGTTAGCGCCCTCTGATACGGCATCCATCCCACTAACGATCATCGACAGCTCCGGGCGGGCAAGGTCCCAGAACCGGATTTTTCGGTCGCACCCCGCAGACACGATGAACCCGCACCGGCTGCTAGACGCTTTGTCGTCATCAGGGGCATTCAGACCCACTGCAAACGCCCAAGTCCCAAGTCGATCTCCAGAGGGGGTGTTGGGTGGTGACGCGGAACCATTTTCTCCAGTGGTTGGTGGCATGCCCGCCGCCGCAGGGCTGGCGGTAGCAAAGCGACTGAGCATTCCCTCCGGTCGGTCTTCGTCTACGGGCCACGCCTCAAAGTCTCTTGCCATGGTTCGGTGGCCACGGGCGTTGGTGGGACGTGAGGCACGATGCGTCCCATTAGAGCTGTTATCGTGCGTGTCCAGAGGCGTCGCCTGGTAGACCTCGCGGCACCGGAATCGCTCAATATCCCACACTGTAATTTCATTGCCGTGGCTGCCGCTGCTGGATACGCAAACCCAACGCCCACGTGGCTTGGTAGGGTGCAATTGGATTCGCTGGACGGATCCCCAGCCAGGAAGACCCCATGCCTTGAGTCGCACACGGAACCGCAGGTCCCACAGGTCCAAGATGCCATGCGTCGTGCCGACGAGGAGCCAAGTGTGTCGACGATCACAGCAGAAAGTGGTTGGGGTTCCATGATGCACGGGATTCTCCAGGGTGTAAACCGGTAGCATGGTCTTCATGTCCAGCGCAAGAATCCGACAAGCATTGGTGGCAACAAGAAGATTTGACTGGCCTTCATCCCGGAAATGCTCCATCCAGACAGCATACTCTGGGGATCCATTCTCCATGACAGGCAATTGGTACTCGCGAACAAGTTGAAGCTTTCCGTAGCGCACAGTCTCGTTGACTTTGTGATAGTCGACCCGAACAGCATGGATACTACCATCTGTCGCGCCGCTCACGAAGGTGTATGTATTTTCAACGAAGGTCAATGCCTGGACCCGGGCTCCGGGCGCATGGCGATGAGTCTGCCGGGAGCGAGGGGTTAAATTTCTCTCCAAACGCGTCGTATCCCAGATTTTCACGGTACTGTCATCGGACGCAGTGACAAAGAAAGAATGATCCGGTGGCACAGCAATACGATTCACCGGGCCGCTGTGCTCGCCAAAGGTCGCCACCAAGTTCCCCTCGGGTCGCCAAATCTTATTAGGATCGTGTGTGTTGGCTTTGCGGATTGGTTGTCGTAGATCCAGCTCCTTGACATATGGACCCAGGTCGAACAAATCAGTTGGGTAGTTCTCAGCAAAGACGTTGTCCAGTAGTCGCAAAACCGTTGGGTCATCGCCTGCATATGAGTGATTGGCACGATATCGCCGTGCTGCTGCCTGGACTGGCATGCGTTCGTAGGCTTGAGTGATACCGGATGGCTGGGGAGTCCCTGATCTTTGGACGGGGGCATCCACCTTTCCAAAGGCATTGGCAGAGTTTGTGCTTGTTTCCGCATTTGTCTTCGTGGTCTCATTGCGCCCGAGAAGGTTTATTGCGCTTGATTTCTTTTGCACCCTTTCGCTTCTAAGCGACATGTTGTCCGTATTTGTGGGCGTAGTTGATGAGCTTTCTTGGCCAGAACTCAGTCGCCGAGCGGGAGTAGGGATATCCAAGACTGGGGAAGACAATGGCCGAGTGCCGGGACCATAAGCAGGAGATGAAGCCGCGGGGGAAGATGCAGAGGAGTCTACTGCAGTGTCACCCGGGCGGCTCGCACGAATTTCCATTCCCTTGTGAAGTTGGCTCCGTGATCGAATATGCTTGTGGCCAGAATGAGGAGTCCGCTCAATAGTCGTAGAGGCATCAAGCAGTGCATCAGCGATAGTTCGCGGCCTAGATTCCTCGGGCCTTGGGCTTTCGGTTCGATCCCGGGATGTACTTTGCGGCTTGTCGTTGACGTTCTTATCAAAGAAAACTGTTTGGGGCGTGAGACCGTGTTGGGCCAAGCTAATGATATCGTTCCACGGCGGAGTAGGTCGGGAATCGACGTCCCTTGCTTGCCTCAACGAGACCCTCCAGATATAATCCTTGAGTGCAAGGAGCTTAAATTCGTCCTCGGGGGTCATTCCAAGATTTCGCAGCTTAGCAAGCCATTGTTCGTCTTCCTCATTCTTCGAGTGTGCACTTAGGGAAAAAGAACGCCCAGGTCGAAATCCGTGTGCACCAGGATCAGAAAGACTGAATGCACCATCGCGGCTCGCTGACTTCCAAAATATCCCTTTGTCCGACTTTGAGGCCCAGATGAATGCCATCTCGTACACATTCCTGGACATCGGGCGCTTGAGAGCATCGAGGATTTCAACCTCAGAAAAGCCAACGATCTTGACTTTGAGAAATGGTCGAATGAGGGGAGTCAGAATGGAGTAAATGTCAGCCACAGCCAGAAACTTGGTTGACTTTACGACCAGGTTCACCGCAGCCTCCCGGATCCAGTTGTTAGGGTGGACCAAGAACCCAAGGGTAATATGAAGCAGATCCCATATCGTAGATCGCTGGAATAACCCTAGGTCAGCCATAGCTCCTAGGCACCGAATTACCTTTTCCACGACAAATTCCTCGGGCTCCGTCATAGACTGGATCATCAGCGGCAGAATGTATTGCTCTAGGCTGGTGCTTCCCACGTACGCAGCAACACCAACGACAGCCTCAAAAAAGGCGCACTTTAAAATCCAATCCCGATCGTTGAGATAGGTGTTGAGATGACTGAGAACAACCTCGTTTGCCTTCAAATTACCAAAGAAAACGCAAAGTCTGGACACAGATCCCAAAAATGCTCGGCGGACCGTGGCATCGGTATCGGTCAAGAGAGCTTTTGTGTGAACCTCGAAGTACTCCATAAGATCAATCCGGGCCACATCATAAAGGTTATGATATGTAGCATCTTCAGTCCATCGCGGCTCAAAGCCGACAGGAATCAGCGCGGTTAAACGAGTATCAGAGCGCAGCGCCTGGATCATGTCCAAGAATCTCAATGAAGACTGCGCCAAAGATGCGATGCACGAGGCATATGCAGCACGAACCATGACACTTGGGTTACTCTTGGAGGAGATAACGAAATGCTGAAGTCGCGGGAAAATGTACTCAGGGAAGAGATATGCGTTCACTGGAGACACTACTTGCACCATCTCTAATAATTGCGTCAATGTGCGGATAGCCGCAACCTTCACACTATCTGTCCGGTCGGCCAAGAGAAGCATGATGTATGGCAGGACACGATCGAGTTTTGCCTCGTCAGACAATCTTTCTGCAAAGGCCAGAAGAATATCACAGGCTTTGATTCGAGCTGAAGATTTCGATGTAGTCCGAAGGTTGGAAACAACGAGGGTCAAAAAAATCAAGACACCCTCGTCAGGCTGTGTTCCAGATGCTTGATTGTTCCCGCCCTCCGGCAGATCAAGCTTTACAGGGAGTATGTCGCCCGTGAGTCGTGAAACGGCGGGGCTGGGTACACCCTGAGACCCTCGAGATGAGGAGCCAAGGAAATAAGAGATCTTGTCAAAGTCTAGACAGACTCGCTCTATCCTGTCATCGGGCTCACCTCTGTTGGCAGACTCCGCGTCCACCTTCGTTCTTCCCGAAGATGGATCCGTCATGAGGGACATGTATTGATGGAGAAAACTGTAGAAATACTCCGGGAAGGCTTTATTCTTCCAGAAATTCAGATACTCTTCTGCAGAATACCTAGACTCAGGTTCCAGCTGAATCATATGCATAATCAGTTCACGAATTTCGGGATCCTCAATTTTGGCGAGCGGGCCGTGCTCCGGGCTGTATTCGCCTTTTCGATATTTGTAAATTTGACTAAGTGTGAAAATTGGCGATTCGAGAAAGAGCTCGGCAATGACGCAGCCAGCACTGAAGATGTCCATAGCCCAATTAACGTGACGATTGCCCGGCTCTTCACCAGCGACTAGGAATCTTTCTGGCGCGAGGTAACAGGTTCGTCTACCCGATATATCAAAGTAAAAGGAGAAATCTGCGGGATTATCCTCGGGCAGGAAAGTAGGCTTGAACGAAGAAGAGAAGTCAGACAAATATAGCCAGTTCCATGATGTGACTAAGATATTTTCCGTTTTGATGTCGCCGTGAAAGACATCCATGGAGTGACAGTCTCGGAGAGCGCCCAAGAGCTGGAAGGCGATCCATTTCTTCTCGATGTCCTCAAGGAATGGACGGGTGCTATATAACAGTCAATCTTGGTCCTTGTATATCATATGTACCAAACCTGATCAGACGAACCTCATTCGATCATACAAAGAGCTATGGATGTATTGGCGTATTAGGTATCCACTGGTGCTGGTTTCCAGGAACCTTTCATAGCTCAATGCATTAGGCACATCAGATAACAGCTTGCGTTCCCCTGTGTAAATAAGATCAGTTCAGGTCCCACGCCTTATCAAGTGGTACACGCATACGAATAATGGCCTTGATATATGGCTCCAGCTCCATGGTCGGATAGGGCTTCATGATCACCTTCACAAAGACCAGACCGTTCTGTTGCCTAGCACGGATGCTCTTCATGAATCTGCCCCCACCCATGGACTTCTCATACACTAAGTCCGAGAGCTCGGGAACATCGATCCCTGCTGACCCTGCAGACAGGGTTGTGAGGGAATAACCTTGCCCCATGGTGTATCATGTGTTTCATCTCTCTCTTTTCTCCTCTTGACGTTGGAGAATGGGGAAATACAAGCAAACGATAACGCGAGTGAGGTCACTTGACACCGCCCCACGTGATGGTGATATGAAGGCGGTGAGGGACTGCCAACACACTGTTAGAGCTGAGAGCCGTCATTTCAGTCATAATTATTTCAATCTCGTATATATTCTCGAAGTTAGAAGGACCTTATGATCTGAGTCGAATTTTTACTGTCTACTTACTCAAACTCTCATGATGCGTGGTCGTGGGTAGTTCGACCCGGTTTTACAGGAACCGACAAACCAGGAGTAAACAAACATCCAAGGGGAATTGACCCTTGACAACTAAGTTTTCAGCGAGCGTGAAGACACTCTAAGTTTGAGAGGTGATTTGCATATGTTTAAGGTTCAATCCGGTGCGTTCTTATCTTGCATGGCTTTATCCTTTGAATCCAATCTGACAGGACCCGCCCACAGCTAAAATACGGGGCTCGCATTCCGATCTCGCCACTGAGCGCTCGGCATCCAGCATGGATTCTTCGTTCATCATGGACGATGTTGGGATCCCTGTTATTGACACCGATGAGTCTCTGTTTTCCATCATCCCAAAACTCTCCCAGTAGGCTCTAGCTGCAACCTTGCTCTTATTCCAAGTTTTCCAGACAACTCTAACTACCATGTAGATTTATCACCAACGCAGTTGGTGAAATTGCGTTTTCATTCGAGGACATGAGCCATGAATCTCGTGGCCACCGTCTTCGTCAACTAGTACACACTTTGGCCGAGGACAGTCACAATCCCTTCATTATTGTAGCCTTGATGATTCTCAAGTGGGAATTTTCAAGTGTCGCCGATGACGACTGGGGATTGTATGAAAGTCGAGGTGCAGCCTGTGAATTTGTTGCATGGCAATACCTGTGTTATCTGAACCAGATTGAAGCCATTGACTTTCTACTGGAAGAGCTTCCGATTCCCCGTCGCAATTCAACAAATCTGACCGAGGTTGAACGGGGTGATCCGGGCGATCCTGAGTTTGAAATTGCACACGAAACAGAAGCAACACCGCTTCTGTCCCGCTCACCGACCCCTCTCCACCTTCTTGGACTTGGTAAAAGAAGTGCAGCGGCTCAAAAGAACCAAGACTACTCGGAGCTCTATGGCTCAGACCATGAGAGGGAGGACTTTTCACGGTATTTCCAGTTTTTTGGGCTCAACGCATTGGAGATTGCGGCTGTCGCTCAAGCCAAAAGATTTCTTAGTCAGCGTGTTGTTCAGCGTATGGTCAATGACATCTGGAAGGGAGAGATTGTTTTCTGGGACTCGCTCACCGTTCTTTCGACCAAGAAGCCGCAAATATTCAACCGCAGGTAGGACCAGCCCTTCATCGCGTCCTAAATTCTCTAACATGATTGATTCAGAACAGCAGATCCATACTCGCGCATGCGGGTCCCTGTGTATCGAAAGATGTTTGAGGCAGGATTCTTTCTTTCCCTGCTGTTTCTGTACTACACAGTACTCGTGGAGAGGTCGCCAAGCTCAATCGGTCGATTTGAGATTCTGATGGACATTTGGATTGTCGCCTTTGCCTACGACGAGCTTAGTGGACTTGTCGATGCTGGAGTACTCTTCTATCAGATGGATTTCTGGAGCCTGTGGAACCTCGGCATTATAGGAGTTGGATTTGCATTCATCATTACCAGTAAGACTCCATTATCAAATATGCTCTTACGTGGCTCTTTACATTTTACATATGCAAAAACACCTTTTGGTCTTCATGGGCTAACGTGCAAATTACAGGGGGCATTGGTCTAATTAAAAACGATGACTACATCCTCAATTTGTCATTCGACATTCTCTCCTTAGAGGCACTCTTTCTGGTTCCAAGGTATGATGATCCGCATTTTCTTTGATTTCCATGGGTTATCAAATCTGACACCGAGGAACTCGCAGAATATGTTCGCTTGTAAGCTTGAATGCTTATTTCGGAAGTTTGGTAGGTTCAAAGAGCCCCGCGGCTATGAGTAAATTCCTGACTGTGGAACGAACAGATACCAGTGATGAAAGAGATGGTAAGATCTCAACCTAAACCGGCGCTCAGGCGCCCGAGGCTAATAAATTCTAGACAAAAGCATTTATGAGGTTTTTACCGGTAGTGCTTATCATTTACGCAGGTATGGATGACTCGAGATACGTGTGTAAACATGACTGACTGTAGGGGGTCAAAAAGCATTTCTGACAACCTTTTCGCTTCTTGCTCGTGACCGATTCTCCGTTAGTGAAATGTCTTACCTGCTGTTGAAGGTGTTCTTTGGGTGAGTCTGTGGAGATCTGTCTTGATCGTCACTTAAGGCTAACATTAAAATAGGTCTGGGACACTTGGATTGGTGGGTGGATAGAATCATAACCTTTGACAGTATCCTGAACTTACTAACGATAAATCAACTGGACAATAGGATAATGCATTGGAGGTTAGTCTTCATTGCCGATATGACCACCACGCCTTGGTTTACTGACATGCTTAACATCAGATCTCTCCGATATTCGGCTATGGCTTGATGTGAGTTCTTTCTGTTTGTATCTGATCCAGGTGACTGACATCAAGTACAGGTTGATTTTTGTCCCATTGAGCAACTTTTTGCTCCTTGCATGCCTTATCAGTTTGATGGGTATGAGTCTAGAGGGAGTAGGTCTTCTGTGACTTATATCAACAACAAGAGCTAAGCCCATTGTTTCTAGGTAATGGCCCACGCTCGTGAGGAGTATCTTTTCCAGTAAGTGTATCGAACCCACATTGCATACCCAATCCCAGTTGCTGACATACTCAGGCTATCTATCTACGTCCTGGAAAGTAGCAATTCCCGGCGCTTAACATATTTCCTGCCACCTCTGGTTCGTTCCTATCTTGAGCTTCCCTTCAAGATAAGGAAACCCCAATACTAACATAGACAGAACCTAATTCCACTCCTATGCATCCGACCTTTACGACTATTTTTATCCGCGGGGACAGTCCGCCGAGTACGCATCGTCTTACTTCGAGCAACCCATCTTCCATTTGTAATGATGATCTGGATTTATGAGTCAACCTGTCAAGATTCGGACAAATTATCCTCTCGGTCCTCTCGACCTTTAGGAGGACGACCACCTAGCACTGCCGCGAGCGAGCCTAGTGTTTCCAGGTTCCAGGCCCCAATGCATCCTTCTGTGGTTGAAGTGAATCGTCTAAGACTGGGCCATGAGCGACTTAATGTTGATTCGCAGGGAGCAAGTGACTCTAACATACCGCGATCTGGGCAGACACAGCTTGTGGATGTCATGGATGCTGTGGAACGACTCCGGGTACAGGTTGAGCAAGTGAGCATGACGCTCGCGGCGCAGCAACGAGGCAACTAAATGTATTATTCTATCTGTTTTGTAGTGACCTGGATCTTTTCATGATGCATATACTTTCGGGGAATTATTTTTATAGACAAAATACATTCAGTGAATCATAGTCCCCGGTCCCGACTTGAAGTGGAATTGACTTGACTTGGGAGACACCTTAAAAGAGCATTGGTGAAGCTCTCTATTCACACTCGATATATCTCACCTTTGCTTTCCTAAGAGAATCATTCGGAGTGCTCGGCCTACTTCGTAAAGCTCAGGGCCCTGTTTACTAGTACGGAATACGAGGAGCACCTACTAGGGTACGTACCTCTTGAGGTACGAGATACGACAAAAGCAACACGAAGGGATTATACTTGAATGTCAATCCGTGACCTACACAGAGGGGCTTGCTTCCCCGTTGAAAACCCCTTGTATATCTTAAAGGCTGAAGGGTTATTAGCATCTAATTGGAAAAAACGCATTCGGTTCAGATCGGATTTTAGTGTATATGTCACCAGCAAATGAAGCGTACATATCGTGCATACAAGTTGTCAATCTAACTTACATTTAGCTCATCAAGCTAAAGTAGCTGGTGCGCTTATCTTTTGCCAAATGAAGGGATAAAGAGTGGGTAAAGCAGGGATTATTGATTATGTTAGCATCTTCATGCAGGCGCAGCTAATGGTTCTTGCTCCAATTCCACGAATGAACTGAGAGCATCTACCCCACTCTTCATCATCGATCATTATTCCAAAAAGCCTCGGCATAAGATGAACTGCGTGTTTCGTTTTGAATCGCCTTTGATAAAAATAGCCCCCAAATGACGTGGACCCGCTCGGAGTTCCACGATCAGTCCTTTGAGTAACTTACACTCCTCCCCTCCCCGTCAGCCAGAATATCCGATTCAGACTGAAGCGGTCCTGAGACCGAAACACCCACCTACCCTTCATCATATGATCTGGTCGCGCAACAATGACAAGTGAAAGTCCTGTCATCATCGTCGGTGGCGGACTGGCGGGTCTTGTGGCTGCGTTTGAGCTCTCCAAGCGTCAAGTTCACAGCATCATCATCGACCAAGAGAACGAAGCAAATCTTGGGGGACAGGCTTTCTGGTCTCTTGGAGGTCTTTTCATTGTCAACTCTGCCGAACAGCGCCGGGTGGGAATAAAGGACAGCCGTGAACTCGCGCTGCAGGATTGGTTGGGTACCGCACGCTTTGACCGTGATTGCGATTACTGGCCGAAGAAATGGGCTGAAGCTTTCGTCGACTTCACGTCAGGAGAATTCGAAAGCTATGTCAAATCACTCGGCTTGAGTATTGTCAGTGTCGGCTGGGCGGAACGAGGCAGCGGAGACGCTGGGGGCCATGGAAACTCGGTGAGTCCGGCCCCCATTGTACTGAAACCACGCCACTGATAACAAGGCACAGGTACCAAGATTTCATTTGTCATGGGGCACCGGCCCTGCAGTGGTCGATATATTCGAGAAGCCTGTCAGAGAAGCTGCGAAGAAAGGGCTGGTGGACTTCAAATTCCGCCACCAAGTTGACTCTATAGTGGTAGATCAGCACGGTGCGGCTATTGGTGTGCGGGGCCAAGTTCTCGAGCCATCGGATACCGTCCGAGGAGTTGCAAGCAGTCGGAAGAGCGTGGACACATTTGAGATACGTGGAAGCAAAGTGCTCGTATCCAGTGGAGGTATTGGCGCCAACATTGAACTAGTTAAGAAGAATTGGCCCGTTGATCGAATCGGTGCAATTCCATCCAACTTCGTCGTTGGTGTCCCTGCCCATGTCGATGGACGTATGATCGGAATTGCCCAGGAGGCAGGCGCCAATGTAATCAACAGCGATCGCATGTGGCACTACACCGAAGGTATTATGAACTGGGATTCAATCTGGCCAGATCACGGAATTCGAATTATTCCTGGTCCATCCTCACTTTGGCTAGATGCCACGGGACACCGTCTGCCTCCAATGCTCTACCCTGGAACCGATACACTGGCTACGCTAAAGCACATCTGCCACAGTGGCCATGACTACACATGGTTCATTCTCAACAGAACGATCATTAGCAAAGAATTTGCTCTTTCAGGCTCCGAACAAAACCCGGATATTACCGGGATGAGCTATCTCCAAGCCCTGAAGCGTCTCCTGGGCTGGTCTCCTACCGCGCCTGTTCAAGCATTCATGGACAAAGGGGCCGACTTTGTGGTCGAGAAGACCCTGCCAGAACTGGTTGTTGGCATGAACAAATTAGCGAAGGAACGAGGTGGACCCGAACTTGACATTGAACACATCGAAAAAGAGATACATCTTCGCGACAGCCAGTGCGACAATCCATTTAGCAAGGATGCCCAGATAATGCTCATTCAGAATGCACGCAACTATTGGCCTGAGCGATGGTCCCGGGTAGTCAAGCTTCACAAGCTCACTGATCCTAGCCATGGCCCCCTGATCGCAGTCCGGTTGAACCTTCTGACTCGAAAGACCCTTGGCGGATTAGAATCGAACCTAGACGGAAATGTTCTTCGTCCAGATGGAACAGTCTTCCCGGGGCTGTATGCTGCGGGTGAAGTTGCTGGGTTTGGAGGAGGTGGAGTTCACGGATACAGTGCTCTTGAAGGCACTTTCCTCGGAGGCTGCATTTTTTCAGGACGAGTGGCAGGTATTAAAATGGCTGAGGCAGTATTAGGGAGCTCAAATGAGTCCTTCTAGGGGTTTAAGAGTTTATGAATATCAGAATTGAATGTCCGCAAGCTGATATACCAATTAGTCGTGTATGTTAATCCATATTAAGCATTTCATCAATTTCAAAACATGAGGACATTGAGAGATTTGACATCTAGCATATCTCCATAACATAGAAGTCACGGAATCTACTCACTCGCTGAGCATCTTCACAACCTTGAAGCTTACATTTGGACATGATCGAATATACATACTTTATCCTTCGACCGAGGTACACTCATAACTCGGGTCCGGCCCGAGCTAGGGAATTGGGGATTGGGATGATTCGGGTTCTTTCCGGTTGATTGATAGAATCGAGCACCCTTTTGAAGTGGAATCTTAGAAACTCAGATGGCATGTAAATGATGCTTTACCACATGTTATGTACCACACACAAGGGCATACCCATAGACAGTCCTGTGAATTACAGAACAGTCCGGTCCCCTTATAAGCTGATCGAGTGCAAGACCGGGTCGTTTCCGAACTTCAACAACCCCGCAGTGTGTTGGACACATCAATATGCAAGGCCATTTGATTATGTGCTTGGTTCTCACCTGCTTCTCACACAAAGCTGAGTCGACTGCTTTGAGCGATTTGAGAGATATTACGATGGATTGGTTACAAGATAAAGCGCTTGGTTGGATTCCGGGTCCTCCAGTCAACAAAATTGACACTCATCACCATTATGTCCCACCATTCTATGCTGAAGGTATGGCTATTGCCACATCAAAATATGTTTCAAGGCTGATCTTGTGTTTGTAGCTATTGAGAAAGCTGGGGGTATTGAATCTCAACCTTGTCGCCAGTCACGAGCTAATTTTTAACTACCTTGACAGGGGACCCCAGTGGCTGGCCCACGCCATCTTGGACATCCATGAGAAGCAAGCTCCTCATGAAACGTCTCGGTGTCCAGACAGCCATTCTCTCTGCGACTGCCCCCGGAGCCTGTATCCTCAAGGGATCCGAGTCCTTTAAGCTTGCCCGTCAGCTCAACGAATTCGCCGCCGACCTGCGGGACAAAGAGCCTCAGCAATTTGGCTTCTTCGCTGCCCTCCCTGATCTCCTCAACACAGAGGCTGCTCTTGCTGAAATTGCACACAGTCTGGATATATTACATGCTGACGGGGTGACCCTTTTCACACGCTATGGGGATAACCATACATATCTAGGTCATTCGTCACTCGAGCCCATTTGGGCAGAGCTGAACCGCCGCAAATGTGTTGTCTTCATTCATCCAACTCATCCGGTAGACACAACCATGTTCAATCCCAAGCTACCACAGCCTGCATTAGATTATCCGCATGAGACCACACGATGTGCGATGGATATGATCATATCTGGTACAAAAGCAAAGTATGCGGATTGCAAAGTCATTCTCTCGCATGCGGGAGGAGCTTTGCCATATTTAATCACCCGGGTGGCCACTCCATTGCGCAAGGCACCGAACCTGGTGGCGGAGCATCGCATGGGAACCAACTACCAGCAAATTATGGATGATTTTCGAAGCTTCTACTTCGACCTCGCATTGTCGAGCTCTCCGCATGTTTTGGATATGGCGTTGAAAATGATTCCGCATGATCACATCCTATATGGGGTAAGTGTTCCGTGTTTGGTTCATGTATCACTGTCCTCATGCAGCATATAGAGTGATTTCCCATACGCTCCCATTACTGCCTATCCGGCTTTCTTGGAGGACCTCGAGGGATATGACATGAGCAAGGAGCTGAGAAGCAAGATCAATTTCCAGAATGCGGTTTCGTTGATTCCTCGGCTGGCACAAAACACTAGCCAGAGATTGTGAGAGCCAGTCTTTTTTTTTATTTAGCCTAAACAATGAAGCTTCCAAATACCAATTGGTTTTGCGTAAAATAACGATGGCGTTGGCAAGCTGTTTACCAAGCTGTTGAGCCCCACACGTCTGACCGCCTTCCCGCACAAAACGGACACGACTTCGCGGAACTTTTTTTTCTTTTCTTTTCTCTCCAGTCCTGCAAACTCCATGGGCTGAGCGCGTTTATATTTCCCAGTCCATGGATCTATCAAACGCATCCAGGAGGACATTGATCAACACTCAAGCATATGAGCATTGAGCCCGCACTTGTAATCTGCACTTAACCTGTTACATCTCAGACCTCTAGTCTGACCATTGACACTATGGACACCTTAGCAGAGACTTCATGGGATGTGGTCATTGCAGGAACAGGGCTGGCTCAATCTCTTTTAGCCTTGTAAGTCTCATCGGTCGAGCTGGAATGTCCACCACTGACGCGTTATCTTTCCAGATCCCTCTCTCGGTCGGGAAAGAAAGTTCTCCACTTGGATCAGAACCCATACTATGGAGGATCCGAAGCAGCCTTTAGTCTGGATGAGGCTCAGGAGTGGGTGAACAGTGTCAACCAACGTGGGTTGCCGCCGAGTGTGTTCTACATTCCGGCATGTTGCTGATTTCTGTTGATCCGCTAGATCCTGGCCAGTCTCCATTTGAAGATGCCAAGGTTGTCACTTACCCTCTAGACTCCTCCCAGCCCAGCTCCGAGGGCGGCGATCGTCCATCAGATGCTCGCCCCAAGCTGGCTGCGAGTCGCGCCTACACACTTTCTCTTTCCCCGCATTTCCTCTACACCCGCTCCCAACTAATTTCAGTCCTAATATCTTCCAAGGTCTACCGCCAGCTGGAGTTCATGGCCGTAGGAAGCTGGTGGATTCATTCTGAGCCCAATGCAGAGAACACCGAACTTGGAGCCACGAGAAGCTTTCATCGTGTGCCCGGCAACCGAGAAGATATCTTTGCTGATACTCATATCAGTATGAAATCCAAGAGAACTTTGATGCGTTTCTTGCGACATATCAGCAAGTCGGCTGATGAAGACTCCGAGGAGTCCGAAGAGGACCTATCGGCACCTTTCGGGGACTACCTTTCATTCAAGTTTGGTATTCCAGAGGATCTTCAAAGTCCTTTGCTCTCGCTGTCGCTGTCTCAGCAAACCCTCCAGGACACATCAGCCAGCCATGCCGTTCCTCGGATCAAGAGACACCTTGCATCTATCGGTGCTCTCGGACCAGGGTTCGGAGGAGTTATATCCAAATATGGTGGAGGGTCAGAGATTCTTCAGGTTGCCTGTCGAGCCTCTGCTGTGGGTGGAGGTGTTTATGCTCTCGATACGGGGATTCAATCACTCACTGATAATGAGTCGAGCGATGAGTATCCTGTAGAGTTGCAACTCTCCAACGGTGAGTCGGTTCGGACCAAGTCTGCGATCGGTACTGTATGGGATCTCTATCCTACCCAGGAACGGCCACTGTCTTGTGCTAAATTTACACGGTCAATTACTGTGGTCGCCTCAGATTTCACATCACTGTTCCCTGTCACGGTGGAAGGGGCTCCTGTGCCCGCCAGTGCTATCCTGATGTTTCCAGGGGATACCTTAGGCAGTCCGCAGTCGCCGCCAGTGTATCTCCAGGTCCACTCGAGTGACACCGGCGACTGTCCACGTCAGCAGAGTAAGTCTTTCCTCAACCCACTTGCCCACCCTCACCTCGCTCTTATGATGACTACCTTAACTTATCTACATTGCCTGTAATTGCATTGATGAAAACGTTAATCTATCTATAACTGATAAAGAGCAAAACTACTCTATTGTGGTTTCACCCAACTTTTGATTCGATCATGAGGCTAATATAGCATCAACAGGTATAATCTATGGCAGTATCTCTATGACAGGTCCAGAAGGCCAGACTCTCTTAGAGCTCGCCGTGGACCGACTCATTAAGGCCGAGGGACCCCAGGCTGTTGCGCTTTGGTCCATGCGATACAACCAGCAAGGTCGCCTTAGTAATGATGGCTCATACCCTACTATCCAGGCCCACTCGCCCCATGTCTACAGCTTCCCGCCTCCTAGCCTGGATTTGGCCTTTGAGGACGAGAATATTGACATGATCAAGCAGGCGTGGTTGAAGGTTGCCGGCGATGAAGACCCTGATGATTTTATGATCTTTGACGATCGCGAGGGCGCAGACGATATGTAGCATAGCACGACTTGAACACTTTGTGCCAATAGTTTGTATAGAACATATAGCTTCATGATACCAATAGTCTTGTTCAAGGCTCTTATGACTCAAGGTTTTGCAATCCTTCATTCAATTCCACCTTAGATCCAAACAAACTCGCCTTCCATAGTCAACTAGTCAACTGGATCAAGAAATTTCAACTTATCCTCAGTGTCCACGACCACGCCCACGTCCGCGCATAAGGCCCCGTCCTCGACCACGTCCATGCCCATGCCCATGCCCATGCCCGTGCTCATGATGCAAATGCCCGTGCCCTTCTGGAGGCCCATATCCAGGTCCAGGTCCAGGTCCATACTGCTCAGCATACCTCCTCTCCTCCTCATGCCTCTTGTGATCCTTACTGTATCAAACCCCCCATCAGCATCAAAAATAATGACAGAAACCCCCATAATAAGATCACTCACATCTCATGGCTAACCATGTTCATCCCAACAGCACCCAAAACCGCTCCACCGGCCGTTCCAAGAAATCCCCCTTGCATCTTATGGCCCGCATACCCCCCAGCCGCACCCCCGAGAAGCGTTGATCCAAGGCCCCTCTCACCCTCGCCCTCTGGACCTACGCCAGGACCAGTATTGACTCCATTCGCTTGGTCTTGCGGTACGGCCGTATAGTAGGATGCGTTCTCACCACTACCTTTTTCCTGGTTTGGAGGGTAGGATCCGTATCCGTGTTCTTGGTTGGATACTTGGGGAGGGTATTCAGAGCGAGGGTAGTTTTGGGGTGGTCGTTCGCTGTATGGGGGTGGGTAACCTGTAGCTGCACCAGCATACTGTGGCTCGCTATACGGATGTGCCTATATTGTATTAATTTAGCTATGGATTTAGGAAGGCGTTCATGTTTGATGTTCTTATACTTACAGCCGGGCTGTATTGGTAGTGCTCCTGTTGAGGCACGGTACCCTCCTGGTGGGGCGGGTAGGCTTGGCCTTGAGCTTGGCCATGGTAAGGTTCATAACCGTTCGGTGGGACTGTATAATTCGACATAGCCACTGATTTGGGACTGGTTGAGGGTGAAAGGATCAAAGCAAAGTGATAGAGTACAGAAGAAAAGATGAAATTAAGAGGGGGGTGTTGTTACTTTATGGGATGTGCTCTCTACCCACACAGCCTCTTCCTTCCTAATTTGGTTGTTCACATTTGCTGCGGAAAAGTGGCATTCGCAGCCTTAGGGTATTGGATTAGCCGAGTGGGGGAATCATCGTGTTGATGTGGACATGCAGATGTGTGCGTCGTAACTAGCGTGGCGTTGGTATCCAGAGCTGAAATCGGTACATGTAGATCAATCAGATGCAGGCCGTCAAAGTCGGACGTAGATGATAAGTTGCTGGAAGCTACATCCCAAGTCCGCATGTGCAGAGCAATGAATAATTGTAGGAAGAAGCTGGTAGGAAATGATTTGTGGATAGCCTCCCGTTCTCTCTAGAGTAATAATCCAACTTATTACTCTGACTCGCAGCAGTAACCACTCAAACAGTGTAGTGCCCTAACTGAGTCTCTTGCATGAGCCAGCGTTTACATAATCCAATGAGGTGTCCATCAATCCCCACCAAACATCACACTGCTGCAAGGGAGAGCGATCAGCCAAGATACGAGGGTGGCTAAGTGATCTCCGTCTATAGTATTCACTCAAGCCCACGAGCCCAGCCACGTAGGTAAAGTTCTAAGCTTAGGACTCGGGCCAAGCGCACGCTTGCTCTCTTCAACAGCACTGATCAACGCATCTGCATACTCTTGACGACTAGCATCACCAGATGATCGCGACCTGACACGATACTTCTCCGAGAGGACGCGACCAACCTCCCACCCCGCATCCTCCTGATCCTCCGGGGATCTAATAACATCTTCCTTCTCAAGCACCCACCCCGCCTTGAGCGCCAGCTCCCGAATCTTCTGCGGGGTTATAATTGACTGGATATTATCATGACGGTCCAAGTTATCGTCCCTGGAATTGAACTCCGCTTGTGAAATTGCCGATAGCAGGTGTGGCAGAGCGGCAATATCCCCTTGGATATCAGTTGAGTACTCTGCAATGCGGAGGTGCTTTGTTCTTCCGCGTAGAGCCACCAGCATCGGCGTCAGTGCTTCGGCGGATGGAAGGTACCAAGTTGAACGCGCGAATACGGTGTAGTCATACAGTGGTTCTGAGGCGCTAGAATTGAGGAAGCCTTCAAGATCTGCTTGGTGGAACGTGATCCGGTCACCGATCTCACTCTGTTTTAGCTTGTCTTGTGCTTGGCCCAGCGTCATGGGTGCTCCTGCTTGGACTGTTAGCATGATTGTTGTGTGCGGTTGCTTTCTGCTTTCCGATAAACGAACCGTAGTCCAAAGGCGCCGGGTCAATTCCTGTGATGTGGCCCTGCTCTCCCACCAGATAGGCCATCGCCAGGGTGCAATCTCCTTGCCCGCAGCCAATTTCGAGTATCTTTGATCCAGATGGAATATCCCATGTCTTGAAGAGGTCGACCCTAGCCTGGATTTGAGGCTTGGATGATCCGCCGTCTGATATCCTTGCAATCTCAGTAACGTCTAAAGACATGACTATAATTGGTTTAATGTTTGGGCTGAATTTTGGTAGTTTCAAGAGGTATATTGAAAATTCAGTTGGACTTAATGTCTGTTTATATGTATTATGCACATATATAGACAGGAAAATGTCTGCCGGGTGGGTCTTTCCTAACTGGGCTGCCGCCGCTTTTATGAGGGCGCTCAGGCTCAGGCTCACTGAGTAAACGTGAGCACGGGTTAGACCCCGATTCACCAATTGATCAGGTTTAATTGGTTGAACCCACAGTGGATCTATGGGCCGAGACCCAGTGATTACGCTCATGTTGATCACGTGATGTAGGACTCATATATGGCACGCTCAGTGAGTGCTTAACTTCGTAAGCAAGATTTGGCTAACTTATACTAAACAGAAATTTATTTCCAGCGGAGCATACATTCAAGAGTACACCATTCACCAGTCGATGATTGACCAAGGTCTGTCTCATGGAACCACTAGGGATTCAATTTTCCATAACCGGCCAGCATTAGTGGGCTATGGGTCACCATTAAAACCACAAAATATTCAAGATAATAGACAGTCCGACCAGCAAAAGAGGGGACATATTCTTCAATGACCCAGCGATAGAGCACTTCGTTTTTCCTAGAGCAACTCTAAGTCAGTTCCTAGGTCAAACCGAATGGCAATAATCACGAACCATCGGCGTAGTCACACATCAAGGCGTATGAAAAAGTATTTTCTATCCACTGCGTGTTGTTCCAACTTGTGCCATTGCATTTGCTGTATACGCAGTCCGTCAGGCTGTCAACCTGGCCATCCGAAAGACTGGTTGCTGCATTATCGCAAATACATTTAACAACGGATTTCTTGGTGCTTGCCATCGCGGTAGGGGGGCTACCACAGACTGTGCTGTCGACTAATACGTTGTAATAAGATTCGCCATAGCAATTCTGTGCACAAGACGGATAGCCATCGACCCAGGCACTCCAATCACATGGTGTAGTTATTGCCGATGAAGCAATGGCCAGAGCGAGTATTAAATGAAGATATCGCAGCATGGCAAGAGAAATTTGAAGATGAAATGGCTGCAGCTATAAAAAAAAATAATAAAATAAAAAGGTGGCAGGATTGCACCATGCCAGGGATATATAGCCACCAAATCATTTCGGCCTGGGTAAAACTTACTGGCTATCTTAAGTAGCCAACCAAATCATAGATGGACTAAGGATCAAAACGCGAAGGCAGCCACGATACGAGGCTTGTTAGCATGGCACTAACAGTGGGTAATTCGCTGTCCGCCCCGGTCGGAGAACTCGAGGGACCTAAAATTGATGTTCATCTCGCCTGCAGCTGCTAGAGGGAAGCTATGTACAAAGTAGGAAAGCAATTCGCTGGAAAATTTGGGCAATTGTCTAGCACAATTTAGGCCTCATTGATCAAGCTGCCGACTGATCCTAAAAGAGGCTAAAAGGTCACGATTCTGCACAGGCCCCTTGGCTCGATCAGTATCAGGTCTTACAACTAGCAGATCAATGATAGATAAATCTAGAGTCACAATGGCATTGAGACCTCGCCCACAAAGCCAAGCTCATTTGCGCAACAAAAAAAGTATCCTGAGCTGTCTGGCAGGGTTGATGGTACTAGGCCTAAAGGGTGGCTTTTCATCTCGCTAAGCTTTGATAAGCATTCGCAAGCTTTGATTGACCCGAACCCTCTCCACTTAAAAGTCCCCGCTCGTGCTCGCTCGGCTCATTCTATATCCGTGATCCTAGGTAAATTCCCTCTCTTCTTTCCACACTCAAGTGCGAGTAACGGAGTGAATTGAGATAAGAATAATTGGGCCATATGTACACAAAGTCGAATTTTATACATTCTGAATCAGCGGACTGAGTATAGATGCATATATTATCTGTGAATGAAATAGACCTCTGTAAACTATAGCTCACGAGCGTACCATCGGTATATCCAAAATTACCTTTATTTAATTGAGATTTGCAATGGTGAGATAGAACCATTTATCGTCCCCACTCTCTATGATTTCCATTAAGTCTACATCGAACGGTCCGCCGGCAAGATACCACCGAGGCCGCGCCTCCCGAAAATAGGACCGAACGCTTGATTAGTGGCGCTGCTAGTGCATAAGTCTTTTCTCTATCGAAAAAGCCCGGTCAAAATCAATGTAACTGCACCTCAGCATGGAACTCAGGAGCATTCGTCTGGAGCCCTGTACTGCCCACCCATTGAACATTACGGCAGTATATCAGATTGTATAATAAAATTTGAGTGGGCTCATGGAATTTGGAACATGAAGCTTGCCCAAAGAACATAAGGTGCTATCTTGCTACCCTGGCTGTCAATGTGCACAGCTTTGGGGGCTGAATGGAACGAGCTAACTCCATAGCCTACATTAGTGCACAGGAAATGAATGGAAAATAATTTGGAAATTATGAGCTTCTGTGTCCTAAATTAAAGCGGAAAGCCGGGAGGTAATAAGTCTCGGAGGACTATAAATTCTTTCTTGGAGGAGGGACTTCTCATCATTCAGCTTGACATTCGTTTCAACCTTCATTCTTTACATTCGTTCCAACCTTCATTCTTTACTTTCCTTCTTTCAATTGATTTTCACCAGTGGGCCTCTTTTTGCCCTTGCTCATTCATGATGCGAAACATCGTCGGAGGCATCTTGCTTGCTGCTGGCTTGTTCACAACAAATGGAGGAGCAACCACTCTTTCAGGCGCCGCCTCAAGAGTACAAAAGCCAAGCCGCTGCCCAATGGCATGTGACACCTACGACTCAAATGGGTGGTATGTGTATTCAAGTGCCTCGCGAGTCGCCAAATGTAATGAAACAATGCTGCTCGATTTTGCGATTCACACTTCTTTGAATGATACCAAGACCCACAACACGATTCACACGTGCATCGCAGAAGGCTTGGATACACAATTCTTGAAGAACGATGAGATCAGCTGCTCTGGAGAATTTCTCGCCTCTACGATCGACTATGAAGTTGGTCTTTGGAACTCAGCACCTACTACCGGAACAAAAGCCTCCGGGGTTGAAGTCCTGACCAACCTCAAAACATTCCTTGTAGGCGACTGTCAAAAGTTAACTCTCTTTGGATATTCCGATGGAGCTGCTGTTGGAGTATACGTGGGCGCCGATCTTGCAAATGCCCACAACATCGAAGTGGCTGTGGGAAACGCGATCAGTCAGCTACAGAACGGTGCTGTTTCCTTTGTCTGGCAATACTGTGGATCTACCAAAAGTGACACTATTGGGGTGACTGTCAATCTTGATGGTGATCTCGCCATTTTACAGAATCATGTTGTGACTTGGAGCGAGGGTGGATGTATCACTGGCTTCGAGAGTAATAGCATATCCAACGCAGTCATCCAGAAAAAGTCCAGCGTCAGAACGTCCACATCATTGACAAAGAATCATACTGTTTTGGCTCGATCTTTCAGCCACATCAAGTCTCGTGGCCATAAAAACGCCCACGATCGAGTTCATCAACGTCGCTCAACCTGCTCCTACGTCCAAGTTGTATCTGGAGACTCTTGTGCATCTCTCGTGACAGAATGTGGCATTACCGCGGCGGAATTGACCGAGTATAACACGGCTTCTGATTTGTGCTCTACTTTGACCGTAGGCCAGTATATTTGCTGTTCGGCTGGCACCCTACCCGACCTCTCCCCTTCCATGTACTCAAATGGAACATGTTACACGTACAATGTGCAATCGGGCGACACATGCTCTGCTATTGCTGAAGACTATACGATAACGGTCGACGACATCGACACCTATAATTCTGATACCTGGGGCTGGTACGGATGCGATGATTTGCAAGAAGGCCAAAACATCTGTCTCTCAAATGGCACATCTCCTTATCCAGTTGCCCTCGCCAACGCCGTCTGTGGACCACAGGTCCCTGGAACAAATTTTACTGGAACAGATGGTCCAGACGACTGGGCTGCTTTGAACTCTTGCCCTCTTAATGCATGCTGTGATGTCTGGGGCCAATGTGGTACCACTCCGGAATATTGCAATGATACTCTGGCATCCACCGGGGCGCCCGGAACGGCAGCAGAAGGATCTGAAGGATGTATCTCGAACTGTGGTACGGCGATCACCAATGATGCTGTGGCTCCTTCCTCCTACTCTGCTATTGGCTACTATGAAGTGTCAAGCATGAGTCGGCCTTGTCTGCAGATGAATGCTTTCTCTATCGATGTTACGAAATACACACATGTGCACTTCGCTTTTGGCAACATCACATCAAACTTCTCTCTTAGCGTTGAAGGAGCTGCAGAGCAATTTGGGTATTTCCAGAAGCTCGAGGACGTCAAACGTATCATTTCATTTGGCGGGTGGGCATTTTCTACCGACGCTGACACATATATGATCTTCCGGGAAGGTGTTACGGAGGCTAATCGCGACACTCTGATCACCAATGTGGTTGATTTTATCTCCAATAATGACCTCGATGGGGTGGACTTTGACTGGGAGTATCCTGGCGAGCCTGATATTGCTGGTATCCCAGCAGGTAGCAGCGACGATGGTGACAATTACTTGGCCTTTTTGAAGGGTTTGCGCGACGCTCTACCCGACGATAAGACAATTTCTATCGCTGCGCCCGCGTCCTATTGGTATCTGAAACAATTTCCAATCTCCGAAATTGCGGATGTTGTCAGTTACATAATCTATATGACCTATGATCTTCACGGAACATGGGACCTTGGAGATGAATGGGCGCAGGATGGCTGCCCTGCCGGAGATTGTCTTTTTTCTCACGTGAATTTGACTGAGACAATGTGGTCTCTTTCCATGATCACAAAGGCAGGAGTGGCAACCAATTCTATCATGGTTGGTGTGACTAGCTATGGGCGCTCATTTCAAATGACTACAGCAGGATGCACAGATTCTTCTTGTACTTGGAGTGCGGCTGGCGAGGCTGGCGAATGCACCCAGACTGCTGGCTACATTTCAAATGCGGAAATCAACCAAATCTTAGATGATAACTCTGACGCTTATTCTCTTTTCGACAGTGCTAGTGATTCGAACATTGTCGTGTATAATGAGACGCAGTGGGTGGGTTATATGACCACGACGACCAAGTCCACTCGCACTTCCTACTACAAGACGTTCAATTTTGCTGGCACAACTGAATGGGCCATTGACCTTGAAGAATTTGTTCCAGCCAGTATCGTCGACATCATCTCCGATAGCACTGATCCGTCTTTTGACTATGATCTGCCTTGTATCAATCTCATTCCCGGCCAGAATACATCAGTCGAACTGGAAGAATACTTGGATATGGGTATCTCTTATATTGACAAAATCCTGACTTATGACGGTGAGCCTCACGCAGGATTATCTTTCAAGTTGATAAGCTCAAGGCTGACTCGTCCTTTCTTTCAAGGCGATGAAGGAGATTGGGACAGTGTGCTTTTACAGAGGCTTGAAGACTTCAGCTGCGATTCCTTTCCGGATGGTGACTGTGGGTTTATTGAGCCTTATCAATGTGGCACTTATGATAACACAAATGTTACCCAAGAGGAGTACTGGGCTCAGTACATTGTTGCCACGTTTTTCGCAAACTTGAAGCAATGGTACAGTGCCTTTGATGGCGCAGTGATTGAAGATTCCTTGAAGATTGATGAAATCGTTTCAACATTCGACCCGGTAACTTCAAGTCCTTTTACTATGGAAAGTTTTATGTCAGCTCTTTCAAGTGCAATGAGCGATGCTTCCGAATTTGTGGGAACTTTCCCCGGTTTCAGCGAAGTAAACGCAGCTGTCAGCATCGCAACGACCGTCAGTAGTCTCATCTTCAATGGAGACGCATCTTTGCCAGATGATTCGACGGTGGAAACCGAGATCACAGACATTTTGTCCGAACTTTACAGTAGTGTGGCGGGCTACGTGGCCGATATTGACACTTATCTGTTTGAAACGCCTGCCGAAGCAGACAAGCTGCCCTCCGACCTCACAACCGGCACATACGAGCACCCGGTTTCTAACTACCTTTACAACTCTCGGCCACTTCTCACGCTCACCGCCAGTCAATGGGACGAAACAATGGGAAAGATCAATGTGACTTTGCAGAAATATCTTGTCGGACAAACTATGGGAGCTGCCGACTACTACATCCTCAAGAACGGACTGTCCTTGAATTTGTGCGATGACGTGGGATCTTATGTCATTAATGGTAGCTGCTATCAATTGGCTTATCCTGGCGCCGCCAGTTGTAGGCAAGGGCTTTCCTACAGCACCAATGCCGATAGCGATATCGTCGACACCATCGTGAATTCCTATGACATCGAGGTCAAGGAAATGATCATTGTCTCGGAGTATTGTCAGAACGTGACTGGGGAGTATTTTGGAGCATTCAATGGAGACGTCAAATTCTCGGGTTATCCCGTGTGTTTTTTCAATCTGCCAGTACTTGACTTGTTCAAGTCAGCTTCTGTCGCATGGGATGGAGTCGATTCCTGGGATAGTCCATGTCTAAACTGGGCGCGCAATCAGAGTGCCACGGAACCGGTATTAGGTGTGACATATCTCCCAAGCAATTTGGAAACATTCTTCGATGGCACTTACTGTAAGTGTACGTCAAGCGCTGCTTGCAAGCGCTCGGAACTGGGCAAGCGAATGGTATGCTAGAGCATTTCGCAAGAGTTGAAGACTGTTGGCGAATTTAGTTCTCTTATCGACGGAGTATTCAATAATCTACAAGATCATTGCACTTGAAATAAAAACTGCAATCATATGAATTACTGTTCAGATTTATGCTGTTCAGATTTACCTGAGTAGTAGTGCCTCAAGCACACTAGGCGTGACGGATGCCTACTTCAGTCGAATGAGTCGATTCAGGTAAATATGATGGTATTCCACTCCCTACCTTGTTGTAATATAAGATAATACCAGTGCATAATTTATTTGCATTTTATACTGGTTTATATGTAAAAAGTTTTGTCGAATTGGGTTTTATTGGGGCCCCAGGTTTGGGTCAGGGTTGGGCTCTGGGGTGAGACCTTCGACCCAAGTTGGGTTTTGCGGAAGTTAAGGTAGGACATTGAATAGAAGCCGAAATAGGCAGTGGGGCTCAAGTGTATCTTGTGTCATCATCTCACCTAACCTAACTATTGTACCTCCCGCTTATTGTACACAACTTTCCTTTGATGAATAACTACGTTAAGCCCGAGTGCTTATGTAATGCTCAGTGAGCGGGGCGGAGTGCTTAGGGACGTGCTCAGTTTTACTTAGTGAGCAAAAAGCGGCAAGGGGTGAGCACTAAAACGGAAAGGTAAATCAAAGTTTGTCAGACATTATCCAGTAATATGTTATGTTCCCGCAAGTGCTCCGACGGACGTCCGTCTCACAGTGTTCATTTCACCAATTTCTACTTTCGATCAGAAATGACTCACAATCTTATGGATGAAAAGCCACGAGTCTTGCCGCATTTCAGCCACTTCCATTGTTTACGAGTAGATCGAGAAGTAATTCATGGTACTGAGTCACATTAATGCCTAATCAGTTATAATTTCATTAGCTAACTAGACAATCATGGATACCAGCTGAGTCAGACGTTGAGGAAAGGCACAGCATCGAGCTGCATACCGTATTGGCCATAGTGCGGGTTTAATCGTGTGGACCAAGAAAAGCAACCCGCGAATATTTGTGATAGGAAAAGTAGAATTGAATCAACAAAGAACCGGCCCGAAGCAAGCCCACTCTTTCCATCGAGATCCAGTTCCACTCCACCTGCTCCTAATGAACGAGACACCGGCATTCAGCTGAGTCGCCTGTCCGAGCCAAACCCAACCCAATCACCTCTCATCCGATAAACATATCCCCCCACTCATGCAGTAGCGCCTACAGCCACTCCGAAGCCAAATCCAATACGCGCTCTTGCACGCCGAGCTTCACAGCCGAAAACGCCAGCACTCCAAAGCCAATGGCCCACTTCGTCAGACTCCTCTGCGAGATATCCTTCCCATCACGATCAAAAGGAGGTGTAACATCCGGCGCAAAAGCCTTAAGCTTCTTCAGCGAATAAGGCGGGTACCTCGCATCCATCAATGACTCCATCCAAGCCGGGAAAGCATTCGTAACCGTACGCAGGTAAGAGAACTCGCGGAATCCATGGATTCCATGGTAGTAACCGAAGCCTGATGATCCCGTTCCTCCGAATGGCGCACCCTGGGCGCCGGCGTGGAGCATGCAATCGTTGAACGTGACGCCTCCAGACTGGATCTCGTTGAGGAGACGGTCTTTCTCGGCTTGGTTTTGGGTGAATACGTAGGCGCTCAGTGGTTGGCCTGTTCCTCTGGTGAATTCGAGAGCTGTGTCGAGGTCTGCTTCGATTATGGGGAGAATTGGACCGAAGATTTCCTCTGATAGGAGGCTGTCGCCGGGTTTCACGCCTGTGACGATAGTAGGAGCGAAGAAACGGGTGGAGCGATCGCGTTGGCCGCCGTAGACTATTTTGCCTGATGTTGAGTTTAAGAGGCTGTTTAGTCGGTCAAAGTTGCGCTCATTGACTATGTGAGTATAGTATTCTGGGCGGTTATCCTCGCCGCCCATGAAGATGTTGAAGTGGTGGGTTAAAGCCTTGACTAGGGCATCGTGGACTTGTGGGTTCACGAGAATGTGATTCACATTCAGACAGATCTTTTGGGGTCAGCTTGATTCTATGCTTGCAATATTCGAGGTGACAGAGTGGATTTGTCGGGTAGTCTTACCTGGCCAGCGTTCATGAACTTGGCGGCTGCAATATGCTTGCCCGCAAGGTCAATGTTGGCTGTGGGTGTGACAATAGCTGGACCCTGGCCACCGAGCTCCAGTGTGACGGGTGTAAGATTCTTTGCAGCCGCGGTATAAACAATCTTTCCGATGTTCCCGGAGCCAGTGTAGAAAATATGGTCGAAGCGGCGCTCAAGAATATGCTGCATCCCTTGCGGACCAGCAGAGATACAACGGATAGCACTTGAATCCAAGTACTGCGGAATAAGCTCCATCATCAAATCTTGGCACGCAGGCGCCATGTCCGATGGTTTAAGGATCACGGCACAGCCAGCAGCGATGGCAGCGACCATGGGCTGCAGAATTAGCAGGACTGGAAAGTTCCAGGCGCCGATGACAAGGACCACACCCTTAGGCTCCTTGCGAACGGTTGTGCCGCCCATGAAGTTGAGGATATCCCATCTAGTCGGCTTATCGTCCTTCATCCACTCGTCAAGACTCTTGAGAGTGCGAAGGACATCCTTCTGAAGGCCAGCGCAGTCGGAAAATATGGACTCCTGACGGTGTCGGTGGAGGTCATCGTGAAGCGCAGCTGCGATGCGATCCTTATTTTCTTCGACCATCCACCATGTGCGCTTCAATTGTTGGCGTCTCCATTCTTTATCTTTGGTGACACCAGCGACAAATGTATCTTGCACGGTTTGAAAAGCCTGTTCCAGAAGGTTAGTAATTACGTACACGGTTAGCTACTGGACGTGGTCTTGCCTGATCGAACTCGGCTGCGGTTGAGAACCCCATAGTGAGGAATTTGAAATGTGGATCACTGGTGTTTCTTTTTCGAGCACATCAGATCTGTGACAGTGGCTCGTGACGAAGAATTTACATGTTGACGTTGCCCGCACGCCAAGAATGCACGCATGAACTCCGGACCCATCTGGTTAGTCCGTGCAAGATGAAGTGTGGAGTAGGCCGTGGTCCTCGGCAAAGCTCAAGGAGCTACGGTCCGAGCCTGAAGATGGCACATTTTAGTGGCTGAAGCGTGGGAAATGTGATTCCACGTGCGTTAAGTATGTGAGTTTCAGTGAGGCTTGGTCAAATCACGGGTTGATCCGTAAAGAGGAGGAAACTCCGTTAAAAGACCGATATATATAATCTAAGGCTCCAGCCCGTCAAAAGTTATGCCTAGTGACCCTTTCCTTTCCTAGCTAGTATAAGATAATCATAAAGTGTTTCAGTCACTTTAAACCCGTCACGGCCCGTGAAGTGGGGCAGCTAGCTTGAAGTCCAAGTTGTTCTCGAACATACATGGCTACCTATACAAGTGCTCCACGATGGACACCAAATCAGGCTCATTGGAGGGAAATGCCTCCCCATCTGTCAAGACGCGTGTTCAATACTGCAAGGCAGCTGCGAAACATTGATACTCCGCTTGTACCTATCTGTCTACCTGTGACGCTCCTCGGATGTTTCTACAAGTCTAGATGGACCCCACAGTAATCCGAAACGCTCGATATTGTATCGATGGATCCAATTCAATATGCAGATCCTTAGGTCAGTAACTCAAAACTCAGTTGAATATACCCCGCATGCCGCGTTGGTATATGTACATTGTGACTGGGCTCATTTTTGGGTGAGAGGAATCCGACCATGGAACATCCATGTTTAAAGGCGGGAAACCAATATTTGGTACCCGTCGACATCCTAACCATCCCATTGGCTGTGTCCTTCATTGTTAAACATCGCATCGTAATCGTGTGCAGATCAGGAAAGTTTCAGTAGACAATTAATTAGATGGTTCTCACTCTGGTGAGACATGTACCACGTGAAAATATATAAACCACGGCGACGAGTGTCCTTTCACTGTTCCTTTGGTAGAGATTTAACCATGTTCAAGCACCTAGAGACTTTGTAAGTACTCTTGGGTAGTATGTGAGTTGTTGATCTTGGATTTAATCCGAACGGGCCTGAGCCCTGTAATCTCTCAAATTCATCTCCATACCCTTGCAGAGGCCAAGAAATAGGTAAGACGATCCCCGCCGGGGGCCCTGTCATACATAAGCGCGCAAGAAATTGAATTGATTATGGGATATATGTATCACTTGATCTTCGTGCAACGCGTGAGACCTAGAAAGAAAAAGGCAGAGATCATCTTCGCGGTGGCTGTATATAGTTTATCGCGAATGTTTAGTAGAGTTACTAGATCTATAGTGGTATCTCTGCACTGGCGCCCCGCGATCGATATGCAGGGTCTTGTTTATGATCATCGTCTTCCCCCTCCCTCGGTGCTACAGTAGACGTGTAAAGCGGGAAAATCCAGCAAAAATTACATGAAGTCGTAATCTTAGCGAAGCCGTGAACAATGAACTAAAATCGGGATGCCATAGCCAACCATATGGCCGGCAATAATACCGAGAAATCTACGCGCGTGGGATGGAAGATTAACCCAGGACAGTTAGAGCTAACAGGGGTCCTCGGGTAGTTAGACCCTTCGCGATTCGGACATGTTATGGCGATAAATTGCATCATTTCCTGGAACACTTCTACTGGTTCTTTAATTTTAATTAACCGGGAACTTGAAATCCCGTTTAAATAGGGGGTACCCTACTCCGAACGTTCTTGGCCTTATCTTGCCCAGAAAACCTTGGAAAAAAGTGCCTGCTACGCTCGCAGGACGGCACAAGGGACGATCAGGGGCGGCTCCACTCATGAATTTGACACGCTTGGTTCCTTTGTTAATTTCAGGGTCTGTAAAATTACGACTCCGCTTGCAATTCCGTCCCTAGCTGGGTGGCTTGGATTTAATTTTAATTTTCCCCGTTCAATGACAGCATCGCCAAGACGGCTCTGATCGAGCTTAAACCACTTGAAACATGCAGGACGGGACTTCGTCATCAAAAGAAATATAGACTGTAGGGAGTCAATGTTTATTGATCTTCAAAGGTTGCTGAGGGTGATTTATAGTCATTGATTTCCGATCGGTAAAAATTCCCCCAAGGTTGGCTCTTTCACGGTTGCCTACAGTGGCTCCCAAGACCTCAATGGGTTAAGCTTAAAGATGTCCAGCTGGTTACGGCTCGCTAATTCGTTATGAAAAGTAGGCACAACAGCTCACTGGTCTACCGAAATTAGGTAATTCCAGCTAAGAGTCTTATTCGGTTCCAGCCCTGTGATTTCTCCACGGGCTTACTGTATGTGTGAAACACACATCTTCACAGGCTAATATATATAGAACGGAGAAGGAGGACGTGACGCAACTGTCTCAACAGTAATTTGAGCAGAAGAGGTCTATGGTACCACAGGCCTGAGCCCAGGGTGAAAGTCTGAATGGTTCACCTGTCGATCCTGGCCCACTTGCCACTTGACCTGAGAGAAGACCACGGCTGAAAGAGCATCGCCACAATGACCGCGGATAAGCTTTCAGGGTCTAAAAAGTCTGCATGGAGGGAAGGAATCACTTGAGGCTAGGGAACAATCAATGATATTGCGAGAATTCGAGCGCATGTTTCGAATTTTCCATATGAGATGTTCAGGGTCGGCAGTGCAGACTGTCATTGGTAAGAGAGTAAAGGTTGAACCCCCAGGAGTCGGTAGCCAAGATTAACGGCCACCGAGGACACGCGTCGGTGGGGCGGCTGGCCACCTGCGCCCCTCCGCTGTCCGCTGACTGGCCAGAGCGGCTGGACGCCAGGGCGATCGACCTTCAGATCATTTCCTGTGGAGGACATGTATTTGGTGTGGTAATTCACATGGTATTTCTTTTCTTTACATGCATAAACATTGGATCGAAAAGAAATGTTTCCAAGTCTCTCTTGAATCGATTGGTCCAAGCGCTTCCCGGTGACGTATCTATACTCGAATCCATTACAGTATGTATCGCTCGCGGCATCATGATGAGGAGATATAGGAACACTTCGGAAATCAAAATCTCAGTCTACGGAGTATTTTGTTTAAGAAAACCCTCCTCATTTACCTTCAGTGCTACACGGCACAGTAAATATAGAACAAACAATAAATGAATATAAATAGATGTATCTACTACGAGGTAACTGCACATATAGGGCACATGGTCCGGTTATAGTTCAGGGTCGTACATGAATTCATACAGTGTCTCTACGGACTACACTTCGATTCCGACGTCCTATGGATCTGTGTGCCTCCGGACGGTGTTCCGACGGGTTAAACTACCGTTGCAGACGATCTGATGGGAGATGTACCCGCATTCGGATCTGAAGGGACGAAAGCGATCATCCATGGTGCTCTTATCATCCAGGAGTAGGAGTCCACTACTGCCTGTATCGTTCTTTGCGAACCAAAAACAGCGGAATAAACAGAAGAAAAAACCGGGCAATCACACGAAAGGCCATCTGCCGATCCTCGCGTTTTCTGATACAGTCGATGGAGCATATGGGATGATCTGTCCCGAACAACCCAGCATTCCATTTCCCGTTAGGATCGACGATGACTAGGGACAAAAAAAAAACACAAGAAGGAACAAACTCCACTCAGTCATTCACCAGGGGGAGGCAAGATGTCATGAATCAGGCTACCGGTACGATTTCGGTTTTGGAAGGGATCATGAATAGTATCGAGATAATCACATTCTATACGGAAAATTGCTACATAAAAATGCATCAGTCTAATCTATTAAACCAGAGCCAATAATGAGGCTCAGAAACCAAGGATTCAACCAGTGTCCAATTAACAATAAGCCTGCAAACAGCCCTGAAGCCCTGAGTATATAAATAAAATTCCGGAAAATCCCAAAAATCGCAATCCCAAAAAAGTGGGAAAGATTACCGGTAATACCAAAACGCGCATTCTCTCGCTCCCCCCGATCTTCTAAACCTACTTTACCTCTTCGCTCTCTCCCTTTTTTTTCCCTTCGCACTACTCTCATCCCCCTCTCCATCGACTTAAGTCTCGCCCTGGACTCGTTGTCCAGCCGCGTTGGTTACGCACTTCTTTTCTCCGCTGAACCCCTTTTTTGATCTTCCACGCCTCCCCCATTTGACCGTGTCGCGGGTCCCGACGCTGCCAGCCTCTCGTTGATTTCCGGCATCTGAAACTGCCTGTCATTCCTTGAATAAACAACCTTTAAAACCATCCGTGGTCAACTTCACCCCGTCTTATCTCGAGATCGTTTCGTTCTGTGGTCAGCTCCAGCTGTACGATCATCACGGGACACGAACATCCTTGAATTCTGCCGAGACCGAATTCGATAAGAACTACTTAATTTGACAACCCCGAGGGCCTGCCGAATTGCCCCTACCGCCCTCTTGATCTCTCCTCCGCGGAACCCTCCAACGTACATGTTCGAAAAATCGAGCCCTCAAACCGTCAAGATGCCCCTTTTCCGGCTGAAGACGGTCTTTCCGTTGCTCGCTTTGCTGTCGATTGGTGTGTTTTTCTGGTGCATGGAACGTTATGACCGGTCTGCTTTCCTCCGGTTCAAGCACCCCATTGAACAGGTCAACCTGGGCCAGTCCCAAATAGACATGTCCACAGGGCAGTCCGAGGCCGCCAACACCTGTGAGGTCGACCCCAAATTGGCCGCTCCCCTCTCTTTCGCCGAGTGGCTTCCTCGCAAGAACTACACCCGTGCCTACTTCCGTCCTCGTCTGGTGAACCCTGACACCGAGTTCCACACCCTGGAGGAGGTTCAGAAGCCCGTGCTCCCGCCTATGGTTACCATGGAGCGTGGCATGGTCGTTTCCCCTGATAACACCGAGGATGTTTTTGTCTGCCCCGAGATTATTGACGTCGACGTCGCCGCCGATGACGATGTGGAGGAGACTTCGAAGCTTCTGTTCGGTCTAGCGACCACTGTGGATCGCCTCGATCGCCTGCTCCCGTCCCTGCTTTACACCTACGGAAATACCAAGGCTGGCCTGATTGTGCTGGTACCTGAGTCGGACGATGATTTGGAGAAGCAGGAGACCTACTTCCGCAACCGCGGTCTCGACCTCACTCTGATTGCCTCTCCTCTTGATTTCACTGCTCGCTACTTCGGTATGGTGGAGGCTTTCTCCGAGCACATTCGCAAGCACCGCCCGCACACCACCTGGGTTGGCTTCAGCGATGACGATACCTTTTTCTTGTCTCTGCCCACATTCGCCAAGGAGCTGAAGCTGTTTGATGAGAAGAAGAAGCACTACATTGGATCTCTCTCCGAGGCTAGCTGGCAGGTGGACACCTTCGGCCACATCGCATTCGGTGGTGCCGGTGTGTTTGTCTCCAAGCCCCTCCTGGATGTCCTCATGAAGTACTACGACGAATGCCAGTCCTGGGGCGAGCAGCCCGGTGACCAGAAGCTTGGACAATGTATCCAGCGCTTCGGCGATACCTCCTTGACCCTGTGGCCCTCGCTTTACCAGATGGATATGACCGACCCCGTGGACGGTGTCTACGAATCTGGCCGCAAGATCGAGTCCATGCACCATTGGAACTCCTGGTACACCAAGGATGTAGTGAAGATGACCACTGTTGCCGCGGCGGCTGGCCGGAAGTCCGTGCTGCGTCGCTGGGTCTTTGATCAGGAGGAGACCGTGAACAACGCCACCGGAGAGACCACTCGTCACTTCTGGGTTTTGACCAATGGCTACTCCATGGTCAAGTACACCTACGATGAGTCTGTGCCAGACGATGCCATCGACTTCGATGCCGTCGAGAAGACCTGGCCCGAGGATCCCCGTGGTTTCGAGGAGCGCCTCGGTCCCCTCCGTCCCGCCGAGAACGACGGTGTCACCAAGGACCGCTGGTTGCTACACGACGCCTACGTGGTCGGTGACAACGTGCACCAGTTCTACGTGCGCGAAGAAGATGAAGGCCACAGTGTGATCGAGATTGTCTGGCTTGGCCCCAAGGGCGGCGGTGGCGGTGGTCTCAGCGATCACCAGATCCGCGGTACCTACCAGCAATAAGACCATTAACGTCGAAGCCCCCCAAGTGATTCTTTGAAGGCTGGTCCTTGGGTCTTCTACTGATTAACCACATCTTCTTTCATTTCGCTGCACATGATTCTATTGCTTCTTTTCCCCCAACATCCAGCTTCCTTTATTCCCACTCATGACGGCCAAATCTATTTCGCATCGACCAATACTCTTCTTCACCGACCTTTTTCTTTTTCCGGATGAGACTCGTGATCGTGACTTCTCCAGTTCCTGATTCTTCATTTATCCGGCGTTAGCATTGGCGGAGTCCCTTCTGGTGCAGGAACCTTGGTGGCTTTCCGTGCTCCATATATCCCGGCCTATTCTTGGGCTACCCTTTTCCACTTCTTTTTCTCTGGCTTACCTCCGTGCTGGGTCCAAAGAGTCTATGTACTTTCCCATGCCATATGGCTTGCTGCCGACCTTCCCTTTATTTTTTATTATTTCTTTTCCTGTCGCGTTTCACCTTCTGCGCCTGGATCTCCGTCGCGACTCGGGGTGAGGCTTCTATCCATGGCCATGCATATCGTGTTTGTAAAAATAGACTTGAACGGAAGACCATGTTTGGGTCTCCGTTGGTGATTAGCGTTGAACGAACTGTTCATTATGCGAAGAATATGATGAGTTCTTATTTACGGTTGTTCAATGTAACGCGTAACCCAAGATTTCTTACGTCCCAGGTATATAAATCGAGCATGATTACTAGATATCATTTTATCTTTACTGCCATTCTGGGAATTGTTCTCTCCCCATTCTTTCGAGGAACCGTTCTCTCCCGCAAATTAAGCTTCTTCCCTATTGACTTCCCGCAGGTCTGATCGGCTAGAGATGAAGTCATCGATCTCGACAATCAAGGCTCTCGAGATAAGGGAAATTCCGAAAACATATCCTAGGGAGTCTAACGAAATTGTGCCGACAGTAATACCTTCCATCGGTATGTTTTGCAGGAATCCGACCGTGGGCCGAGACAGGCCTATTACATGCCAGGGACATGTTTGGGGAAGTACACCGCAGGTTACTGTACAACCCATATACAAGGTGAACTTATATTCATCAAACCTATTCATCAAGGCGTGAAGCATTCTGCCTCATGGAACTCGAATTTTTTATTTGGTGTCTGGGATTAATTAAGATTCTAGGTGAGAGTTCACCGGAGTAACTTGCTGCAGGCTCGAGGCAAGATTCCCGAGGCACCAGAATCCCCCAACCGCCACATATGGGGGCCAAACCGAGTGCGGTGGAATGCAGGGTCGAGCCCTAGGATAATTTTAGCATGGTATGTATGAGCTGATCATGGTTAATGGGGACTTGTTCACTGCAATTATCTTTACTGTACTCGATATTTTTTTTCTGTCTATCTATACAAGCAAACCCGTAAATTTAAGTCATGATCCTCAGCTAAACGGAAATAAAGTGAGTCCAGACCGGAGCAACATTGGGTTTACGCTTGCCTCGATACGGATGCAAGCGGAGGCAAAGCGGGGCAAGTGAGTTGGCCCCTTTGAGGAGGCACCAATCATAATGTGTGATGGCGTGAGAGGGGGAGGCAAATACCGAGATGATACCAAGTTGATACCGACATTTAGGGGGTGGAGGGAGGGGAGGTACTTGTCTTGATTATAAGAGTGGCATACTGGCAATAGGTACTCTGTTGGTATCCACTCTGTAATAATACGGTCCAAACCAGTCCCACACGTGACTGACCGCCTGCCACATCGCACCTCGCACTTTCCCTTCTTCGCTCTCTTCCCCCTTCCTTTCTCTCCCAACCCTGCGATCCAAAAACGCGTTACTCGATTGGGTATCTACGATTCCCTTCCCCTTTTGGCCAGCTCCCATCTACCTCTTTTTGAACCACTTTTTCACCATTTCGTTCTCACTGCCTACCATGGCCGACATGACTGCCGTCGGCGAGGAGAAACTCTCCCCAAACCATGATGACCTGCAACAGCCCGGCAACGGCGCTGACACCCGTGGCACCAAGCGCGGCCGCATGAGCGCCGAGGACGACGACGACGATGATGACAAGCCGGGCCGTGAGCGCCGCAAGATTGAGATCAAGTTTATTCAGGATAAGTCGCGTCGCCACATCACTTTTTCGAAGCGGAAGGCTGGTATCATGAAGAAGGTACGTCGCGATCATCCTTCCCCCCTCTACCTTCGACCATCTTTTTTTACTCTCCCTTGGCCCCCCCTCTATGAAAGAACCTACATAAACACTTCTTCAATCTTTTTGATCGCTGGCGAATAATTATTCTAATTATTATCATTGAATTACAGGCGTACGAACTCTCCGTCCTTACGGGTACTCAAGTGCTCTTGCTGGTTGTCTCCGAGACCGGCCTCGTCTACACCTTCACCACCCCTAAGCTCCAACCTCTCGTCACCAAGGCCGAGGGCAAGAATCTCATTCAGGTGAGTCGCCCGCCAATTCATTAACCTGCTGAGCTCTAGCTAACCGTCGCACCCCAGGCCTGCCTCAACGCGCCCGACCCCACCACCAACGAGAACGGCGTGGATGCCGCCGATGTCCCTGCTGAAACTCCCGAGGATGTCGCCCACAGCAACGTCAACGCGTCGCAGTCCAACATGGGCCGTCCGGGCATGCACCCTGGTTACATGACCAGTGAGCAGCAGCAGCAGATGGCCTACTACCAGAACCTCCAACAGCAACAGCAGGCTGGTGGACAGTATCCCGGTATGCCTGTGGGTGGTCGCATGCCTCCGCAGCACCAACCCACCGCGTAAAGCTCCCAAACACCTTGCGCGCCGCTGCGGACGGGGTCCTAGATACTGCGTCATCCCTTCTGTTTTCCATCTCTCGCGTTCATTTGATACCCGTCCAGCTCTGCTGATCCATCCTCCCCCCACCTCCACACCTATCCTCTCCAATCTTATCTACCCACCATCAATGGAACCGTTGATGTCTTTTACCTGACAATCGTGTCACGGTATGATGCTGAAGTGTACATTGTCAAACACTACGCAGGAACTTTCTTCAGGTTATCTGTCTTTGATCCCGATATCGATCCTGGTCTTGCTGAACTCGAAAACAACCCCTACAAAAAACCTGAATAAAAAAAAAATTACAAAGAGAACAAAAGAGCGCAAGCACGCAAGGCTGGACTTAACACTATTCTTGGCTGTTTCTGGTTTCCTCTTGCCCCCTCTTCCTAGAATGGCGGAGGTTGGTGGTGTTCGTGGTGCATTGATTTTGTCGGCGAAGTGGTTTCTTTACTTCCCTGTTCTGTTTATCTCATACGACCATTATTGATCCTGTTTCTCTCCATGTTCTATTTTTCTCAGTGTCTAATCTCAACTGTGTTTCTATCTCTTATACCGTATTTGTCGTATCTACCCTACCTACCCTTTTCCTATGCCTGAAAGTTCCTGTTTCCTTTGGAAAGGATGTATCTCGTATGGGAAAATCGGTGGTTCCGATAGTTTATTTTGCACCGTGTAGTCTGTATGTTTTCAAATGGTACCATGTGTGGCCCTAAAACTCGCTTTAGTGACTTCAGTTCCTCTCAGAAGCACTGTAGCTTACATCCAATTTCCAAGGTTGAAAACTATACATGGGCCTCGGATCTACAGCCTTAACTGTTTGCCTCGTGGCAGTGTGGGGCCGTTAACCCACAACAAATATAGTTCCAGTTCCAGATAGATCCAAACCGCAACGGGATGCCCATTACGTACAAGGAAATCCAACCCTTGGAACAAGGTATGAGTATGGATCTTACACACATACCTTCGAATGTACAAATTTACAGGTATCAATGGACAACTTCAAGTTGAAATTCACATATCAATGATTTTCTTCCTTTTACTTAGCTGAAATCACCAGGCAGCCGCCATTAGAGGTATATATCTTATGCACAAAGCTCACCAGCACAGCTAGTCGCCACTCGACTATATCACAAAAATGGAAACCCGAGAAAAGGAGCAGGACCAACAGGTAGGCAGGCTCGAAGTATTTCGACAATGGCAAGGGAAGAGACGTGGTAGAGAAAAGGAAACAAAGGTAGGGAGAATGGGACTGGATCTCAGTCCCTACTGTACAAGGAAATGAAGAGATAGGAAAGGGGATATCGTGTATGGAGCAAAATCCGGATGATATTTACATCTAGGCGGGAAAGGAAAGGTGATTTGAGCATGGTACGAAGCTCAAAGAGATGATGTTGAGGCCCCTTTCGACCCCGGCGCGGCAGGTTGAAGCTCATCAGTTGTAGTATCGTGGGCTTCCCTCACCCAAGGGAGACGTGTTTCAGAGCGCGGTAGAAGGGTTGAATAAGCATGGTCGTGTTCGTGGGAGTCAGAATCACCCGCCGGCGGGGTCGTCCATCGAGATAGGAATTGTCGGCCTTGGTTCCACACGCCTCGCAGGGTTCTTCTCGGTCCTGCGAGAAGGCTCGACGTCGATGATGGATCGGCCGCAGCGCTTGGAGCTTCTTGCTCGCGGCGTTCGATGCCGCCTTCTGGGATTGTTCCGTATCCGTTTGCTCCCTGCACGGTGGGCGAGAGTGGGCTGCGTCGCTTGCGTTGGGAACCCATGAGACTGGCCCAGGGCATTGAGGAGCGTCGCCAGGTGCTCTCCTGTGGGGATGGGCGACCACGATGAGAACCTCGGACACGTTGGTAGGAGATGGGGCCTATTGTTGAGTGGCGGGCAAGGCCGCGTTTTGGAGCATGCAAGGCGCCGCTGCTGGAGCTGCGAGGCCGGTCGTTAAATGAGCGCGTCTGCGCAGTTGCAATATCGTAGTCCGAGTCATCAAGTTCGGCCCATATAGAAGCCGCGTTGAGATCTGCGGCCTCGTGTTCGTCGAATGTCTGAAGGAGGGGGAGGCTAGGAGCACGGGCTCGTGGATGGAAAGGACGCTGTCGCGACCGAGAAAAGCCGGGAAGAAGTGGCTCCCGTTCTCCTAGTTGCGACTCCTCGTCGTCCAGACCATCCAGCAGCCCTGATGACGACGGAGAGTGTTCCTCGACAACTCCCAGGCCTGGACCAAGCCCCGTCTGTGTAGGTCCTACAACTGCGACAGCAGTATGGCTCTCGATATCCTCGAGTCGCCACGATAGACATAGTACACCACCCAGCAGGATGATAGTTCCCAATGCAATAAGGCCTGCATGGAACCCAGCTAGTTGGGACGCCTGGCGGAAGTAAATAAGACCATCGAGAATGGCGATAATGTTGTAGATGCAAAACACAAACGGGTACAACACACTTGTGCTACACAACTTAAGCCCGCGATGCAAGTAAAACAGCTGCGTCAATGCTAGAGTGATCATGGCCAGCAAAATCACCCAAGACTGCCATCGGTTGAACTGGTTCTCACCATCGACCAAGGTGCGAACCAGGAGCTCCACCGCCGACTTTGCAAGTAGTAGCGAGTGAGCGGATAAGATTCCACTCACTGCTCCATAGCACATACCACGGGCGAGTTTAATTCGACTCTGGAGACGCAGAAAATGAGTTGTAGAGTGGCCTGCCGCAACGGGTTTCCCCCGCGACCCTGGTAGGAAGTATCTCAGTAGCTTTGAACCCAGTAGAATAGTCGCCACCACAAGTAATGTCGCTCCCATCCAGATGAGGAACGGTTTGCCTTGGAGTAGTACCAGCAGCTGGTTCAAACTATGGGCTGGTTCTCCAATGGCGCCGAAGGTCGCGATCAACACTGCACCAATGCAGACGAGGCCGGTGCCTGCGAAGGAATAACGGGTGAAGGGTTCGCCGAGAATGAGGGTCGCGAAGATAGTATTAAACACCAGTCCGGACTATTTCACAAAAGATTAGTTACGCCTGCATGAATGGAGGTAGCGGAACGGCCAAGAGCCATGACTGACAGCTTGAAGTGTAGAAAGAACCGGTAGCGGCAGGGTGGTAATTTGAATTGTGCTGCCAACGATGTTGGAGATTACAAACATGCCCATTCCAAGTTGCCATCGGCGGCGCTTATATGGTGGTCGGCGCACATCATATGGGTGTTTTTCGTCCTCGAGCAGGTGGGACTTGCGCTGGAGTGTCAATCCGATCGCTTGCAAGCTAGTTGAGATAAGTCCGACGAGAATTCCGATCTGATCACTTGTACATTAGCCATTGAATACTGCTTCCATGTCGATTTGGAGATCTTGTAACTCACTGCGACACTGCCTTGTGGCGACAAGTCACCTAGTTTGCCCATCTTCGAATCTCGTACATCGGGAAGAAGCGGTAGGAGTGAGTTGACTACCGGAAGATGATAGCCATGATTTCCCGCAGGGCTTTTTATTTCCAAATTTGCAGGGACGACAGGAAGAACAGGGAGAAACAAGGGTTCGAAGTAGAGCAATAAAGGTATTCCAAACAGGAGCAGGGGAGCGGGAGAGAGAACGAGGGGAGAGTTGCGGAGCGACTGGATGCGGACCGCCAAGGCGAGACAAGAGCTTAGTTGGACACTTGACTCTCCCTTTCCCATTTCCCTCCCACCCCACGTCATTCACCACCTTCTCTCCCTCTACACCAGGAAGGATCCAATTACCGCCGTCATGTCGCAAAGTCATGCTCTTTCAGATGATCAGGTGAGAATGTCCGATTTTGGTGGTGTGTGTTGCTGTAGGAGCTGCAGGCTAACCACGATACCCGCATCCTAGGTCGCGGGCGAGCTCCGCAAGATGACCGCGTTCATCCGCCAGGAAGCTCTGGAGAAGGCCCGGGAAATTCAGTTGAAGGCCGACGAGGAATTCGCTATCGAGAAGTCCAAGCTGGTCCGCCAGGAGACCGCCGCCATCGACACCCTCTACGAGAAGAAGTTCAAGCAGGCTGCTATGTCGCAGCAGATCACCAAGTCCACCCTCGCCAACCGCACTCGTCTCCGTGTGCTTGGCGGTCGTCAGGAGCTTCTGGATGAGCTCTTTGAGAAGTCCCGCAACAAGGTGGCTACCGTTGCTTCCAACGACAAGAAGAAGTACCAGGCCATGCTGCAGGGGTTGGTCCTCGAGGGCTTGTACTATCTGAATGAGGATAAGGTGTCTATTCGCACACGGAAGAAGGACTACGATGCTGCGAAGAAAGCTATTGAGGGGGCTGCCAAGGAGTTCAAGGAGAATGTCGGCAACGAGGTCGATGTGAGCTTGGACGAGTCCGACCCGCTGCCTGAGGGATCGTACGTATCTTCTAGCCTCATGACTTGTAATTTGAGAGTGGCCGGTGCTAATCTTTTTGTTTTCGTACAGTGCTGGTGGTGTCGTCATTATCGGCGGACAGGGCAAGATCGAGATCAACAACACCTTCGAGGAGCGTTTGCGGCTGCTGGAGATTGATGCTCTCCCCGCCGTCCGAGAGACACTGTTTGGAAAGAACGTGAACCGACGATTCTTCGACTAGAAGGCATTTACTTGTTCTTTAGGTCCCTTGCGAAGGATGTGTTTTCTTTCATGTTTTATAGTTATCGGGCTCCTCCTGGTCCCTGGTCTTGGACATCTCTATAGAGAGGGGGGTTTAGTTTCTCTTTTCTTTTCTTTATCTTGCACACATATCGGGCCTGGAATATGGTCAATCTCCCCTGAGCGTTCGTCTGATTCATCTATGATTGCAGAAAATTTCGGTAGTCAATGCATGCAAATAAAACATATATGCCTCGCTCTATCAATGAGTATCATGGTCGTGGTAATCATTATGGGTATCCAATATTAAATCAAACAGGTAAGATTCGTACGCCCCAACGGTATGCAGCAGTTTCAATATCATCCGTGTCGACGGATCGGCATCGATGTTTCATCAAGCGGATCTATGGTCTTGGTCTTAAAAAAATGACTTTGAATATTGCCATTCGTCTTTTTCGCATATGGTGCGAACAAGGTATTCTTAGGCTGAGGTCGGGACCGGACGGAGTAGACCATGCGGTAATGGACGGATTCAAGTGTTTCTTTGGCCAACATCCGTTTCAGGTGGGAAGCTCCAGTGTCTTCGATCGAGTTGAAAATTCTCTTGATCCGCTTTGCGAGAGCATCAACGGCCTCGTTGAAATCCTCGTCTGTCTTGTCTTGCCTGTATCTCAAATCATATAGAGTAGTGTTGATAGCGATGTCCAAAAGGATGGCGTTGGCTGTTAATTCGCCATAGTCATAGTCACCCTTTGCCTTGTGTACTTTCACGTGGAACCGCTCATCACCAATTAAAGAGCCAGCCAGGCGTTGCAGATCCAGGACATCCTGGATGGGTTCCATCAACGGAGAGGGGTTTCGAAGTAAGAATGCCACGGCGAGACGGTATCGGAGCCGCGATATCCACATAGTCGTAGGGAGAATGTGTTGCAGCATGCGACTTTGAAATTGCGAATCCCGAAAGGTCTCGTATATGGTCGTACAGATTCGATGTTCCTGAATGGTTTCATTAGTAGCCAGAAATGAAGGATACGGATAGCAGGACTACGTACCGTCTCCTCGGCATCGGGTTTCGGTACGCTTTGCAAAAGGGCACCGACACAGCTTTGAAGTTCCGAGCGGATCATGTCGTTTGCCGTAAGTGAAGTGTCCAAAGTTATGCGCAGCAGGATTTGAATTGCATGCTCCCGGGTGTCGTTGGCAAACCTATATGCTTGTCAGTCGAATGGTCAGATAATAAGAAGGTATTGAAACTCACAATTGAGCAGCATCCCGAAGCAAATGGAAGATAGAAAGTAGAATGGCACGATCCTTCAATGCAGGCTCGTGGTAGCTTGCTATCAAGAACTTGTGAGAATGTCGTAGGAAGAAAACGGTGGAAGACAAATCTTACGATCGTATGAGTCTTCAACGATGGGTTCCGAAATGCTTAAAGCTTGTGGTTTTGCGCCCAGTGATTCAAAAAGTTGATTGATGTGATCCGGACGAATGATAGATTTTATCCGTGCAGCATCGGGTTGCTGGTCTGATAGTCAGTCATGAATATGCAGAGTAAATTGGGATGATTTACTTTTGGAATGACCGTCAACACCCTAACGTAGGCTTGTCTCAACTCTTCCCGAGGCTCAAGAGGGACTATTCAACGGTTAGATTTCAAAAGAAGAAACAGAAGGAATTTCAAACTATACCAGAGCGAAGAAGCCACAGCATGAACTCATCTGGTAGGCGTTGCAATGAGGCCGTAAATTCAAGAAAGCCAGATTGAAAGGCACGTTCTCGGGACTCAGGCTCTATCAAATTGATTAGCTTGGTTTGGAGGACTTCTTAGCAACACTAACCATGTAGAGATGCTAGTTGCGAATCGAGATTGAATAGATTCTTGGGAAATTCTACCCCAACTGGCGCCGCCTGGTTTTGATTTAAGAACCGCCAGACTTTGTCTATATTAAGAGCGTCGGTTCTTCGAACAGCATCCATTAGACGCCGAGCACCCATGCCATCATCGTCTTCATTTTCTCCCAGCACTGACGTCAACATATCTTCGTGTAGGCCGGTGTTCCCACCAGTATCAGATATCTTCCGTGTGGCATTGCGCAGAGCATCGAAGGCGGCTTTCTCCTTGGCGACATTGGCTTCTATCTCATCATCATCAACAGCCTCGTGTACGAGGGAGTCGATGTTATTTTTGTATTTCTTTGGTGTTGTTGTGATATGTCTCGGCGCAGAGAGAAATTTGGGTGGGTCAGGCTTCTTGCCTGCCTTTCCAAATATTAGAGCAGGGTCAAATACTGAACTGTCCGAATCCGATTCTTCTCCATCGGAGCTGATGACAACTTCCTTTCCCCCTTTGATAATGCGCTGGGACGGTTGATGACCTCCATTCACCGATGACGGTAAGGCTTCGTCCGTACTTTGAACACTTTGGAAGCTTTGCGTCGGCGTGGGGGTGGAGGCTCTATCATTTACTGATTGGCTAAGCGACGACTTGAGCTGGTCGCCTGGGCCATCGTCGGGTTCAATAGTGAGATCAATAAATGACGAGGTCCGCGGGGATGACTGCGAATCGCGGGGCTGAAATCGTATCTTTTCCGGAGTAAGATGTTGATTTAGGTTAGCGAATCCGGGACGATTAAAGAAATCCGTAATCTTTCTTGGCGTGGTCTGCCCCATTTTCTCCATCCTGGAAGTTGATGGAGCAGAGAAAAAAAAGGGCGAATTTCCACTATCTTCATTGCAAATTGATCTCCGCGTCGCGTGAAAGACCGGCGCGAAGTCACGTGACTAAATGTCACCAATTTGGGCACCTTCTTTGTTGCCTCTTCTCTTTGACGGTCATATATCCCTTTCTTTTGTACTCATTTCTTGTTTGAGAACACTGGTAATTCAAAAAAATTGGCCAAATCATGCTTATTTGACAAGGTCATGGCTTAGGAGTATTCCCTGTACATGCTGGTCCTTCTTATTTATATATGAGCCCCCGCTTACAAGCCACTTGCTGTCCACTGCCCAAGAAGCGCAGTTGATCGAGGGCTCTGGCCTTGCATTGTATCTACTGAGTTCACCTTGAACCAGTTTCATTCGTTGTAACGAGTGTAAAGTCAGGGGTAGTGTCGATCCGATGTATAAAATTTTACAGAATCTGAGCGCCGGCACATAGACTCCACTATGGAGTTCGCGGTCGATCGCGCTGACGACGCATTGTCATGCTTTTATTGGGCTTTGCACGGTTCGTCATCCTGTAATCTCGCTCGCAAGCTTCATTTCGCCTCGGATCATTGGATGATTCGAGATGCCAAGGTGGTATTCCTAGGCAGAGATATATGTATCCCATCAATCCCCACCTGCCAGTAGATAGTAAACAAAGCACGGGTGCAGACTAGTCCATAAAATCTCTTAGTGATCACCGGGGCCCGCCCAGGACCACAGGACGCCTATAGTGCTCTGAGCCCCAAGCGACATCTGGACTGGCTCGTCCGTGAGCTTCCGGTCTGACAAGAAAAAAAAAGGGGGTCTTCCATAGAGAAAGCCCATGCATCTGGCATTCTGATTGGAAACCCAGAGAATCAATGAACACGGCGCTTGATTATTTTACACGAGATTACTAACCTACACTAACTTTATAATGGGCAGTCTTAATCGAGGCGTTATAGAAGACGACTCGAAATTGGGGCACCTTAAATCACGGAGTTACAGTAGAAATGGCAGTCTGACTAAGGTGGATCAGACGCTCGTGCCGTGTTAGTTTCAGGCTCGACGATCCGACAAGTGCCAAACTTCCAAGGTTGCACGATCGGTATCGGACTGGTCTCAGCGAGTACATCGGGAAAAGTTAGCTCCGTTGTAACCACGGTGTCCAGATCAATCAATACGAGCCCATGTGGGAAATATTGTAACAGAAGACTGGGGCTTGGGCGGGGGCCAACGCCGTGTACCCGGCCAATGATGGAGCTAACGTGGGAATAGATGGGGAGTGCAGAAGTATGAGCGCATAAACCGCCCCGGGGCCAATTTATTATTATCATAATAATATGCAAGCTCCGCGGCTGTGCTATTTACTCCGTACATGTTCCGTACCAGAGGGGCCGGAACTAAGGAAATAACCATAAGAAGCAACATGGTAAATCCTTCGATCCGATTAACCTAAAATGTTCATTCATTTGCCTCCTGGTCCCTGATTTCCACTAAAGGAACCCGAGTATACAGACTGACTGCCGAAGATCCTGACCCGTCATTGTTGCCACAATCAGAAATTTAGGCGTTGAACCAGACAACAGGGCTGGGAAGAGCCGGAACGAGGCTGGCCGTGTATGGTAAGATATACGAAATATTACCGGATTTATCAGCTTTCATGCCGAGTCCGCCGGGGCCAACTTCAACGGGATTATCCTGGATGTAATAATGCTATATCATATGAAGGACATAGATGATCGAGATCGGATGGGGAAAACATTCAAGATGAGCTCCAATATATTCTTTTTCATCATTACTATCAGATTGAATTGGCCCAGTTCACACAATAACAAAGAAACTCCTGCGCCAAGGCTCCCGCTGACCAAGCGCGGCATGTTGTCGTACCGAGATTGTAATTATACTGTAATCTCGTTGTAAGCAAGGCCAACGGGCGCGGATTGGAAATTCCCCAAAGCTGGTCCAACCCAAAGCATCTTCATCATCCTGGTCTCTCTCCCTCAAAAAAGGAAAAAAAGGATTAATCCTCCGTTTATCCCTCCCCCCTTTCTCTACATCCTACATGGACCCTCGTGGGTGAAACCTCCCCCCCTTTTTCTAGTCGATCTCGTCTATCAACTCGAACTATCCCTTACCGTCGATATCGAAATCCCGCTAGAACTCGCCCGCGCGCCTCTTCTGTCTCTGTCCCTTCGAAATCAACGATTCGATCCACCCTCGAATGCCATTGCTAGCGTGATCTTCTCTCCCTTTGCGACTCGAGATTAATCCGACAAGGTTACGCCACAGACGGTATTGGATCCCGGCTACAAGAAACCGGATAGTCGTTGTCCCCTCTATCCCAGGAATCTCGTGAAGTTATATGCCCAGCCTGGGCGCACCCGTGGCCTAAATGGCTTCTGTGCGCTTCCCTGGAGAGGATTATACCGAGGCCACTAGTGAGATTGGTGAGGTCCCTAGCAACGTCTCGAAACCGACTCAGCGACAAAGATGGGCTACCACACGTCAGACCGGCACCGGCGGCGTGCGGAAACGTGTCTCCATCATCGACCGTTTCCACAAGCGACACGAGACGAGAGATGAAAAGCGCAGGTCCAATAACAGCGCCGTTTCTGACGACGCTGTATCCACCAACGGTGCTGAAACCCCCAATGGAGAGGCGCGAACGATCTACTTCAACGTCCCGATCCCTGAATCCGAGCGCGATGAAGAGGGCCATCTGAATTTCGCCTACCCCCGCAACAAGATCCGGACTGCCAAGTATACCGCGCTCACGTTCGTGCCGAAAAACATCTTCCTGCAATTTCACAACATTGCAAATATCTATTTCTTGTTCGTCATTATTCTCAACGTACGTCAGCCCAAAAAATGCCCCCTCAATGAAAAGATGAAGAAAGGGAAATGCAGCACAATGTAGTGAGTATATGAAGCTGACTTGAATTTAGTTTTTCTCCATTTTCGGTGCCAACAATCCCGGTTTGAACGCCGTCCCCCTAATTGTGATTATTGTCGTGACTGCCATCAAGGACGCCATTGAGGATTGGGGCCGCACGGTGTCCGACAACCAGGTCAACAACTCCCCTGTATATCGCCTGATTGAATGGAATAATGTGAACTCGACCGAGGACAACATTTCGACTTGGCGCCGATTCAAGAAAGCCTGTACCCGAGGCATCATCAAGGCCTACAAGTCCACTGCGGCTGTTTTCACCAAGAAGACCGAAGAGGAAGCCGCCGAGGACGGCCAGCGACGAGAATCATTCCTGACTACAGCGGACCAACGGGCGTCTATTTACTCCAACCGCGACTCCATGGCCGCCGATGTTGCCATTCCAATGACTGAGGTTCAGTCACCCCAACCCGAGGCTCGTGAAAACTGGGGTAACCCTGAAAACAAATTCCTCTCGCCCAACAGCGCTGCAAGGGAAAGCATGGCAGCACCCGTGTCCGATAAGAAAACCGGAAGCGTGTTGGACAATTCGAAGCAAACACCCGGCACTGCTCGATTCAAGCGGGACTACTGGAAGAACCTTCAAGTCGGTGATTTCGTTCGATTGTATAACGAAGACCCCATCCCCGCCGATATTGTGATTCTGTCGACCTCGGATCCGGACGGAGCCTGCTATGTTGAAACCATGGGCCTGGATGGCGAGACGAACTTGAAGGTTCGCCAAGCACTCCACTGTGGTCGTCAGGTTCGACATGCTCGCGACTGTGAAAAGGCCGAGTTCACCATTGAGAGTGAGGCGCCCCACCCTAACCTGTACTCTTACAATGGTGCCATTCGGTGGGACCAACGTGACCCGAACTTCCCAGAAGCTCCTCGCAAGGAAATGGTAGAGCCAATCACCATCAATAACATGCTACTCCGAGGTTGCTCTCTGCGCAGTACTGAATGGATTCTCGGTGTGGTCGTCTTCACCGGTGGAGAGAGCAAGATCATGCTCAACTCGGGCGCGACTCCCGCTAAACGTGCTCGCTTGGCTAGAGATCTCAACTGGAACGTCGTCTACAATTTCTTCATTCTGTTCTTGATGTGTCTCGTTGCTGGTATCGTCAACGGTCTTGCGTGGGGTTCCAACGATGAGTCCTTGGACTTTTTCGATTACGGTTCGTACGGAGGCAGCCCTCCAGTGACCGGTATCGTCACTTTCTGGACGGCCGTGATTTTGTTCCAGAACTTAGTGCCCATCTCGCTCTACATTTCTCTTGAAATCGTCCGAACCATCCAGGCTGTCTTTATCCACAGTGATATTTTCATGTACTACGAGAAATTGGGGCTCTACTGTGTACCCAAATCGTGGAACATCTCCGACGACGTGGGGCAAGTGGAGTACATCTTCTCCGACAAGACCGGTACATTGACACAAAACGTTATGGAATTCAAGAAGAGCACAATCAATGGTGTGTCCTACGGTGAAGCCTACACCGAGGCCCAGATTGGTATGAGGCGACGCGAAGGAGCCAACGCCGACGAGGAAGCTGCTCAGGCTCGCGAGCAGATCGCGGCTGATGGAAAGAGAATGCTCGAAGGGCTGCGCCGAATTCATGATAACCCGTACCTGCGTGATGAAAATCTGACTTTCGTGGCACCGAATTTCGTTGACGATATTGACGGCCAATCTGGTGAAGAGCAACAAGCAGCTGTCGAGCATTTCATGCTGGCCTTAGCACTGTGCCATACTGTCATCACTGAGCACACCCCGGGTGATCCCCCTCAGATTGAGTTCAAGGCCCAGTCGCCTGACGAAGCTGCCCTGGTTAGCACTGCTCGGGACTGTGGTTTCACCGTCCTTGGTCGTTCCGGCGATGATCTGCTTCTGAACGTCATGGGTGTGGAGCGTACCTACACCGTATTGAACACACTCGAGTTCAACTCCTCACGTAAGCGAATGAGTGCGATTATTCGCATGCCCGACGGCACCATCCGCCTTTTCTGCAAGGGTGCTGATAGCATCATCTATTCTCGACTGGCGCGTGGCAAGCAGCAG